CTTATTAGTTAAATGTCAAACCCTTTTAACTTTAACTTTGAGTAGATCTGTTACTAAATCTGGGGACGATTTATGACTTTGGTACTGGAGTTGTACTGTTCTTAGCTACGAGGTAGGTACTCATTAAACAATTGTTTAGGTTAGATAATTTCTTAAAGTGCCATAATGGTTGTAATCCTGGGGTTTCCTTTTCCTTTTTTTCTCCGCAGGCGTTTTCTGATTATCTCTCTGTAGCACGCTCGGTGGGGCGAGCGCAAAGCGCTTGTCGCGAATCATCGAGACCTTGCTCGGATGCGTTTGCCGCCGTTCGGGAAGGTGATCGATCCATAAGCGGCTTACCACTGCTCATTGGCTAGAAGTAATAGCTTCTAGTTGTTTAGCTTACAACAAGGGAAGCCATACATCGGACGAGACAATCGATCAACCGCGTCCGCGCATAAAACCCATATTTTGGCCCGGGTTTCTTTTCTTAGAAATCGGCGGAATATTCTTGGGTTCCAGCTACGACCCGCTTGGGAAGCCTAGTAGGGCACAAGAAACTTTCGGTATTGTAGTCAAGACCTATGCATAAAAACAAGAAGAGGTTCTCATGCGGCTATTGTACATACCTTACATAGGATTGCCGTGTCCTGGTCTCCTTGTGTCGACCTGTGATTAAGGTTCGTTGCTACCCCTCATGACGCTAATACTAGAAAGCGGAGGTGAGTTTGTTTAATGCTGTGTCAAGCTGACGGCGAGGTTGCTTATTTGTCTCCAGTGAGGCCGAAATCAATATACTCTTCCTATATTTCTAGCTACTCGTAGCCCCTCATTAATTCGTAATGCTAATGTGGCACGAAGTGGTACGGCATTAACATAACCTTCGGTCTATCAAATTGAGACAGACGTTGGGGGCCACCAGCCTTCCAAATATGAGTGTAAAGTGGAATAATCCCTATTGGATCCAAAGTAGAAACACGCCTCACCTAGTTGCCATCAGGTTTTCGGGCCGTTGAGTAATAATACATAAGCACCGTAGAGTAGATGGTGCTGTCAATGTTTGATGGTCGACGTCTTGTTCGATTTGACTATTACTTAGGCCCGACCTTGCGAGACTCAAATGATGCGGGTTACCTGGAACAATATCATACCATACCAGAAGAAGACAAGGTCTATAAGCACGGCGCCGCAGTGAATGCGGGAAAAGGTCCGTTAGTACCCCTGCTAGGCTCCTATTACTGTAAGACTGCGGGACCACGTCCAACAGCCGGCCGTCATGTAAATAATAAGCGCGAGGTACGCTCCGGAGACCGACCGCGCTTTGACAATATGTACCAGGCATGGTAGGTGACGTGAAGACGACAGACCGAAACTCAAGCAAACCAAGGAACATATGAGTGACAAAGATTGTGGCTTGCCATACAAGAAGATAAGTCGAATCAGAAAGCATTAAAACTAAAATAGATCCGGCCAGTTGGCTAAATGTTAGTTATCAGTTGATAGTTAGAAGTAATGACCTGTTAATAATGGCCTGTTAGTAGGAAGTTGTGTAAGTGTTTCATCCCAGGCAGTGTAAATAAATAGAAGCCCATGTAGAAGATCTAGGAAAAGAATACATAACCAAGTAGAAAATAGGTACATGATAATGCCGTAGGAAACGTGCATATATGTACCTAGGTAATTATATACCAACGGGCATGTTAACCTAGTCGTTTACCATATCTTTACCATCGCTAATTCGGCACAAATTCCTTTTTTTAGGTAATAATTTGTTCCCAGCCAGGCAGGACTTGAAAATATGACAAGTCACGAGCTTGGCCACGTTGTCGGGGGAAGATTGCTGCACATGCATATTCGTACAATATGTGTATATGTACGATGTACCGTGGCGATGGTGGCTTTTTGAGATAGCCCGAGATGATAAATGGGTAGCACAAGGATTACCTGGTAGCCCGTTAGGTAGTTGATGTTGGTGCAGCACTATGAACAATTGATGTTGGTGGATGCGTAGTGCGACTGACCCTCAGCCAGGTTCTCGTAGTTCTCGTGGCTGGCGTTGGTAGATGTAACATGAAAAGATTCCTTGTCAGGTATTAGCTTAACCTATTGTTAGATATGTGCATACTGTGCATTATATCAAATCCGACTTTAGGGAGATCAATGTGCCTTCAGTTCCAGTAAAAGACCCATTAGTACTTCCCTGTTTCGTACCAAACTAGACGTAGTAAGTACCTGGTAACCGCGTACCCAGCAAAGTCGTATGGAACCTTCTTCAATACAACGCAAAGTCACATGACAAATAGGCGCTATACCCAATAGCATTTTAGGTGTGCTAAATTCCAGGCCGCTTCAACGGCCGACCTAAACACTACCCAAACACTAAACAACAAGTACTGCATAAACAATAACCAATCTTTAAGCCTCATCATATCCCCGCGAAAATATGTTAGACTTAAGCAATGAATGCCACATTCAGAGCGCTATATCGGCATTGTCTTCTTTTGTCTTCTGCAAGTGTAGGAATATAGCTAAGTGATCCCAAAAATACCCTGTCTCTAAAGTATCATCCTCAAATCAGAAATAGTTTACCGACTGTTCGTTCATCCAATAAGAGGCAGCCAGTCTCGCATAGCCGCCCACTGGCTAAAACATCTAAGCGCCTAGACATCACCGTGTAGTGTATAGCTTATCGCTCAAGTATACGCTGAAGCATATCCATTCGAGAAAATTTCCTCCAAGCATGAGCGCAATTCAACGTTGTGGTAATGCTCCTTTGCATACCGCGCACCTCCGTCTACTATTTTTGTCCTAGATCACTTGCAGAAAATCTGTCTGTCATACCTCCCGCCTGCCGCCGTCATGATCCTCCCTGCAAGGCACCAGAGCGACACTACTACCTTATAACCAGGCTATCTTCGTCTGGTTGGGTACCCGCAGTCCGGGGAAAGCCAAATGCGCGGGCGTTTCGCTGCCATGTACAGGGACCCTCAACGGTGGTACCCCCGCCGCTGCGAGAAGCGCCTACGAGTCGTCATATTGCATATTAGCTAGCTTCCAGAAGCGCCTACAGACCACCGGCTTGCCCTTAATTCGCCAGTTTTCTATCATCATTGTCGTTCATAGTAAGTAGACTCAGGGGCAAGGCGCTCAAGACGCTCATTCTGTGTACCAAGGTGCTAGCAAGCTGTACGCAAGACTACCAACCGCCAGAGGTACATGCACGTGTATATGTTGTTATCACATCCCCCCTATTAGTGTACCTAACAGTACAGAGCAGAGTCAAGGTTCAGGACTTCCTACGCCCCTTTGCGGCCCAGCCTTACCTACCGCCCGTGACGTATCTTACTTAGGGATTCTAGTACCACGAGGGATCTGGGGCGTTTATTTTTGGAGGCTGTTGCTAAATTAAGAGATAGCCTCAATCTGCAGCCGCTCGCGAGCTGCAAGTGTTAATTAGACGTCACCTCCTGAAATGAAAATCCCGAGCTTCCCTAGTTTTTACACAACGATATACAACGTAGTTCCCCTTAGCCCAGAGCTACCTTAAGCGCGCTCAACTAGGGCATATTAGTTTTAAGCCGAGCACTTCCAACTTGCCATCTTGTTCCACTCGTATATTTGTTTCCCTCCAATAGGAAATGGTTCTCTTTGACTCACCACCTATCCATTGGCGGTTACTTTCTGCTTTATCAATATATGCTGTTTCAGATTCATCCAAACGGCGTCTCCCCTTTGTATCTTACTATCTACGAGCGGCCGAAGATACTGCCTATCGTCTTTGACACTACTCCACATGAGCAAGGTTACGTTGGTCTTCTATGGATCTAAAATGAAACAAAGTATCACCACAAGGTAGTTATATAGCCCTATAAGCGCGATATAGACTAGGGATGACTCACTCGCGGCACTGAAACAACCACATACTATATTCTTTGAGAGGCAACTCTACTCCAAATGACTCACCAAGTGTAATAAGGCCTCCAGGTACATCAGGGGCATTACCGCAGATCAGTTGGAACATGTGGAGAATCCAGCAAGAGTTTCTAATATCTTAATGAGGATAACGATGATCCTCAGTATAACTTAATTTATAATCTAGGTCATACCTAACTCACTACCAGCGTTGTTTCCTATACCCTGAAACCGCTCGATTCGATTCGCCAAGCGTCTAGAGCCCATCCGTCGAAAGGGACTATAGCTTGATTCGCCTATGATCAAACCGAACTTACCGGCTGCCAAATTACAGGAAGTAGTTTGGGTAGTATCGCATATCACCCCGGATATTCCTAGCGCAGCGCAGAATACTCGGAGATTGGCCCCTTTTAATGTTCCGTATCATCGATGCCCAATGCTATTAATATACATAGAAGTAGAAAGTAGATATTGTCCGAGGAACGGAGAGGCTATCAAGGCATACAAGCAGTTTTACCTTTCTATTATTAGTGATAGAGCGTCACGATGTGACTTGGTGATAGGAAATTTACTATGCTACGCAAAGAACCACAAACCTAGATACTCATCACAAGGTCACATGTATACATACATGTGGCCAATTCTTTTCAAAGATATCTTAGGGTAGTCTCGTGATAGGTTCTCTAACACAGCCAGCTTCTAGTTATATAGAAAAAATAAGGGATATCGATAGGATATAACGCTAAGTCGTAAAGGGCTTTCCTTATTGGTGACTTTGAAGTTGCGAGCACCTATCACTGTAACTAATATAGAAAAGGGGTAAATTTACTATGAGAACTGATCAAGTTTAAACATATTCTATACAGTCTCATCTACAATCCCTATAAGAATAAAAAATATATTATAATACTTGTTCCGTTTGATAGACTAGTATAGATCTCTATTCCTAGTAGATAGAACAGTCAGGAGTGATAGGGACAGTAGTAGAGCAATAACGATATAAAGAAAATTTCCATTAGTTATATAACTACATTTTCATTCTGGCTCTCAATATTAGTACCTAGCATTCGACTCTAGAGATCCCATACCACACTTAAACAAACAGCCCCTCAACTCTCCTTACGCATACCCTCCCACCTAACAAAGTCCTTCGCATCCAGCCCGAACAAATCTAGCAACCGCCCCGTCATCTGCTCGATGACCTGCTCCACAGATGACGGTCGCGTGTAAAACCCAACGACAGGCGGTGCGACGATAGCCCCCGCGCTAGTGACGCCCAGCATATTCCGCAGGTGAATCTCGCTAAACGGGGTCTCACGGACGGCGAGGACAAGGCGGCGCCGCTCCTTGAGACAGACATCTGCCGCGCGTGTGATGAGGTCGTCACATATGCCTGCGTTGATGGCGGCGAGCGTCCGCATTGAGCACGGTGCTACGATCATCCCGTCGATGTGGTAGGAGCCGCTGGAGATCGGGGCTGCGAGGTCATGCGGACTGGTGTTGTAATACGAGGGGTTAGTAAAGAGGCCGAGAAAAGGGGTGGCTTCCTGTGTTATGTAGAGATATTTTGAGAAGGTGTTTGTTACCTGTATGCGTGGTCTGCTAGTGCTCGTACTGCTGATACCGTGTAATCCGTTTCCCATTTGATTGTCTCGCCCGCCCACTTGCTGATGATAACATGTGTTTCGACATTGAGCCGGCGCAGGGTCTGTAGAAGTTTAATACCAATATCTGCTCCCGTAGCACCTGTGATGGCGATAACTATTCTCCTCCTAGCTTCTGAAACAGGGTCCCCCATCGTGATGTCACTTGTAGGTGTTATGTATGTGTGGGTATTTACGATTCAAATCGTCATGTACGATTAGAGTACCAAGGCCTTAATTTTTAAGTATCGGCTAAGAATGCTGAAAGGATGTGAGAAAATTATAAGAGAGAAGGGAAGATTGGTATATAGATTAGTTAAACCCGAGACAGGGTAGTTGTAGTACGTATAACTATATTCGTCGTCGACAGCAGGTAAGATGTGAACTGGAATATGTCGAAGGAGAGTTTTCCATGCTGCTCGGTTTCAATGGAACATCTACCGATAGTTAAATAAAGATATTAGGGTCTTCGGATTAACAATCCCCATACCGCCTCCTACCTTAGTTAACGGAGACTTTCGGACGACTCGGAACCAGTAGAAACAGGCAGATCATATCCATCTCATGAGATGTTGCGAGCGAAACGGTGTAAGAAATATACTTTTATCTACTGATATTTACTAATATATCTTATCATATTCGACTTACTCTAACCTCCGAGCACGGTCTGTATTGTCAGATTCGGTATGCCTCGGAGCCTTCGGGGGTCTCGGACTAGGGGGATCCGGGACATATGATACTATCAATATAAAGGTCTTATTTTGGGTAGATATAAATAATGCTAATAAAGTCCTGATTATCGATGATAGTATCAATCCGAACCATCAGCATAAATCCCCTTCAACAAAAGTCTAAGCAACTTTCAAGTTTCTATCCAGTATCAGAAGAGAAAATGGCATCTTCCACTCAGACAACTGCTATCAGCCAGCAGGAACTCCCTCACTTGAGCTTCAGGTCGTATGTCCAGGCGCTCAAAGACGATGGTGATATCGTCGAAATCAACACAGAATGTGACCCGCACCTCGAAGTCGGCGCCATCACCCGGAAGGCCCTCGAAGACCAGGAGCGAGCTCCCCTATTCAACAAACTCAAGGGCCAGGACGAGAACGGTCTCTGGCGCATTCTGGGAGCTGTGAATGGGCTCAGGCCGAACCCAGAGCAGGTGTTTGGTCGTGTGGCTAGACACATTGGCTTGGTCCCTACAGCATCAGCCAAGCAGATAATGAACAAGGTCATCGCGGCCAAGAGCGCCGCGCCTATCCCTCCGAAGGTCGTTGAGTCCGGCTCCTGCAAGGAGTTTCGCCTTACGCCCAACCAGTTCAACCTAGAAACGCTGCCATGCCCCTTGCTGCACCAGTCCGATGGCGGAAAGTACGTCCAGACGTACGGCATGCAGTGCTTCCAGTCTCCAGATGGTAGTTGGACTAACTGGGCGATCGCACGTGCTAGTTAGTATACATAATTAAGAGTTCTATTCGATGACATATAATCGCTAACTCCTATGGTTATAGTGGTGCACGATAGGAACCACCTGGCTGGGGCCGTATTGCCAGCTCAGCACATCGGTAAGATCCTCGCTATGTGGCGGAAGCTAGGGAAAGACATGCCCGTAGCGATTGCGTTTGGCGTCCCGCCCGCCGCCATCATGGCCGCAAGTATGCCCCTGCCGGATGGCGTATCCGAGGCTGAGTACGTCGGCTCGCTCGTCGGTGCCCCCGTGGAAGTTATCAAGTGCGAGACCAACGACCTCTACGTCCCCGCAAACTCCGAGATCGTTTTCGAAGGGACTATTTCGGCGACCGAGACGGCGCCTGAAGGCCCTTTTGGTGAGATGTATGGGTAAGTTGAGATGTTCATTTCTCATTTTTACGAATTAGCGAAGAATACTAAATAACTGTGTGAAAGATATCTCTTCCGCGAAGAAGTGCAGCAGTGGGCCAAGTACACCATCAACATGATCACGCACCGCAAAGACGCCATTTTGCCAGTTTCTACCCCGGGGAGACTAACTGATGAAACCGTACGTCAGGTCAACTTCCAATACCAAACCCTGCATGTTAACAAAGCTCACAGCATACCATGATCGGCCCACTCGCGGCAGCCGAGATCGGATTCCTCCTCAAATCCCAAGGGCTCCCCATCAAGGAAGCATGGTGCCCGTTTGAGTCGCAAGTAGTATGGGTGATTCTACAAATCGACACAGAGAAACTACGCGCGCTAAAGACGACATCGGAAGAATTCTCGCGCAAGATAGGCGACATAGTCTTCACCGCCAAATGCGGGTTCATGATCCACCGTCTAATCCTCGTAGGCGACGACATCGACATTTACGACTTCAAAGACGTCTCGTGGGCTTTCAGTACTCGCTGCCGTCCTGGGCTCGACGAGTACTTATATGAGGAAGTCCTCGGGTACCCGGTGGTTCCGTTTATGGGCCATGGGAGCGGCGACCCGTGGAAGGGCGGGAAGGTCGTTTCGGATGCTTTGCTGGCGGCGGAGTATACTACAGGCAAGACTTGGGATGAGTCTAGCTTTAAGGGCTCGTACCCTAAGGAGCTCCAGGAGAAGATATTGGCCGGGTGGAAGACTCTAGGGTATGATTAGAAGGGGTTGGGAACACATCCCGCTGTGTAAGGCACGGGGCACTATCATTTACAAATATAAGGGCTTTCTTGGGTTTCTTAAGAAAAATAACAAATAGATACATTATATTTATGCACGCCGTCACTTTTCCCATGGTTTCTATTCCAATTGTCTATTCGAAAATCTACCCGAGGAATGACGCAGATGTCTCCTCATTTGCGAAAGGTTCCGACATAATGAAATCGGACACACCTAAAGATGTAGCCCCTGAATTGAAGGAGACCAGCCACTCGGTCATGTTCCATGACCTATAAATATGTTAGCTGAATAATGGGGAGATCGAATGGTCAGTCTTACTCAAGCTGGCTAGTGAAGCTATCCGATTCAACTGGGAGTCTTGCTTCATCTGTTTGTGTAGAATTACCATGTGTCTGAGCATTTAAAAGTCCTTCCTGCGAGTTTTGCGATGTCATCTCTTGCTCCGTTAATGCTTTCATCGTCTGTAGAGCTCCCAATGCCTTATTTAGTGATACTGACAACAGGCTAGCCTCTGCCGAGTCGGGCTCCAAACAGTAGTCCTTCTTTTCCTGCTGAAGGCTAATAATCAACTTTTCTTGAAGTAATCTAGTCTCTTCACTGTGCCTAGTTTCCTTCATTAAGCTTAAGAGGAGGACAGATGTCAGTCCGTTGTGAATGAAAGCCCACGACCGTCTAGCGAGAGGGCTAATAGTCCGTATGCTTATGTAGGCCCAGCTACTGCGCTTTAGAGAAGTTCGGAGACGCTCCAGCACACGTCGACTCTCGACATCACCAATCCTAGGACCCGACTTGTCTGAGAGGAACGATCGGCAGATTACTGAAATAACAAAATTCTTATGTATAGCGAAAGCGTAGCATTCTTCAACATCCTGCGAAGAGCTGCAGAAATGTCGGTCTTTCAAATGTGGAGAAACGGATAGGTCAATACGGTCAATTTTGTTCAAAGTAAGCAGTGAGATAGGTGTTGTTGTGCCTTTCCGAGACTCTAGATGCTGTATCCCAAGATGGCAAAGCCAGCTCACAGCCTGTCGGTACGTCAAGCCTTCGCCCTCGTTGCCAGAGGTAAGAATAGGTAGATCTTCTTCAAAACTCATATCACTACACGATGGGTGGTGTCCAAGAGCCATAGAGAGTAGTACTTCCTGCCGCACAATGGCAAGTCTAGTCGGGTCAACTACTAGCTATATTATTAGGCTGGAAACTGGTTAAAACATACCGCAAAAGCATCGCATCTTCTAGGGTCGCGGTTGACGAACTGGATCTGGATTGTCGCATATGAATAGATAGACTTCGTGCAAGTCGTATCGTTGTACCCACAAGAGCCCACGCCGCTTGCGGTTTAATTTCGTCTTGAAGTATATTGCCTAGCAACAAGAGCGTCTGAATTACCTCTCTGGAGGGACGAGCAAGATAATCGGTCTTCCTAAGTAGCTCAAATGAGAGTTTTGCTTGTTGACGTTAGCACTCTGGATGTAGAGCACCACCTCTATATGTACCTACTATGTTCCCGCGATAATAAAGACCGCCGTTCCAGGGACATCTCAGAGAACTGCGCTCCAGATGCCAACACAGCGTGTAATAAGCAAAGCCATCGAGGAACTTTGTCAACCTCTAGTCCCACTTCAGCCCCTGGATTGTGCCTAAACTCGATGATAGCGCACAGTCGCTTCTCCATCTGGTCGAGGTCGATAGGGATTGTGTTAAAGGGGTGACACGGCGCTTGTAAGATTGGAACAGGGCATAAACGTCTTGTTCAACAGATAGAAAGTCGTTGAGGAGACCACCAAAATGCGCCATGGACAGATTGGCACCCATATGCTCATTCATGCCCAAAAGAGGTAAGTACCAGTCTCGAATGCCGAACGATCACCGGGACGATCGGTGAGATATGAAGAGGACTCTCGAGTAACCGTCGCGAGCGAGGTTGCTTGCGGGAGATGACGGTCGACTGAACTTTCATTACTAGGAAATCTAAGATGGTGACTATTTGTATCCGTGATGAGTTGTACAGGTGGTGAAAGTACGCTAGAAGTTTCATCAGCCAGAGCTAGTTGTGCTGTTACCAGTTCGTGTTTCCATGCTATGGCGTCGTGGCTGTGGTTCGCGGTATGCGCACAAGTCTGGATAACCTCGTTTGCTGCACGTCGCGCATGGATATCCCCTATCACATCTTACTTTCCTTTCTCGACATGGTTCACAGCTTTTGCGATTCCTAGCCTCCTGACGACTACGAAGGACCTCCCTCAGACCACTGCGAGAGTGGCCGAGGGGCTTGCTGGTGTCGGAGTCATCGCCGTACCACGTTTAACAATACACTTATCTTATATAATTAATTACTTGTAACGGAGTGACAGGAGAATGTCTAAGATTACAGACTATAAACCGGAACGAAGTTGCATGATGCATGAGCTGCTGAATCATCTCTAAACCCGTGTTATGTCCTTACGAGCATTACCCCTATCACATCCGTTTCCTCATTCTTTTTTGGATACTTCGAATAAGAAATTAGAGTATATATCACTTGCATACAATCATTTTTGCAATTCTAGTAATCCGATTTTACGAGTAAACCGCACGATCTAGATGAACTTTACATTATAACAGAATAATTTCTGTAATCTCGCAACCAAATGCATATTTCATATGGCTTTACATATTAATATCCTGTTTAACTTTACTATTCTCTCATTAGAATTGGAACTAATTTCAGCACCAAATATGTCTGCCTATCGTCATGTCACAATCCAAAGCGCGTCCCGTTAAACGAAATGAGAGAAAAAAAAAGGTATAAAAAAAAGAATATTGTAGGAATTCTTGAAAAGAAACAAAAATGAAATGAGACGAGCTCGGCAGGGATCGAACCTGCAATCTTTAGAGAGCCGGAAATAGGACCGAAATCTAACGCCTTACCATTAGGCCACGAACCCGAATGTGCAAATTTGCTGTTTATTACGCACTATATTTCTATGTTGTGGAGAGCGGGCACGATGTGGGTATAACGATTCAAAATGTTTATCATGACACTAACCCACAAGAGGCCGTCTAAGTAGAAGCTAATCTATCATAATTATAAGTTCTTATAGGATTATAGTAAACTTTCTACTCATTCATATCTCCTAAATATTAATGTGCTATAATGGGAAAGTGGAGTTTCACGTCGAGGTATTTCATTGGTGGGGTATGAATTAGACGCACTACCGTCTGATTTAAAAGTGAGGTTTAATACTTCGTGGATTCAGTTAAGTCGCCTAGTTATTATTTATTTCTTAAATCATCCAATTTCTTTGGTATCCTCCTCATGTACCTGATAACATATCTCCCCCACTTACCGCTCCCCTTATTTCCCATTACTTCCTCTCCCCTCTGTCGGTCCCCTCGGTGCATACTCATCCAAGTCTATATCCAGCTCTTTCGTGGTCTCGAACCCGAATTTCTTATATGCTTCGTACGCCTGATGCGACGAATGTACCCACATGGAGAGGCCCAGGTCGTCGGCTATAGAATTCCCGTATCGTAGTAGGGCACTGCCTACACCTCGGGATTGGTATGAAGGTGATACGGTAAGGCCAATAACGAAGATGCAAGGCGTATCCGAGGGGACTAGATCAGATAGCCATAATTGCATATCGGCGTCTTCAAGGGCGTGGAGACGATCGATAGAGTTCTTCTCCTTTCCCTCAGCGCATTCATGCTCATCCGTTTCGTCATTCTTCGTTTGCCGTCGCTCTTGCTCTTCCTCCGCCGGCTTCGTGTCTCCGGGTCCATTCCACGGAACTAGCGCTGGATCTAAACCCCTAAATGCCCACCCGGCGTGCCCAACAATTCCGCCCGTTTCCTCATCCACGGCTTTGACGTAGATGTATGTTTTCCTATGCAGAGTATCGAAAAAGCCGGAACGGGATATGTCATACATATCAAAAGGCTTTCGGCCTAATTGCTTTACGATAGTGTGGGGGTCGACGGAGAAAGCCGATGAGGTAATGCGGGCGCAGACGGGGATGTCGGCGTAGTTGAGGGGTTGGATGGAGATCGAAATTGGCTTACCGGAAGACATGATGCCTGGTAGTGCTGCTGTGAGTAATGAGTAAGAGATATTGGCGGATTGTAGACGGCCATCTCATAATGACCGGTTCGGGTTGTAGATGGGTCTGTTGGTTCGGAATATTTCCCCGCTTCCTACGGGGTGGTCCGGTGTCATTCCCCGAAGCTGCCTTCCTAATATCTATCCAGTAGCTGTATATGTGCCCCCCGACAACACGGCAATGATACGCGCATATAATGGATGTTAACGCAGTGAGATATGAAAGACGTTTGCTATACTGAATCTGGACTCTACGTGTTTGAAATCCAAGGATATGCGGAATTTCTTTTATACATGCTTAATATGTACATAGCCTGTTTAATGCCTCCGAGTAAGTTTTAAGGATGAGGGATAAACTAAAGATACGAAGCCCACCCTTTGAGGCAGTTGAAATATGGTACTCAGTATGAACTCGACACCCTCGAGCTAACTTATAAAAAACGGAGATATAATAGAACATCCAAAAAGATGCGGTATAAGGGGAATCTAACCCCTTTATGTTGGACTCGCGGGGAATCGAACCCCGGACCACTCCCATGCTAAGGGAGTATTATACCACTAAACCACAAGCCCCAACCAATTTTTGAATCAGAGACCTCGGAAGATACGATTCGTGCTGAAGATTTTGGTATCTCAAGTTTTATATTCACTATGCCGGTTGAAGAGGTAGCGTGCCCTAATCGACGGAGTGGAGCTTTAGGTACTTAGCGTCTTTCGTTCGTATTTATAAAATAACCAATAAGTCACTTCTATTACAAAGACAACGCTGTGGGAGATTTAGTTGACTACCTAGGTATGTCAAATGTCAAAGCATCCACCCACTTATTCAAGTGTAATATCGGCTTACTTAGTTCCCTTAATGTAAGAGCAAATAATGATTATGTAAAAAAAGGATGACAATAATATAAATAGTAAGCATCATATGGAATATAACAGGTAGATATCTTTAATCCACCACCAGTAAGTTTTAACATTATAAATATCCCAACTGGTTCACAAACATCAAGTCTATACTGAGTACATACCGGAGTTATATATTCGACATTGGTGGGAAAACTAACGCCGGACTCATTTTGGGCATGAAAAAGGTTGTTAAGGCTGTGTACGTCATGTTGCCTTTACATCGGTTGAGGTTTTTCGGGCCAATAGTATTATAATAGTATTATTACCGGAGATGCCGGACCGGCAAATTCGGATTGGGCTGTCGAGTGAAGCATAGTCGGAATGAATACTACCGGAAAGGCGTTTTAACTACCGCGACTTCTGGGTCTAGCATCTTGCAACTCGGTCTGAGTCTCGACCCCGCTGTCAAGGGAAGATACAGAAAGGGAAGGATGATGCTGGTGGTAAGTGGTAAGTGGTAAGTGGACCTAGACGAGTCGAGATGAGAGATTAGATCTCGATCCCGGAGGATCTGGTTCGATTCGAAAGCAAGATCAACGCTCTAGAATTTTCCTCTTAAGTGATAATAGTTGTTTTGGGTTGCCTTGGAGGTTACATGCTTTGAGACTGTTGAACGAAATGGGATAGTCGCGTTTGCATCACATCGTCAAAAAATCAGTCGATGGCGTCTTGGAGGGGGAGGTAAGAGATACCCCATTAGGAAAATCACTAGGGCGTGTTTTGGACTGCTAATCTGCGAAGTATGAAAGTACCTAATACCTAATCTATGTACCTGTATATTGAATCCATAGCCACTCGGAATGTAGTGGCCCTGGCAGAAAATTGGCATAGAGGTTGCAATTTGAAATCATCGGTTAATAAGTGGCGCACCGGACAAAACATAAGTGGATAATGGGTTTAAGCATACGGTAGTAAAGATTTGAAATTTTTAAGGCCGTACCTTTCTCGAAATTTAGGAGGTTTAGGTTTAAAAATAACTCCCGAAAAAAAAAGCAAAGGGCTAGAAACGGGTCGGCGTTTTGACCGTTTTGGCCGTATTTGCGAAGAGAAAAAGAGTAAGGAGCTATCTTTAAATCCAGCCGGGGATATTCCGTCGGTCGCAAGTTCCAATGAGGCAATGCCAAGATATGCTGGTAGTTTGCCCGTTTAGGAATGGTCACAGCGGAGTTTCCAGGTGCATTTCCTCCCTTGTTTCCGATAACCGTCTGCATTTGCACCGGGGAAACTCCAAAGAAGGTTTCATTAGTCCAACATCCAGAGCCATTTGAAGGTATTTGCCAGTAGCTTTTTTATTTTTATTTTTTATTTTTCCTTCTCCCGCCGTACTACCGGACTTCTTCTCAATCAGGCATTCTCTTAAGTCCTCGCTTGAGAAACCGCGCGGAGGGGGGAGTATTCCTTTTACACTGTTTTTGACTTCGCTGAGGCCGTGAGCTGGACTTTATTTCCGACCGTTTCAATCCGACTCTAAATTATTTATTGACTGGTCGTGAAGTCTTACCCTGGGCACGATGGACTCTCGGCCCGGCAGCTATCAGACAAGTGTCTTTCGAGCGCAGCCGACCGAGGGAGTCCAACGAAAGATCCAAAAGCGCAATCGTCCTCCTGTATCTTGTCTACTATGCCGGACACGCAAGTGAGTGACACTTTCCTGTCCCCCGTGTACCTATTCTAGCTCATCATCCTTTGATAGGGTGAAATGTGACCGCCAACAACCCTGTGAGAGGTGCGTTAAAAGTGGCGAGGCCAATTTTTGCGAATATGCGCCTCGTGCCTCTCGCAAGGCTCGCACGGATTCGCGGCCGCAGGCGGACGTCCGGGCCAGACATGAGCCTATGTCTCGCCCCGTTCTGCAGGTCCGTCTCCAGAAACTTGAGGAAATGGTCAATAGCCTGGTCTATACTACGCGCAATCGAGAGCCTACTCTCGATACCCCTTCAAGTTCAGACCAGCGAACGGAGACCACTGAGACTCGCTCTGACCTGAGCTCACCACCGAGTTTGGCGGCGTCCGGATCGGGAGGCCCGCTTCTCCCTACTACGCTTGGTGAGCATAGTTATGTCGGCGCTACTCACTGGGCCTCAATTCTTGAAAGTATTCATGATATCCAAGGCATTCTCCGAATTGAGACGGATGAGCCTCCTACTCCTTCACCTCCACCGCTGAAGGACACCGCGGATAGCACGGATATTCTCTTCGGCAAGTTGGTACCCATAACTCTCTCGCAGGCTGTTACACGATTACCGCCAAAATCCAAGACAGATGCGCTCATCTTGGTTTACTTCCGCCACAAGTTTATGACTGCCCCGTACATTCATACTACGAAATTTCAACGAGAGTACGATGCTTTCTGGGATGATCCGTCTTCCATTAGCTTATTGTGGCTGAGCTGCCTTGCTTCTATGCTATGGGTCGCTGCGTCGATAACTATCATGAGAGGCGAAAGCGACGAATCTGTAGCAACGCTCCCGGACAAGCTGAGGGCACTATCAACTGAGTGTCTCGTATCGGGGGATTACCTATCTGCTGGGCCTTATTCCATTGAAGCACTTCTATTACACAGCTATACGGAATTGCAAAGGAACAGAGAAATTGACTCTAGCTTGTGGGCTAAATTCGGACTTGTCGCCCGACTTGCTCAACGTATGGGATATCATAGAGATCCCAAATACCTTTCTAACATCACGCCCTTTGAGGGTGAACTCCGTAGGCGAGCATTCTTTTTCATTGAGGTTTTCGATGTCCTCTTCTCGTTTCAGCTAGGCATGCCTCCGATCATCCGTGACGACGAGTGTGATACCGAATCGCCTAGCAATCTATTTGATTCCGACTTTGACGAGAATGTTATGACTCTACCTCCATCGCGACCCGCTACTGAGCCCACTTCCACTTTGTATTTATGTCACAAATCAAAGCTGTGCCGATTACTACGCCGGGTGATTCGCTTTGCACTATCAATCCATCCTCCTCCATACGAAGAAGTTTGCAAGTTGGATGATGAACTCCATCAGTACCGCGAGCACGTCCCTCCTTCATTACAAATAAAACCAATACGCTCATATAGCTTTACGGACCAGACATATGATATTATGCATCGACTTATGTTGGAATTGATGTACCTCAAGAGCCTTTGCGTTCTACACCGCCCATATCTTAATCGTGAGAAGGACAACCCCGCATATGATCGGTCACGGAATACATGTCGAGATGCAGCTCTTAGGATTCTTGACCTACACGCCGAGTATGAGGAGGAGAGCAGGCCTGGTGGCCGAATATATGAAGATAAATATATGCTCTCAGCCCTAACACTCCACGACTTTTTAATTGCGTCGATGATATTATGTCTGGATCTTACGGAGAATCTGCCGAGCAGGTGAGTTCAACTCAGGGAACACTCTTAGTCACTAGCTCACAGTTTCACAGCCCAGTAGATCGATCGAGAAAGCTGAAGGCTCTAGGGACGTCTTACAAGATGTGGGCTGAGAGAAGGCAAACTTCCAGGGATGCAGCGCATGCTACCCGGGTTGTGGGTGCCATTCTCCGGAAAGTATCAATGCAGGATTCTGCCGTTACTCGCTCGCCACCGCCGCCGCCACCAAGGCCAGAAGTTCGGGACGGTTCGCTAGCTAGCTTGTTGAACAATGATGTTCAGCCAGCTCCAGCGCCGTCACCCCCGTTCGATCATATAATACCATCTTTTGATTTCTCTTTAGAATTTGCTAATAATGCGCCGCTTGATATTGTATTGAATGGCAATAACACAATTGACTGGGTAGGAAGTATCCCCTTAAGAATTCAGACTATGAGACTCATTGATTTGTTTTGCAGAGCGCAATCGACCAGTTCCTGCTAGACAGGGACGACGGCGGATTTAAATCTGTCCTTAGATACCGGCTCGGGAAGCGCTGTTACTACTATTCAGATTTATACTAGATAATACCTAGAATTTTATCGGCGACGGAATCACGAACTATACGCTAACCTACCTGATGAGTTAGCACAAAACTACCTGCCTAGTACCTGGGTGTTGTAAGAGGCGGATGAGATTTCGCAGCTAGGCACTTGTTGCCTGTTACCATATAGATATTTGTTTTGTTTTCTTGAGACGTCTACTGTGTATAGATACCTAAGCTGGGCCTTCGAGGGCGACTTATTATAATGCATTCATCGAGGGCGTCTGGGCGCCTAGTTAGCAAAAGAAGCAGGGCTGTCATTTAAATAGCGAGTGGTTTTATGGAATTTTGCTTTTTTTTTTCTGTTTCCCGAGTGTTGATTGTCTTATGTCGTGAGGGGTAGTGTCTCGCGCCCCCCGTCCGGTTGCTTATGACGGTGGTCCAGGGGTCAGTGCCAGGTATCGTAATACTTGTTCTGGCTTAGATGTGGTGGGCAGTTTGTCTAGTCTATAGAAGAATGGTTCCCGGGTGCTATGAGCTAGAAAGACTCTGCTTGCACCGGGGGATTCTAGGATTGCCTTCTACTGTTAGTTGGATAGATATCATAATATTACAAACTACTAATAGCTGGAGTAGACCGAACTCTTTGAAATGCTATAGTTAATATGTGTGTGAATAAATGTGTATAAATAAAGCGTGTATATGTATAATATATGTATAACCAAAAAGAGGGATTTTACTATTATGTTCTTTGATGGTGTAGCAAGATTTTATGTTGTGTTGCGTAACCAGGCATAATTGAATCGAGTCTCGTCTGCGGTGATAGTGCTGAGACCGGCATCACATTGTAATTAGATACATCTGTAATAACCCGAACAGTCTCAATAACTTTGGAGACTGTAGTTGAATTTAATTCTATACCCGTCATCTAATATAACGGGGAGAGGGTATGTATAGTCTAGTGTAACCGGGAAATGCTGCCCCAACCCGATGGTAAATAGCCCAATATACCTATATACAGTACATGGTTCGTAGATTAATTTCCTCACTAATCTGAAGGGACCTCAACATCTCCTAAACTTGGAGGATACCTAAGTAGTGGCTCCCCAACCTCGGCGAAGACTTCCCTTGGACATGTTTAACCTCCTTTCTGCTCACCTAGGTAGTACAAGTAGGACTGCAAGACTATCCCACGTAGTCATGTATGTCTCAGTTCAGGCTGCATCAGAAAACGCCGTACTTGGCTGCGTAAGCCCATGGCGCCCGTGGCTTATCCTATAACCTCTTCGTGTAGATCGACGGCCTATCAATTGATCGTCCGGCTTCTCCCATCTACGTAGCAAGGACTTAGCGAACAGGCGTTGGTCGCTAATGTCGGTGGGTTTCTCGTCTAGCTTCCTCATTAAGGTCGCAACCCATTTCCTTTTGACCTTGGACACGTTGGTAATTTCTTGCACCGTACGAGCGTTTGACTCGAGTCCGACTTGCTTCAAGTTTCGCATGACCCTAACCGCTTCCTCTATATAGCCTTTTTGAAGCAGAGCCCCGATCACAGCGTTCCAGGTGACGATATTGGGCACGATACCTTCCTTGATCATCATGTTAAGAGTCACGATTACTCCTTGCGTGTGTTTATGATTTCTGAGACCCGTCATTAATATCGTGTAGGTGTAGACAGACGGCTGCGGATGAAGTACGTTCTTCCCGAGCTTTTCTAACTCCCGGTTTGCGCGGTTATGCATGCTTTGTACTATGCGGATACCGTTTTCGAATGTCGAACCGAATTGCATAAAATTTCGTAAGAATGTGTCAAGAGCTATAGTTCCCTGGTCTTTTATGATCTGGGTTATAATCGGATCGCCCTTATTTAAAAGCTTCATGAAGTAGTTATAATACATTCGTAAAGGTCCCGTCCTTTGAATGGTCCAGAAATGGACTCTAAACATAAGTCCCAGGGTGATGCTGTCTGGCTGTATGAGCAATGCATCTGGTAGTGGTTTTAGCATAGCAATAAATCGATCGACTCCTTTTAACTTGGGAGATACCTGCTCCGGGCGCGTGGCAAGTAGATTCTCCAGTGGGAAGAGAGTGAGCCTTTGCAACGGGGCGAGTTTAAAAAATTTCAAGTATGCCTGGACCATCAATCTCCAAGCGCGTGCTGTGTCCCTTTTTCGTTGTCTTCGCCTGTGCTGCCGTTGAGACTCATTGTATTGGTATATGAAATCTAAGACATCATTCACGAGGTATAGGGACCAGACTTTGCGTGCCTCAATCATGGTGATAATATGATGGAGCGATTCAAAATCCAAAGCATGCTTTGCTCCGTTAATAAGAATCGAGAATATGTGAGGGTCCGGTTCGATACCACGATCGGCTAAAAGATCAAATATACTCAATGCGACCTCGACTCGTCCGCGAATGCAAAAGTTCCGCATGAGTGTAGATAGAGTGAGTATATTCGGCTGGAACCCGGCGTCCAAGAGCATTTTGAATAGCTCGTCTGGGGCTGCGTGGTCACCTGGTAAATTGCCTTCTTCCACTGAGAGGAGAGTGGTACAGGTGCTGATCGCTGCTGGCGAATTAATGTCGAAGCCAGGAAGGCTCGAAAGAAAATGTATGATTTCAGCTGCGTGTACTTTATATTTCGAGCCACGGGCGAAACGGCTTGCGAAATGTAGTAACGTGTTTTGGTTTAACGGATGCTCGATGTTTTTTAGGTCTTCATGAAGCTCAACTAACTTAGATGTGTATAGCGAGGAGATGACTTTCCGAATCACCAGTTGCTCTAGGACCATATATCTTGGGGTACTGTTCTTAAGCAAGAAGAAGACGAGCTCGGTGACTTGCCGGTGATCACTCTTGCTGATCTGATTATCATCTAAAGTCTGGGAAAGGAGATAAACTATATCCTCCACGATGTAGCTTGGGCACCATGACGGGTGAAATGTTGCCCGAATAAGACTGGGTATTGTGCTAAGGTGTGAACGAAACGCAGATATTATTATTTGCGGCCATAGGGACTCGCGTCTTGTTTGGTTTTGTCTCTGCCATACTTCCTTCATTGCTTCTGAGTCTTGTCTCCCCGAAGGCGTCCATAAAGGGTGCTTGGATAAATCGTCATCCGTCCCAGAAGCATGATGTGAGCTAGAGACTATTTCGAACAGTTCTCTGAAATGAGTTTTCCACGTGTGAAAATGCTCGAGTCGTGTTCCAGCTTCCATCGCCGACCGCCCCCCAATAAGTCTTTCCAGTTGGCTTATCGCATGACGTGTTTCTCCAGGGGAGAGACCATACGTGTGCATTAGATCTTCATATACGATGCTGTAGTCTCCTAGAGATTGTAGTATCTTTTTTTGTAGGTCATGAGAACCCTTGACTGGTAGATTACGGAGTTTATCCAGCTCTGGCCGAGGTCGAGGAAAAAACTTCTTAAAGTTTCCATCCCATGCGGGTTGACTCTCTACAATTGGGTCGTATGTAGGAAGTCCAGAACAGTGACTATCCGCAACATCGTATCCATATGAGGGTTCTCGTCTTTGCTCTGCTGGAAAAGTCCATATCGACTGCGGCGCTGCTGTCGAGATAGCTTGAGTATGTAATTCAAAACGCTTAGGTCTTATTCGCATAGAACGAGGTTGGGTAAACCGGGCTATGCATTGGCGACATATGAATGGTATTGTCATGATCGAAAGATAAAATTGTTGCCAGTGCGGGCAGATGGATTCGATCGATATGTGGTTGATGATTAGGCATTTTCATGACCATTTGCATGCATCGCGTTGTAATTTTAAGGGAAAACAAAAGTGAAGAAAAGCCTAAAAGTCTACCATTATAGGAATTTGGAGGTATACTACCTCTAAAGTATCAATAATATACAGAATTAGATGTCGTAGGGCGGCATTTCTCTAGATGTTGAAGCATTTAGAAGATCCGCTAAAAGTTGCATAGCAGGGGTTAATTTCCTTATCGCACCTAGTATTCTTATCGATAAGTAATAATAACGACTACCTGCACGCCAAACCGCCATGTCGAACTTGCATGTACCTTTACTTTTTTCTAAGCTTAAGCTTAACTCCATTTTCGAACCTTTATTATTATTTTTTTTAACAACTCTACTTCTTCACAATTCTGAATAGGAGGGGAAATATAATTGGCAGAATACGAAAATGTCAACATCACAAGCAACACTCAGCGCGGCAGCCGACGACCGCAAGGCGCGACTTGCTAAGCTCAAGAACCTAAAGCGCAAACAACCCGCCGACGAGATCGCGCCTCCAGAATCAGAACGTTCGGCATCGCCACCTATACGCCCGCATCTACGTCCGTAGAGAACCCAGAAAACCGGGAAACAGAAGAAGCCGTAGCGCTCTTCACCTATCAGGCCGCAACTATGACCCCGAGATGAGAGGCCCGAAGCTGGGGTTTGAGGCGCCGCCGACACTAGGTATGGAAGGGCCAACGCTGGAGGAGCAAAGCAGCCGAGTAGAGGCCGAGATCAAGCGGAAAGCTGCCGAGGACGCAAAACGACGACAAGGGTGTCGACCTGTTCAAGCTCCAACCTAAGAAACCGAATTGGGACCTCAAAGGGATCTGGATAAGAAGCTAGAGATTCTCAATGTGCGTACAGATAATGCTATTGCAAGCTGGTTAGGGAACGTATTTCAAATGCCCAGGACGTAGCGAAAAGACAGCTAAGCCTGTGGAAAATGGGGATGAGGGAAGTGTCGAGGCAGCAGGTATGGATGGTGTTGCGTTAGTTGAGGGTGTACGGGTACGAGAGAGGGAGAAAAGGAAAGAGAGAGGAGCGCGAGGATGAGGATAATGCATGAAGACATCTTGAGGAATTGAATTTGCATGGCTACGGCGTTTGGTTTACAGCATTGGCGAAAAGTGGACTCAATTACAATATATGTAAGCTTAAGTAGAACTGGGTTTTCCTTAACTTAATACTATGATACCCAAATCTTAACGACTCGTGTTCATTGCCTGCGTAAGAGCTAATCTCTTGGAGAAGGGGCTTAGACTACGCTCGCGTTGCTCTCGACGCGGCGGTGCGCCCCCGTCTTCGGTCGTTCCTGTGAATAGGTACCGGGTCCCGGCTTGCTTGTTTTCGTAGTCTCGCGGGGGCTTTTGTTACGCCTTCTGGGCTCATTTGGAGATCTGGAACGAAACTGTTGTCTTTCGCGTGGCGGCGGAGATCTGCTAGGACTTGAAGAATATCGTCTACGCCGATTATCTAGAGATCTTTGTCTCGGGGCTTCATCTCTTGCATCATAATGACTTCGTATAGGGCTATCATCCCGGCTGGGGATCTTGACCGCCTTGTAGGCCCACCTAATGGGTTGTCATTTTTAATTGACCTCCGAAGGTTTGGGTCTTCGCGCTGGTTATAGTCGCTGGCGGAGCTATACGAATCCCTTCGCACGCTATGACTATTCTCTTTTAGGAATATCTAGATGAGCCGCAGTGGATTGCTGAGCTAAGGGTGGCGGTGAAGCGGACCGCCTCGTAGATATGGAAGACACAGAATCATAAGAAGCTGATCTCCTACGTTTCGGGGATTCGTCACCCGATTCATCTTTCTCTAGTTTCTCGCTTCTTCGCTCTTTCGGCTTCTCTCTTGGCCAGTTCCTCATCAGCCACACCCTTCCTGTAGAACTGTTAGTGGTGCCTAGGTTTAGTGTCTCTGGGTAATTCATACTGCTTCTGTAAGGCATCTGGGGTGTCACTGGCTAGCTTTGGAACAAGTTTCGGGTTGAAGAGTTGCTGTGTCCGAGACGGTCTTGAGACGTAAGGCCGCTCTTGTGTTGTGGCCTTACATTCATATGAGTAGTGACGTGCTAAAAATGTTAATAGATTCTTTAAGAAAACTGAATTGGATAGGACATATCTCTTTTAAGACACTTTTGGCATTGTACACTTGTAGGAGTAGATTTTGGAGGACCCCGTCGATACATGGCTATGAGGTTGATTGGCTCTTATGATGGTGTAGTTGAAAGTGGAAGAGTCAAAATGACGGTCTAGGCTTAAAGTATGAATTATAGGTTTGAATTATAGGTTTGAAAAGAATGAGATGGAATTGGTATTTTGTGAAATATTCTAATACAAGTGTATTGTTCGTTTGCTTAACATTCTGCGCAGACCTTTGATGACATTGAAGGTTGGTTACATGTATCTACCTTAATGTCCTTAGAGATATTAAGAAGTACGTACCTTTATATTGTGGCGGTGCAAATTCCTCAGCCATGAATCACAAGTTCCGTGCACCGTCTTACCTTATGTACATCTGAAACTCAGAAAGCTAAAGTAAAGCCTCATGCTGAACATGGAAGATGGAATTTTGGCAGGTACGTACATGTACTGTATACATCTTTAGGTACATATATGTACTATAAGGGAGTAACCAGCCGCAGTCAGGGACAACGGCTCCTACCGGCAGCAGGCGGCAGGTAAACTGAGGCGCTAACTACTCGCTAACTCGCTAACTAGCGCCTCCCCAAGACTTGTCCCAAAAAGCCCTGCCCATTTTTAATGTTCCAATGTTCATCGACCGAGAACTGACCCGACCTGGAAGAAAGATTGAAACTTGATTTTACTTCACTTGGTTTTGGTCACGATCGATTTTTCACCATCTTCCAATCCGCAACGACTAAACCTCATTTTAGTCCTTCGCATTTTGGAGTACATGAGGACTTCACTGTCGCCCTCTTACCACCCAAAAGGCTGAGTGCGACGGCGAACCAAATTTAGGAATAGAATAGAGGAAAGGTTATATGGTAGCCTCATTCTCCTCTTATTCGGTCACGGTCACGGTCACGCTATATCTAGCCATCGGTACGACTCGATCCACCGAATAATATCGTCGGTCAGAAGAACACATTGGTGCCTGAGGTGGCTTACGACTCTACCCAAATACGGATATACCACCACCTGCGCATCATTTTAGATCTAATCTTTTGCGACCGAGTTACCAGTACGAGCCATACTTATACTTTTACCCTCCATAGGTATTCTTTATATGACTACCTACATACAACTACATACGACTACATACAACTACATACCAATGTACGTGCAACCCAACTTTTCTCTATATCTACACATACATACCTACCTATATATACTACCACTCAACTATTACATCGTCTTTAACCAATCCAATCCCCATTTGATCCCAGTAACTGACCTAACTGATCCGGTCTGGGCCTAAGCCTACCAGTCCCCTTCTATTCTTTTCACTCCTCCCCCCCAATCCCGCATCCCACCCTGATCTTCCTTCCCATGCTGACAGCAGCCCTATTCTAGTCTCGACCACTCCCACTACTATTCTTCGGCACCTCACACATAGTTCATCATCTGTAGCTTGAGAACCTCAACACGGCCCTCTGCGCTTCAATACTCGAACCTTGGAACCTTCCGATACGATTTCGAGATATCCAGATCACAACAATGATTAGCCGTATTTCGTACTCCCCGAGGGCTGCTTTTGTTCATTTTCTTTCCTGATTCCCGGCTATTCTGACGTCGTCATACCGAAGCTATTGGTCCTCTCGGATCGTTAAGTGTATTTGTTCGTTTGGGGCTTTAATTAGAACTTGCGAGATTACCGTCGCCTCTATTTCTGTCGTTATCGAGAACGAGTGAATACGTCTTGCCTACTATACTCAGCTTTAAACGCGATCCGTACGAACTATGGCGACCGCACCCCCCGCGACCGCTGGTCCTAAAAAATTGTCTTTTGCCAAGGTATGACTGATCTAAGCTTGAGCTTCGTTTCTGCGCGTTGCTTCCCCTCCTGTCCTATCGATATTTAAGCTGACGAAAAATTTAGGTGGTTGCGTCTAAACCTAAAGAAAATATGCCCGTTGTTTCGGCCCCTCGAGTTGCTGTACCAGCCATAGAACATCGCTCGCAGCCCGTTGTCGTTTCCACTACTCCAGTCGCGACGACTAAGAATGCTACAGCTACATCTGGGAATAGTCCGGTAGCTGCCGTCAAGCCTCCTCTAGTTTCTAAAGAAAATGGTATAGTTGCTGTTCCGTCTAGTAGCGTGGTCGTTGATGGTACCAGACTTGCGCAAGGCGGGAAGAATATGCATGCCTCTCTCTCTATTGCTAGCGTTTCGTCTACGCCTAGTCTTGTTGTGAATGGCTCCTCGTCTTCCGTCGGCGAAACACAAACTAAGAATGACAATGGGGCGTCGGTATCGGATGACGCTTCGCAGAGGGCTGATTCCAACTCGGAGATGGGTACTAAGGCGCCCAGTATTGACGGGAAGAGTATTACTTCGGGAACTACATTTCGCTTGATGAGAAGGAATCCCTACGCCCTGATGACAGTGCCAGCGTGAAAGCGTCTGCGGAGGAGGACGAGCCCTTTTCGATCAGGGGCTCACTAATTGCTAACTCCCGGATTGGCTCTGAAGTGGCTCGCATTCATCGTCTTAGAATTGGCGATATGCCAGAGAGACGAATCGTCCAAATACTCCCCGAGTTGCAAGACAAGGGAATTGCCACCCCACAGAGCGGGTGCTTCCAGTCAGCAGCCTCCGGTAGAGCAACCTCAGACACTAGGAATCGTGAATGGGTCGTCCGATGCCTTTACATAATATACGGCCAGAACCCAGACGAGAAGCTTTTAGAAGCTATGCAATCCCCGAAAGACCGGATTTTCCTCCTACGGCTGGAGCAAGATGTTATTAACTTTGTTCAAACCTCTAAGTAAGCATAGACCCGATTCCTGTAAGCCTTGAAGGTGCTAATATTTGACCAGGGAGCCCTATATGGATCTTCCACCGAATAACTCATTCTGCAGAATGTTAACCCACAAGCTTGCTGACTATTATCACATGACGCATTCTTTCGAAGCCATCCAAGGTTCTGTTCGTATCTTCCGGACTCCTTTCTGCCGAGTTCCTCCCTCCTTAGCCAGTATTGTGGGCAATACCCCCAATAGCAATACTACCACAACGCCTCCGCAACTACTACCGAAGAAGATCATGCGGCGTGGCGAGGAAGGTGGATCAGGACAAGCTAGTAGCAGTCCATCCAAAGCAACCTCCGAAGTGGGAAGCGATGGCAAGGAAAAATCGGCGAAAGACAAGTAGGTATCCTAAATATTAAACGCATATTCAGCGCTGACCGTACGCTAGGCCTACTAGAGAGGAGCGCGAAGAGGCGTACAAACAAGCCCGAGAGAGGATTTTTGGCAGTTCGGATAAACCTGGAGAGTCTACACCAGGTGAGATATTTAATATTCTACTACCAATTATGTTAGCAAGCTACTGACTAATTTTAGAAAATGACGATGCGAATGGCATCTCTCGAGCAAGTTCCGTATCAGCAAAGGATAAGTCAAGCCTTGGGAAACGAGGAAAGACGAGCAAGCAGCGAAGAGATGACTCCGAGAGCTTCGATTCCCGATCACAGTATCAACCGTATTACCATCCTCACCAACCTAATTGGACTACGCCTCATTATATCCCCATCGGGCATCCACAGTACAGCAGTCCTGTTCAGCAGCCGTACCAAAGCCCCATACCCCAAGCCTATGCGCCACCTGCGCAACCCTATCCTGCTATGATGCCTAATGGCGCATTTCCGCAGTACGGCAATATGCCAATGGTGAGTGTTCTCTCAACACGTTGTATACTTACGTAGCTAACCTTATCTGAAGTATCCTCCTCAGACGCAGGTCACTCCGCCACGGTACACTGCGCCTAATGGCCCCGTGGGTGCTTACGCTGGCCCGGTCCCGGTCCCGGTCCAAGTCCCAGTCCCAGTCCAAACCCCTCCGCCTCAACAATGGCAACCCAATTATACTCAGGCCCCACCACTAAGCCCGTATCAAAGCCGGGCCCCTCAACCTCAGACCCCGGGAAACCCAGGGCCAGTTGGTATTCCTTACGCATTTGGACAGCTTCCTGCGAATGCCAATCCGCATGATCCAAAGAGTCAGCATCCTATCCCGGGGAGCTACAATCGGCATGCATTTAATCCCAAAACCCAGTCGTTTGTCCCTGGCAATGGCATGGTACAGGTCCAACCTCCGCTACCCCCTTATAATATGGGCGGGCACGGTAGCCCCCAGGTTGGCTCGCCTCATCTAGCCTATAGTGCATATAGCAGCTCTCCGGCTCCACCTCAACCGTATGTAGGTGGACCAGGCTACGGGATGAGTCGGCAAGGATCTAACAGTTCGTTGCCGGCTTATCACCCACCCCAGCCCCAGCACCTCCCTCAGCATCCTCCAGTACATCTACCCCAAGTGCCGGTTCAGATGCCTAACAAACCGAACATTCCCATTCCCCCGCCGACCGGACCAAACCAGACTTTTAGCCACTTACCTACCTACGGCAATCCGGCCACCCTGCCGCAAAAGCCACCCACTGGAATCTAGACGAAAACTCGCGCAAGGCAACACGTGCATGAAAAGTTAGCAAGCATTAGTGGTGTTTATTCTTTTCGGTGAGGACTTAAGACAGTTTTAAGGCGGATGGATAAAGGGAATCTTACAGAGACAACGACACCGGCGTAAATTGGCGGGTTGTTGTATTGGTATCATTGGCTGGCGTTCTGGCGCAGGGGAAAGCTTTTTCACTGAAGACGTTGATGGTAGGATGGGATCACATGGCCCCCCGTATCAGTGAGCATCGAAGTTGAAGGTGTCCGGTATTATTCCCATTCTGTTTTGAAGTAAAAGGGACGGACTCCTCTCTACAGTGACGGTAACTAGGTTATGAATACCTAGCATCGCAAGATATATTATTTGCTTTTTAAGGCGTAGAATAAAGCAAGCAAGGAAGCAATATTACGTTATTCTACATCGAGCTTCGGTTGTTCTATGAGTCAATATGGTTATGCATGTGATGATGTTTTGCCGTGCAGGGGAGATAAATAATAATAATATCAGTGAGAAGTTTCAGAATCTTGTTTTTCATTCCTGTAATAGCATTTCCCTTTCTAAATAATGACTGAAGATACCCCTAAGTAACCGGACGCGAACGCCTAGGGCGACGACTTGCGCATCTTTCACAAGTTGCTTCGCGGCCCCTTTTTTTCATCGCCCCTTGCCAATGCGTATGTGTTTGTATATGCGGTAGGTAGAGGCCGCACTAACGGCCCCCCCTTTTGATCCTACCACTGCCACTACTAATCGTTCTTAGGGACCATCCATCCATACATACATGCTAGGTTTTCCCTTTTTAGCCACCGCCTCGCTTCTCTTAACAACACTAACGGAGTACATGATAAGCCCAGCCCGTCGTAACGTAGGACTTACATCTCGTCTATTCATTACTTGGCTTCTAAGTTTGGGGGCGTATACGGGCTTCACTCGCCGTTCTCGCGAGGCTCGCGAGGCTCACGCGGCTCTCGCTGGCCGCCGCCTCTGCCTCCGCCACGACCACCTCGCTTGCCACCTCGGCCTCTCTCGCCACGTTCGCCCCTGCGGTCTCCACCCTCCTTGCCGTCGTCCTTACCGTCAATCTTGCCGCCCTCGTCCAGTGGCTAGTATGGCGGTGGCTAGGCGCTGGCTGAGGTCGATCTGGGTGCGGATGCTGTTGGCCAGGTAGCTGACCATCAGCACGTCCTGGATGTGGTTGTTGAAGTCGGACTCGACCCTTGTGGGGTCTACCTTGGGCGCGAGAGACAGCGCTCCCATCAGGTACTGGCCCAGAGCGTTGTTAGGCTCGTTTTCCTCGTCGATGACACCACCCACGTAGTCTGATACCCGATCGAGCAGGTCCTGCGCGTGCTCCAAGCTGCGAGTCAGCGACTCGACGTCGGAGATGACGGGGGCGGCGCGCGCCTCGGTGTCCCGCGCGCTTGAGATCAGGTCGAGGGCAGAACGCTCGGCGTCGTTGTAGGCGATGCGGTGGGGTACCTGGATGAAGAGGCAAGACTCGGAAGCGCGCTCGGCATTGACAGCGATGGGGGCAGAGATGTAGGCGCGCGTGCGGACGGGGGTACCGGGCTCGGCGGAGACGGTGAGGTGAATAGCCGGGTGAGGGAAGGTGCCGGTCTCGGGGCTGGCAAAGAAGTTCTGGATGAGGGCGCTGAAGGAGTTGAGCTCGTGGGAGGTGGTGTACCAGCCGAGCAGGACCTCGCGGGGGTGGGCGCGCAAGTGCAGCGACAACATATTCTTCTGGTATTCAACATCGACTTCGACCTGGTCCTCGTTCTCGGTATGGGGGATGGCGAACGACGACGCTACGATGGCTTCGCCACCATCTTCGGACCGGGTACCGACCAAGGCACCGATGACGCGGGAAGAGCTCGTCGGCGCGGGGCGGATATCGCGACGGGTGGCATGGTCGAGGACGGAAAGGATAGCCTATTTATTACTATTAGTTAGTACTAATAAGAAAACGGGTATATAGCTAAGAACAAAAAAAAAATAAGGCAGTAGTGACATACTTGTGGTAGGATGTTAACGGAGAGCGGGGAAAGATGGCTTTGGAAATGCAAAGTCGTCGGTGCCAAAGGTCGCGCCAGATGAAGGAAAGGTTCCGTATCTACGGCCATGATTGCGGTATTCTAGAGGCCGGATTTATATTACGGAGAAGAGGGTAGGTTGACGGACGATTATCGTAGTTTGTTGTCTTTCAGTCCAATTAATCGAACCTTTTTTTAATTCTATCTTTTTATTTTTACTTTTTTTTCGCTGGCGACGTTGTAATTTTCACGTTCTGGGCGTAGTGGGGTTCGCAGTGGGTTGTGGGCAAGGCTGAAGATTTTTGGGGGGGTGGAGGGGTGAGGGTGCGAAGATAAGAAAATAAAAAATCTGGGTTTACAGGGGTATATTTACCTTAACGTAGCGATTGGTGTGGAGCGTGGCAAAGGATCCATAACGCGAGGCTTGCGTGCAAGAAATTCTGCAAGGCTGATGGACCATCAATTAGAATTTCCCTTACAATTCAATCACCATATAAGATTTTGATTTTTCTTTAATAAATTATGCAACTTTAATTTTTTAACAGGATTTTATTTTTTTATTCTCGTTCAACTTATATTATGCGAGGTAAACCCAGAGGAGGAGCTCGCCGAGGAGGTGCTCCTAGAGGTAGAGGTCAAGGTAGAGGAAGGGGAATGAGTCGGGGAGGAAGTCGAGGAGGAGGACGCGGACGAGGACGCGGAGGTTTTAATGGAAAAAGAACTTTTGACAGCGCAAGAATTATAGAGTCCGAGTAAGGCTTCTTTTCCATTTCTTTCTTTCTTCTATTTCAATAAGTAATTGATCACTAATACTTCTTATAGGGAATCAGAAGATGAAGTGTCTGAAGAAGAAGAACAGCTACCATCAGATGATGCATCTGAAAATGAAGGTTCTGGATCAGAAGATGAACAGGAGCAGGCGACTAGTCGACCTTACTTTGCCTTAATGCAGAGTTTATCTAAAGAACCATCAGCTCCAAGCGCTAAAAGAAGAAAGCTTGACACTCAGTCTGAAGAAGTCAAGTCCAGTAAACTTAATCAAAAAGAGGCCACTACAACCGAAGAAGATGAAGAACGAGATGTCGATCATGTAGAGGAAGCGGAAGAGGGGCCAGATAATGAGATCGAAATGGATGATGACGACGATGAAGATGTTCCAGATTCATCCGACCCATTCGAAACTCACTTCGTCAACCCAGATCAAAACGAAGTTCAAAAGCGTATAAAGGCTATTCAAAATAACGAGTATTCCCAGTCTCATTCTGAGAAGAATAATTGGCGATTAATACGGAACTTTCCTGGAAAGGATATAGCTCAACCTGCAGCTCTCCCGCCCCCTATACCCGGACCATCCAGCTTAAACCTCAAACATCGACTTGCTGAAACGGCCAACCGAAAACGGCCAACATTTGACAAGCTGGAGCAAGTTCTATATCCATTGACATTCGCTTATAATGATATATTATTTTGTGGAAGAACCGCGAGAAACGCCGAAAGCTTACGCCGAATGGCATGTCTTCATAGTGTCAATCATGTCTTCAAGTATGTATTTCTTGAATACCTTTTAAAGCTATGGTTCACTAACTATAATACAGAACTCGAGATCGAGTTATTAAGAACAATGCTAAACTAGCGAAGGATGCCGAAAACAGCGACTTTGAGCCCAGAGATCAGGGTTTCACGCGTCCCGAAAGTATTGATGCTACTTCCGACACGGAACTCGGCTGTCAATATGGTCAATACGATATGCGCCTTATGCGAACCGGAGCAGCAGGAAAATAGGAAACGCTTCGACGAGTCATACCTTGACAAGGACGCTAAGTTCACAGAGGACCGCCCAGAAGACTTCCGGGAGCTTTTCGAGGGCAACGACGATGACATGTTCCGCATCGGCATCAAGTTCACCCGGAAGACCATTAAATACTTTGCGCAGTTCTATAACTCGGATATTCTAATAGCGTCTCCGCTCGGCCTGCGCATGGCCATCGGATCTGAGGAAGACAAGAAGGTTGACTTCGACTTTCTAAGTTCCATCGAAGTTGTGGTCGTCGACCAGGCCGATGCTCTACTTATGCAGAACTGGGAGCACGTCGAGTACATCTTTGAGCACCTCAACCTCCAGCCACGCGAGGCCCATGACTGCGACTTCAGTCGCGTCCGCGAGTGGTACCTCGACAAGCAGGCCCAGAACTTCCGACAAACACTCGTCTTATCAGCCTTCAACACGCCCGAGCTCGTCGAGCTGCATCGCCGCTTCGGGACCAACTGGACCGGCCGCTTACGTGTGCAACCCGAAGCCTACCCTGGCGCTATCGAGGAGCTCGGTGTCAAGGCCAAGCAGACGTTTTCGCGGTTCGAAGCCTCCTCCGTAGCCGCCGAGCCCGATGCCAGGTTCGAGTACTTCACCAGCGCGGTCATACCGGCGCTGACGAAGCGCGCCAAGAGTCAGGACCTCAGCGGCACTCTAATTTTCGTCCCGTCTTACCTCGACTTCGTGCGCGTGCGCAATTACTTCGCCACCTCCCCTGCCTGCGCGGGCCTCGCGTTCGCAGCTATATCCGAGTACGCCGAGGTGCCGGAGGCATCGCGCGCGCGGTCCCATTTCGCAAGCGGTCGACACCAAGTCCTACTATACACGGAGCGCGCGCACCATTTCCGACGGTACGCGTTACGGGGCGTCCGCCGGGTTATTATGTACGGATTGCCTGATAACCCGACTTTCTACAAGGAGATTGTAGGCGGGTATCTGGGGCGTAGCGAGAGGGAGTTGAAGCTCGAACCGGGGAGGGGGACGGCGAGGGTTATGTTCTCGAGGTATGATCTTCTGAAACTGGAGAGGGTTGTTGGGTCTAAGAGGGTGGGTAGGATGATTAAGGAAAAGGGGGATACGTTTGATTTTGTATGAGAGATAAGTAGATGGGAGTTTATACACAGGCGTTTTTAGTAGTGTATATGTGAATTGGGAATTTTTTTTCTTATATGTGCTGCGGTTATGGTACATAATTCGTACAACAGCCATTGTCACGCCTGGCCTTAAGGGGTTCAATCCCTCTTCAGGTAGGTCATAATGGTACGTCTATACGCTTTTCTCCCAGTATTCCCACGGCTTCGAACTCGAAGCACTCGAGGTCGGTAGTATCACTACCTGAACTTGGGCCTTGTAGGTTCAGTGTTCCTAGACTTCCATCCCGTAGTAACAAGACCAGACCAAAGCAACCTCTTCCTCCACTCCTTCTCATAAAACCAACCACCCCCTCTCTAACTAGCAGGAGCTTCCCCCTGACCCTGCGCACCAGCGCCCTGTCCGGCAGCGCCCTTCACGCCCAACCGCAACCCCTCGACCCTCTTCACCATCTCGTCGAACGCAGCCTGGCCGCCAGGTCGGAAGCGGGTGACTTTCTGGCGATTGAGCAGGGTGAGGGCGTTGTGGGGGCGACCCAGGCGCTGCTCGCGCGCAAACGCAGCAGCTGTCATGGCGAACCGCAGATCCTTGGGCCCGTCGACTAGTTCGAGGATGGCCGAGTCGCCCTGGTCGTAGCGGGACTTGGGCTCCGTTCGCAGGACGCGCGTGTATCCGCCTGGGCGCGAGGCGTAGCGCTGGCGTAACTCGCCGAAGAGCTTGGGGAGGAGGTTGTGGGGAGTCTATGGTGGGGGTGGTTAGCGATTGGGGTTACCCTTTTTTTTTTTATATCTGCTTCTGAGTTGGGATGGGATTGGTGTGTGTGAGGGAAGACAAAGAAGAAGAGGCCAATCGTACAAATAATATACCCGTAGCTTTCCGTCTGCTAGTCTCGTTGTTCGTCTTAGCGAGAGTAATGAGCTTTTCTGCTAGACGCTGGGTTTCTTTGGCCTTGGGCCATGTCGTTCGGACGGATTCGTGCTGGACGAGGGCTGTGACTAAATTTCGCAGTAGGGCTTGTCGATGCGACGATTTTCGACTTAAGTGTCGGTACTTGACTAGACCACCCGCCATCCTTCAGCTTGACCGGGTGACTTAATCTCGGGTGGTGGTGCAATTGGGCTTTGTTGCGGCAAGGCAAGGCAAGGTAAGGTAAGGTAAGGTAAGGTGGGATGGGTTTGAGTTGACGATTTGAGGTTCAAATTATTGACTGGGGAGGTACAAAGTTACTTTGAATTTTTGGATCTTGGTAGGTATATGTACCTAGGTACCTACCTCATAACGACATAATCAACGAATCAAGCGGGATAATGGAATAGGTACCCACATACAAGGTATAGGTAAAGGTACGTACTCAATCAGGGAATAGTAGCGTGACTTCGTCATTCGTTAAACGTCAAATTCGAAATTCGAAATTCGATTTATTTAATATTTGATTTAATATTCACATTGAATTTGGTTCTACAGACAATCCTACAAGGGAGTTTGTCAAGACTTACACTCGTTTCTCCTGATTTTACAAATTCATACAAAATTGGGTTTTTATAGCACCTGCGCCATAGCGCGCATATTAAACACCTCAAAATGGGCTTCACAACTGGATTTGTACGTTCTCATATGGCACCAAGTCATAACACCAAGTCATAACACCAAGTCTCAGAATAATAAACTAAAAACTACTTACTTATATGAATAGACTGGAGGTGTAACTCTCACCCTCTCAGTAGCTTACCTAGGTGTACTAGCACACCAACGACACCGAGAGCGTCAAGCTGCCATCCTACGACAGCAAACTCGTCTAATATCTGGTATCATCGACCCTCTGCCGCCTGTCTTGCCACCCACAAGGGCCGAGCTTGCAGCAGCCGAACGTGCCAATCTTATCGAGAGGGCTAAAGATCGGTGGAATGCTGAAATAGAAGGTGCTGTCCATTGGGCTCAGAATAAAGACTGGGAGGAGGTGCGCGAGAATGTCGAAATCGCTTTCGGTAGGCTCTGGGCTAGGACATTTGGTGATGTTCAGGGACCTATAGAGAAGGGTGATGAGGTGGCAGCAAACGTAAAAGCAGTTGCAAATACAAAACTGGACCAGGGCAAGGAGAAAGCCTCGAGTGTAGCTGCGGCGGCCAAGAGCGCATATGCGGATGCAAAGGCCAAAGGCTCTGAGGTGGTTGGGCGTACAGAAGAGAAGGCTAAAGAATCCAAGGGCTCATTCCTAGGTGGCTTAGCAAGCAGTATCTGGAAGAGCAAGGATGCAGTTGACAAGACAAAGTCGGCAGTGGTAGGAGGAGCTAAGCAAAAAGGGAAGAGCTCTCATCACAACTATCTGCAGAGGAGAGGACACTTAGCCAACGATATAAGGGGTCGACGTCGACTAAACTTGAACAAAGTCAGGAAGAGGTGTTAGCTGCAAGATATGCTTCGACTGGTCAGCGAGATCGATCACAAATAAAAGCCTCATGAGGGAGGAAATGCGAGCAAGTTCGAGTTCCTGGCCTTCCTATTGTTCGTACAGCGTTCAGCGAGAAAAGCATTCGAGCCCCCAAAGTAGTAATGGATGTACTTATGTATTATACGAACTACGACTATAACTAGAGGATTAATAGAATACCTTAGGTACTTAGATACCTTATCTACTCGTTGTTGCCATGGAATCGTATTGGCAGACGGCAATAAAAAGCGGTAGAATCAGGCACCTCGACAGCGGCAGTACGATTCACTCAGGCAACGCGATAATAATTTACACAATCCGAATCACGGCAACGAACCCTACCTTATTATTAATTTCGTTTTCCCCGCGCCTGTTTATTTCACGTTCGACATCTACAACGTCGCCAATCAATTTGGCGCGCAACCACTTGCTCATTATTAACCTCTAAGCTTCTATCGCGCGCCGTCTAGGGATCTAACTGACGAGGTAAGACGACATATTACCTATATAAAAAGTAACAAGAAACTAAATTATTATCATAGAATGGGAGGTACTTCCAATAACTCTTCGCCCGGCCGTGGCAGAAGTCGTCACAGAACCCGAAGACCTACCGTCTCTGGTGACGACTCTGCTTCGCCCTCAAAGCACAAGAAACGAGACCATTCTCATCCTGCTAAGCAGAATGTTTCTATCCCTCGCATAAATATCCAGTCTCCTACACCTCCGCTCTCAGCCTCTAGCTTGGCGCATGATGAGATACGCCGCAATGAGCAATCTCGTCGCATACGCCATTCTCATGCTCGCGAAATTCTCCGTCCTGCTAATGACGGTAACAAGGACACCAAGGACAAAGATAAGGGAAAAGGAAAGAGCACAAGCAAGGACAGAGATGGAGATAACAGCAAGAGCCGTACTGGTCGCTGTACTCATGTCCATCATCATCACTACCACGTCCACAACCACTATCATAAGTACTATATCAACAATGATAAGCAGGTGGGCGAACCTACTCATGATGTAACGCATTCAATCTATCGTCAGCCACCATTCGACCAGTCGGATCCTCAAGCAGCTATGAAGTATCAAGAGGAGCACCATCAAAAGCACGTAGAGCAGCACCAAGACCGAGAACAGCAACGCGAGCAGGAACAGAAGCAGTCCCAGCCCTCTCACCATCGTCACAACAGCAAAGGTGTGAACAACCCTGGTCCCTCACAGCAACGTCCTTATCAAAGCACGCGTTCCCACTCAACAGCTACGCGAATTCCAGGACCACTTGAATATCCGTCTCGTCCGTCTAATTCTCAGCGTGGTGCTGTTGGCCTAGAAGAATGGGTTCCCCACTCATTCACGTCCCCTTCTCTCTTCACGTCTCCGCCCCGCACAAACATACAGCAAGACGTAAAAAACACCATGGACCAAGCCGACAAATACAGCGCCACAGCCCTAGTCAACGCAGACGAAGAAGCAAGCGCTATCGTGCAGGCTAACTCTCCTCGCTCCTGGACCTCCAGCTCCAGCTCCGGCCACGCCTCCGTCTCCACGCTGACTACCATCTCGCGCGGCGTAGCCTACGACAGACACAGACGCCGGGATTCTTACGAGTCTGGATCGGGCTCAGGGTCTGTGCACAGGAAGTTGAAGAAAGGGGGTTTTCGCGCGTGGGTCTCACGACATCTGCGCGACTAAGGGAGCTTGTTCCCGTGCTTGTAAGTGCGGTACTGGAAGATATTAAGTACCTATGAATACATGAAGAAGACGTGAAAGACAAGAAAAAAAAAGAAGGGAGGATCGAGAGTGAACAGATGCAGACATATACATCTCTGCATGTACCAACGAATAGGAGCTGAGACCCGGAACGAGCAGTAGCAGCACGCATACAGACGTGCATGCCCATGGTATGACAGGACTATAGTCCAACTATCAACCGTGATGTGCAGGATACGAGATGAAGGCCGAGCATAATAATAATTACGACAAGGATGTATTTACGAAGAAAGGAAGAGAGAGCCAAGTAGCCAACCACACTATGCTAAGCTAATCCCTCTTCCTGGCATGTTTATTAGTTTTATTTCTTTCCCCCTTTCCTTTGTTCCTATTTCTTGTACTGCACTGTCAGCCAACCAGCAGAAGACATGCTATTTCCATTTGTATTCATTCATTCATTCATTCATTCCTGTACGATATGCTTCGATTTCTTATAGCCTCGTTCCGTAGCTAGGTACCCCAAGTAAGCTAGTAGCTACTTACATACCTATACCTACCTACCTCTCTACCTAATAAACAAGCTGATTGCTTTCTTCGTATTATGCCTTTTCTCTAGTTTCCGATCTTGTAGATGATGGCGGATAGCACATAAATATCAGGCATCGTAATTCTCTATGAGCATATGGGCTCACTTCAAAATATCGTCTGTCCTTAGGAGGGTTACCGTGCAGGAGGAATGTCAAGAGTGGTTTAAAGAGCAAATGATAGATAGAACTACCAAAATGACAGCAAATATAAAGTCATTAATTAGCAAGAACTGGATTCTTATAGATTACATGCTATACTAGAAACGTAGCACTATACATATCATGTAGAACAATTAATGTATAACAATCTTCACTGCATTCAAGCCAATAAATATTTGTTCACTCAGTGTAGCCAGTTCTCATTTCGCTGCAACGTATCCAAAACTGGGTACATATTATAGCATCTGAACAGGATCTCAATCAATGATCCCCCCTTCGTATTACGTTCCTCCCCTCAACCTCTGCTAGTAACGCAAACGAATAATAAAATGGTATCCTTCAAAAAAGCTCTTCTGGGTAACTGGCCAACTAACTTGTCAAGATAACTAATAAAGTAAAAAGAACAACCACCCAATATCAACGAGGGATATGCGCGCGACATATCCGTAAAAAAATCGGATAGTAATTCCGCCATTGTAGAATACGATTTTCAAGCCTGCCGCCCTTCGTCCCAGCTCTATATTCCGTAGGAAGCGCCCAATGTTTTGAAATGAAATATCAAGTTTATACACGGAAGATTGGAATGTAAAGTTAAATTTGATTAATACGCTGTAGACTTCTTGCGGCGTTCGAACATCCGGGAGAATCCACTGCTCTTGCTTTCGCTCTGGGTAGGGAGCGACATCACAGGTTGTGGTGGTGGTTCGGAATCGCGCAGGAAACTAGCGAGGTCCGACGTACGAGTATTAGCGGAAACGGCATCCCGTGCTTCGAATTTCTTCATTGGAACACGGCCCATCGAACTACTGGGAGCGGTTGGTGGTGGTCTGGGATTGCTCCCAAACTTATCTGCCGAGGTTGGGATGACAATAGGCGTGTAGCCTCTGCTAGTGCCAGCTCGGCTACTGAGAGACCTCGAATCAGCCCCAAATCCTCTAGGGTTTGAAGCTGCTCTGATAGAGTTCCCGCCCGATCTTAGGCGTGCGATCAAATTTGGCGCACTGGATTTTTTCTTCGGGATAGCAACAGGTTGAGGCATCGGTTCAGGGGGAGGGGGATAACTGTTGAGGAAATCGATCAAGCTTTCTTCCTTCTTCGGTTTTGGTTGAGGCATTATATCTAATTCTTCGTCTTCCTCGTCGCTAAAATCAAGGGCATAAGGGTCACGGACTCGTCGCTGTGTCCGCTTCGGTATCATATCGTCATCATCAAAGTTGTTGCCAGAGTATTGCTGTACCTTGTTCGCTTTGTTCAAGAGTGCGCTTTGGGAATTCATCGACGACGGAGCTGAAGCCTCCGTAAAATTCGTTGATGCCTCGCTACTTCGAATGTTTGGAATCACTGCATCGATTGCCTTGCCTCCTACAGCACCGGCCATCTGCAGTTGGTCTGAGTCCATGGTACTCCGGAAAGGGGCAACGTGACGAGGAATCCGGGGGTTATTTGCATTGGTGCTTGGCGGCCCTCGTCGAATAAAATCAATAAGATCCGAGTTTTCGCTACCGAGGTTAACCGTAGCATCCCTAGCTTGGAAGTGCGATCGGTGGCTTGAACTGGTCTGTCGGCTATCGATACTCGCACTCTTCTTCACGTGAGTAGGGCCCCTGGGGGCCCGGATAGTAGAAATCGAAGCCGCGTGTCCTCTGCTATGCGGAACGCTGCGCTCGCTAGGAGGTCCTGTTGATCGAATAAAATTGGCAAAATCTTGCAACGATTCCCCAGGGACTCGCGCTTCCCTCGCTTGCGCGGCCATGCCTGATCGACTTTTCGGTGGAATAGAAGGGGGTGCACTTGGGATTACTTCGGAGAATTTCCCGGTAAAAGGGATGTCCGTAGGAGGATGGGAACCCAGAGGATTAGAACCGAGATTAGTCTGCTTCGTAAAGGATGCGGTCCTTTTAATAGATGAGGATCGTGAGCGCTCAGAATGTCTGGTGTCCTCGCCCCTTTGGAACCTATTAGGTTTAGGACTTCCAGTGTGCTGAGATGAACTAGACTGTATATTCCATTAGATCGGGTGGCATGGCAAGAAAAAAAAATTAGAAACTTACGTCAATATCACGCATGTTTTCTGGGGTGAGAGTATACTGCAGGGTTTCCTGGCTGTGAATTAGTTGCTCAAAATCGCGAGCTCTATCCTCGGAGCGTCGAGGGCTTCCGTCCTCAGAGGTACGAACGGCTTTGAGTTTAGCAGACATGGAAGAAGGTGACTCGCTTGGCATAGGGCGCGACATCTTTGGCGATTCCGGCGTACCACGCCGGGCAGGTATATTTGACGTAGTATCGTTAGAGCTCGACCGCCCATACATGGGCCGGCTTGTGCTCCTCTCGAGTACAGTTGGCATTGGCGGGTTCCTCGACGATTTTAAGGGGGCCGCAGGCCTTTCCTCCAAAGGCGGTTCTGTTGTGGGACCATTCAGAATCGACACCTTAGTGGTGGTGGTCGCAGCAAGTTCGTATACTGCTTGTGAGTGGACGCTTCTCAAAGGACTGGGATTTCGGGCAGGTTGGACTACCCCAGAACTAGTCTCCTGAGAATCGTCGAATGACCGCTGAAGGACAACGGCATGCTTCTTTCCAGATGATGCTCCCGGATCATTTTCCTCGGCAATGGGAGGAGTAGAAATTCTACGAGCAACCAAGGCAGGGTCCTGGAAATCCATGGAATTCGTTCGCGAACCAACCGTCGGGCTGCGAGGGCTTTGTACCTCAATAATTCGTACCGACCGGAGGCTATTCGTTCTTACAGGCATAATAAGGGGAGTAGGCCTGCCAGAGTCCGATGTAGAAGGAGAGGAGCTTCTTCCTCCAATAGAGATTCTTGATGAGGTCAATATTTCAGGTTCTTCGGCAAACTCATCAATTTCGTCTTCTTCAATTTCAGCTAGCGGGACAATGCTACTAGCTCTCGTCGATATCGTAGGTGTAATGTCGTTAGTGGCCACTGGCATTAGCCCATCCGGGATAGCTTTCTGCTCCAGTGTTTGGTTAGGTTGCTCGTTCTCATCAACGTTGTCATATCTAATGTCCTTTGTAGAAACGCCAACGATTGTCTCCGCCTCATCTTTGCTTGGATCTTTGTGAGGCTGGATTTCAATTTCACGACTAGCGCCCGGAGCAGAAGGATACCGGGGGCGTTTCCGAGATGGAAGAGACCGTACACGGCGAATCGATGAACCTTTTAGCGAAGCTCGAAGAGACGCTAGTCTGTCCTTTGTTGACGAGGACAATATGACTAGACTCTTCGGCCGGCCAATATCCTTTTCCTCCTCACTCTCCTCATCGCTATATATAGCCTCGACATCGCTATCCGGTAGAGGTACTTCAGCCGGATCCACCTTCGGAATTGACTTCGGATTGGACGACTTCTGATCTGTTTTCTCCCCGCCTGTCTCCCCATCTTGCTCTTCCTGTACATCAAGCGCAGGGTCCGAATCTCTAGGTGTCCGAAGCAACTGCACGTAGTCTGTTGCAGCGCTCCCGCGTCGCTGGTTAATTATCCCCGAAGTACTTGAGGAACTGCGCGAGAAAGGACGGAGAATAGTTAGGCTCTCCGGGCGACCGAATCCTCTTCTTCCAAGCACGCCAAAGTCGACCGAGAGTTCGATCCAACGCAACACGTTCCATGTCTAATTCCTCAACAACAAGACGTTCAAATAATTCACCGTGTACTCGCGTCCCCTCTTTCAACTCTTTCTCGCACTTGACACGTAGTCGGTTAAAGGCCGCTTGCCCGGCTATGACGAGAACCTGCTCACCCATAAATTCTAGAATCGAGGTTAAGAAAATAGCAACCGCCGGGGATACAACGTCGGACATGATGTCATCCGACTCGCCCCTGAGATGTTCTTGTTCCATATGATAGTCTTCGTCTTCTTCCTCCATATCACCCAAAGACGAATAAACCATACATCGTAGTCTCGTTCTTTTCCACACTAACTCTAGATCCCAATCGACATGTCCCTCGGTATTGGAGATTGTACTAGATCTTCAATTTCATTACCACCCAGGTATTCTCGAAGCTCTTCGTCGGCGTTATTAATAGCATCTTTAGCAAGTTTCGGTTTCAGTACTTCGCTGACGGCCGGCCGTAGCGCCGATAGTGAAGTGGACTTCGCGACACAGATTATGTTGAACAAGAGCTGATCGATAAAATTATTGGCGAGCTGAAGAGCGCCTGGTGAAACCAAGGCGGTCTCTTCCGAAGGCTCAATTCCCATCTGATCGTACCATATCTCAGAATGGCTGTCATGATCATTAGTGACGATTTGTGAAGCAGCAGATGCAGCGATGAACACCGCCTCGGGCGACACAGAGAGAGGGGGAGACATCATGCCGTGGCTAGTCGTAGACGGACGGTCGCTCGAAATACTCTGGGTTCTAGAACGAACATGTCGCGATGAATTCGTGACAGCAACTGAGGAAGAGCTCGACATGGCGGAGTCGTGTGATTGGAAAGTCTCAATCGGAATGTCCGTTGTAACGGCAGACCCGGGAGGTCGCCCTGGCTGGGATACGGCGACAGGTTGAAATGAAGGGCTGCAGACTCGCTGTCTGCAAAGGCCCTAGCGGCTTAAAACACAGTATTCGAATTATCGAGGGGTAAGAGCTGTTAATATAAAATATTAATGGTAAATTCTCAAGGAAAAAAGATAAATTGTAGTAGTTTGTACGTAGGAAGGATTGCACTGAAACGGTGGTCGAAAAGAGAGTACGAAGATCACTAGTAAATCGAATGAATGGAAGCTCGCAGGTGAAACATTCCGCGAGGAGACTGGGGAAAGCTAAGCGAGTCAAGATTTGGGTGAAGGCATGTTACAAATGGAAATTATCTCTAGCTTGAGACTTTAGTTATTCATGAGTCAAGAGTCGTGACAAGGCATGTTAGACAGCTAGTCAAGGAACGAAAAGAGAACGGGTGTATGTAAAGGTGTGAGTCTTGATGAAGCCCTAGATCATCAGTGTGATGACATGTAATGTGATGAGAATCATCATAATCAATTGGAGTGAATGAGTAATTTAGATAGTTAGATGGCCACTGGACCACAAGAAGTGATAATTCCCCGGAGACCGCACAGCCAATTTCTCTGATAGTGCTTCCCCTATTCCGTGAAAAACATGGTAGCGGGAATGAGGCTTCAGAGATGAGAGCTAGCCCCTGTCAACAAGGGGGTTCACATGTGGAAGTGAAAAGAGTAGATCAAGTAGACAATACCAGATCTTACGATCCGGGTATCCGCAAGAGCCTCTGATGAAGACAATTAAAAAAAGAAGCAAAATATAGTAATTGGCAGACATAAAATCGGCCAACGTACCCTAATATTGATTAGAAAGAAGCGAAAGCGTCCACCGGGTAAGCTTGGAGATTTCTTCCGGGTTTCTTCGAATAGAAGTGAAATGTTCTAGTTAATATGTTAAAATGTCATGTTTTGTGTTGCAAAGGCGGGAAGGCTAATGATGTTTGTCGGGTGTCCAATATCGGCAACCATCGAGCTACGTGATAAAAAGAGTCGGATAGATGTTGGAGAAGAACATGAACGGAGGACGAGAGAAAAGAAAAGTACAAGCAGATAGAACAAAATGGTGTTCTACTTTTAGCTTGCCGGCAACGCGCCAGCGTAGGAATTGGAATTTAAAATACATTTAAGTAACCTTCGAACGTTTTTTGCGACTGCGACTGCAACTTCCATTACAAGCTACCTACTATGGATGGATGGATGGAAGGCAGGGTACATCCCACCTTGAGGAGTACGGATACCACCTACCTTGTTTTTCATTACCCACATAGGTACAAAGACTACCTACACCTCCTGCAGCATGGTAAACCATAGCGTACCCACTAGACTCCGCAAGTAGTCGCCAGGGGATTTTATATGAGAAAAAACTACGTAGTAACTTATGCAGTGGCTTGTGCAAGGCCTAATATTTTCAAATTCGAGATCAATAAAAGATCAGCAAGTAAAAGCCAGGGTATTTTCATATAAAATCCCTGGCAACTACTTGCGGAGTATGTATGGGTTTAGTGGGTACGCTATGGTTTACCATGCTGCTGGAGGTGTAGGCATATGTAGTCTGGGCTGTACGTAGTGTAGTTCGTACATACCTTCGGTAGCACATCACTGCAAATCGCCCCATATAAGCCGGGGCTACGAGAACGTAATAGAGCTAATTTACAGCTACTTAATTCCCTAAGCCGAGCTAGGCTCGGATAAGTTTAGTCTGACCCCTGTCAATGTTTGAATGTGTTTGCACGCAGCTCGCTCCGGGGGAATCGAAAGGAAAAAAAAAAACCTAAGCCAGGTTATATATGCACCCTGAACTAGGGTCTAAATCTTCAAAAAAGGTATTGAAGCATTCTAGGCCCCTGCAAATGCACATCAGAACATGCAGGATGTAAATCTATACCTATCTTTAGGCCTTCCCAATAGGTATCATTGCCGATATTCAAGATATACTCTAGGTACACATTCGATTTTTCCGATATTGTTTTCAATATATGATAAGTAGGTACCTAATGAACATGAGCAAAATAAATCGATTTGAATAGGCTCTCCATAAGGTTTACGATGATAAGTATATAACTAGATGTTTCAAAAGTTGAACCTCGGAGATTTATCGCATACGTAAACGTGCTACGGGTAACACGTCCACGAAATGTTTCCACTTCGCTCCGATGGGAGTTTCCCTTTAACTTATAAGTCTCCATACATCAGGCAAGGTGTCACGTCACAACTTACAAGTTATAAAGTTTTTAAATAACTATCGAAAAGAACTGTCCATCAATAGTAACTTTGGAATTAGCTACCAACAACCAAGAACGAAGATAGCAACAAGGGGACTAGACCAGAAACGCGCGAAATTTGATATTGCTCAAGGAATGGCATAACCCACAGTGGAGGCCGTGATCTCGTGGGTCTTGTGTGGGAAGTGGATGAACCTACATAATACCTGTGCCTGTTCGAATCCGGGTGGTGATTCCGAACTAGTGTTGCGATGGCACGCGAGAAGTGACAGGGCCGGCGATATGCTAACTGTTTACAAAATATATCTTACAAAACAGGTAATTAATAGGTACATAATATCTCGGCTGCGCCGTTGGTAAATCGAAAAAAAGCATCAATCAAAACCTACATCACGGACTTTGAAGTGTTAAATTATATAATATCGCACTGGGGTGAGATGATAACTGCATAGGGGCTGCGCCATCATTAAACATGTACAGAATACAGCAGAGATATTCTTCAAGGCACCTTCAAGGCACAGTCAGACAATCTAATGATGGCTTTACAAAATTGAGGGGGGCCAAAGAAGCGAGATAGCCTTGTATTTCTCGACTATATCCTTCGAACAATGTCATTCCTTTCTATATCAGTTCTACAGTCTATTGGCATTATGGTATCTAGAACGCCACGTAAATAGATGTGGAAAAGATAGGCTTTAAGCTCCAAGTTCCGTCTAAGTTTCGTAGGATGTGGGATTCTAATGCTGGCCCGGTTTTTCAAACTTGTCTCTTGACACAACCCCGGAGCTTCCATGCTGACTGCAACCTATCTGACGTACAGCCAGCCGACCATATATCGGTTGTGATATTTATGTCCACCGCGTGCCACAGGTTTGCCGATCTAGAATACCTACCAAGCAGGATTTGCTGAATCCTTCACCGCAAGGTATACTTGCATTTGAACTAGTTCTTCATCCTGCCATCGAGAACAACGTAGTAAAATGATATGTCGCATGCTTCCGGTCCGTCTCAATGGCTACGTACTATTTAAATATTCAAACATATTCACTCGCAAATTGAAGCATTTTAAGCCGAGCATAATGGCAGGCTCCGGTACGATCTTCCCGATAGGCTCGAGCGTTACCATAAATATAGGGTAGTACGGTAAGATTAAAGCGCACGGCCACCGAACGATCCGGGCTATATGTCTGTATTCACTTCTTCTTAACGAATTTTAGTACATAGTAAATCAGTCATTAACCCCATCTTCAGATGGAGGGTGCTTATTGCAGCGTACCATTTTCAATCCTTCCAAGCCACCGTTCTGCACTTTGCCACAACCAACGATGCTTACTGCATTGGAGGCGTGCTACCGATTGCTATGATTTGGGGCAAACCCCAAGATGTTGACTATCCTTCACAACCACGTAAGATATATACGGTAGGCTGTGCCCGACTGATCTACGTATATCCCTAGTGTCGATCCCAACGACGATGAATCAATTCCGCAGATGTCACGCACATGATGATACATAACGTTGCTTTGTTTCATCACTGGGGGCTAGATATTATATACATAGTTACTAAGAATGTCAACCTTAGAAGAAGAATAATGACAGCCAGGGCTGTTGGGCGCCGTAACCCGCTGTCCGGCTAGAACCCTGACATGGACATACTTCATAAGCAGCCGGGCCGGGCACTTACGCAAGTTTCCTACCGATCCGACCGATCCGTTTCGGAGATGCGTATATACCAACCAATGAGTGTATATCAACCTCCAAAAGCCAGTCATCCTTTCAGAGCTTACGATATAAGTGGTCTGACAATCCTCTTTTCCAGAAACCTGGTAACTGAGGCACCTTACCCAGAGGAATTCTCAAGTATCTGCCTGGTCACTGTTACACCAGATATATATTTAAATAGCGTCGTATGATTAAGAGCCGATAGTAATGTAACTATTAAATACTAGTCATATTAAGCTTAACTACCCAATATATTCTCGATCACTTATATTCAATGCTCTTCTAACTAGTGTATTATTACCTCTATAGAGGAAATATCTTTCCCGGCTTGTAGCCCATATCATACCATTCAGAATGATACATATGTTGCTATCGGGGAAGCGCTTAAGATGGAATGCCAACGCCTAATACACACACCCGGCCGTCGAATCAACATTGACTGGGCTTAAACAAGGCTAATTTAGCGCACCAGGTACTTGGAATCTAGGGCTAGATTATTTAGGTACCTCCTATAAGAACAATATCTCCCAGCAAGATCAGACCACGACGTAAAGGGGGCTTATTATAACAGTGACTCCTCAACTGCAGCTTCCCGACGACTAACGGCCTCATAATAAGTACTGTGTCACGTTAAATCATTTCCACCGCCTGGCTATCTCGCAACACGTCTTCCGAAACAGTAAGACGATTATTCCCTCGACGGGTATCTCAGATAGGCATGGCCGGGGGCTACCAGCCACGCATTACGGCATCCTTCCATGCATCTTCGACGCAAGCCGGCTTCGAGCATAGGCTACCCGACGCACGATTCCTCGCGGCGGGATTATAGCCCTGCACGTAGCCATATTATTACCTTGTCCGGCATGTCTTGCCTTGTAGCCTGCTGTCGGGCCTGCTCGCGTTTGGGGGGTTTTCGTGAATGTATGACACCAACGCGGTGCTACGATAGTTGAGGGGGTAGATGGTATAGCGTCGTTTCTTTAAAAAGAAGTTTACCATTCTCCCCGCGGAATGCTGCCTTGTCCTTGTTTTGGCTTGGGGGCCATTGGAACACTTGAGGACTAGTAAGTGGACTTGAGTCATTCATGAAAACTTGGGGGCTGTTCTATGCGCGTAATCGATGTAGCGGTGTTTGTCTTATTGGCTACTGGATGGATACAAGTAGTTTATCTGTTCCAAATCTTGGGGTGGCTTGCGGCTGAATGCTTATTTCATGCATATGTAGGTACCCTTCAGAATACATCGATGCTTCGTATGTAGTGCTACCACTTACCTTGAGACCAGCAAACGGAGGTGAGACAATGTCATGAGAGCCCACGCTCGCTAGTTAAAAAATATACCTGCCACTACCTAATCCTTGCCTCCTCTCTTGCTAACTTTTAGCTATAAGATACTTATATACGTATCGTGTAACCACATTAATACATGGATTTAAGAGTATCTAATTAGTTATGATATTGATAGACATCTTAGCCCTACTAAACACATATTAAAGTGCCACAATCCGCCCATTGACATAGCACAGAGGATAAATTATTTAAAATATAATTCCACCGTGAGAATCAGGCCACTAGTCCTCACTTTTATATGCTGAGTCCTAATCCTTTAACCCCGATAGCCCCTCCCTGAGGTATTACGCCGGCTAGTTGATAAAGATATAAACAATGTTAAAGGATGAGATATTAACAGTGATGACGTAAATACCCTGCTGTCAATGACCCTATATATTCCTTTCACTAAAGATATATACTGAGAGAATAGTTTAACCTTTTATCGCACTCTATTACAACAACGGCGGTAGTAGGTTTTGGGTTGGTCAACTGGATGATATTGGTATAATATTATCTATTTTATCCACACAAACAACTTTTTATTCCTTTTATCCTTTATTCCCATTGTATCCCTGTGGAATCCTCTAATGGTCTTAGTCTAGGACGACGTCCTGGTGATTGATGAGCTCCTGATGTTAGAGAAGCTCCTGGCGAAGTGAATAGTGTCCTACTAAGAGGAACTTCTCTCCCAGGGGTTCCAGGCTGTCCCGGTGTGGGGGTTCCTTGGGGTGGTACTCTTAAGGGGTGTCTTGTTGAAGGGCTTCCTGTTGAAGGCGGGATTGAAATTGGTGTATCTACAGGACGTATTGGTGAACTTCCCATCGAAGGAGCTGTAGAAGGAGCCGAGGCTGACCATTCATCAGTTAGTTCATCAATGTCATCAGTTGGAGCGTCATTAACAATGGTCCTCCACGTTAATGAAATAAAATCGTCTTGTTCTTCTGGAGCGTTATCATAAGCTTCTGGCGGTTCACCCATGCCTCTTAATCCAAGCCGAAGCAAAGTGTTTAAAGAAGGGCGGTTATTAGGAATTTCCGCCATACAAGCGCAGACTAGAGTGCACAGCGCATGATCAACGCCCGCTGGGGTTGGGATGAGGGCGGTGGCATCGGTTCTATATCTTCTACACACCCCACGTATAAGAAGGGTCGTCGACCGCCGCGTCGCGCCCACGGTTTAGGTTAATGATGCCAACCATTACCTATTAAGCTGTTAGTCTTTAATTAAGAACTAGCATATTTAGTGCAGAATACGTACTCGCCCGATGTCATATACATTTTCATTGTCTGCATTCTCAAATAGGGGGTATTGCTCTGTGCCGCCGAAGTCGATAAGCTTTAGTATTGGTGTGAATCCATGCTCGTCATCACGAGGAGGCTCTCCAAGAAGTACTGCACTCATGTTAGCTAGTTTGCCATCGCATCTAGCTTGGGTACCTATTGATATACTGTTGCCTTGATGGATGTCACCATGTACTATTCCTGATAATTCTTCGTTTCTTTGAACTTCTTCTCCAGAACCCGGCCACTAAAATTGAAGAATTAGCATCTTCAAGTAAATACTTACCTAACTTGCGCAGATAAGTAAGATATATGTCATATATGTCACGTACGGCCATAGCTATGCAGCACCTCACCACTATGTTTTTGATTAGCAGAATATTATGGTATAAATTTATCAAATGACTTACAGCACATGAATAACCTCCAAAGAAGGCGGTTCGGTAGCCTTGTTCCTCTTCCTATCATTACTCTTGACTTCGAAATAAACGAACGAAGCTCTCCATGCTCCAGCCATTCCAATACGATATAATCTCTTCGATCTACTCTGCCGCTTAAAGGGTTATTTGGTAGATTAACAAGTCTTACTATATGCAAGTTATCTTGCAACGTCTAGTATATTTTATAATGTTAGCCTTTGTATCACTTGAGAATTTCATTCTCAAAAGTGCAAACCTGAAGGTGTCTTCTCTCAGTTGCCAAATTAGCTCTCGAACCTCTGGCTCCGTTAACGTGTTTAACTACAATATTTTCTAAACTCGGGAGCATCGGATCCCTGATCTGAACACGAATTGTAAATCCATAAGACCCAGTCGCTAGTAACCCCACGGGTTCAAATCGTCGGTCTCTTTCAAAGATACTTTTAAGTAATGCGACCTTGTTTTCTATCGTATCGTGCTGCCCAGTCCGACATTTGCCATGTTTAAAATACGGTTATGCTAACAATTGCGGTATAAAATTTGAAGTTTTGGATAGGTAGGTACCTATCTTATAGGAAGATTTGTATACCAGTTTTACTGTTCCTGTTCCGGCGGCATTGATCAAAGAACTTTGAAACCCCTTTCTTAAGGCCACCCCTTTTAGATGGTACAATAGCCTTATCTCTCTGTTTTTAAACAAAGCGCATAATCCATGTCATTATAGCTATACGGTGTTAAGATATAAAATTAAAGTAAAACTATTTATTACTAACTAATTAAAAAAATACTATAGTTAAAAAGGTATATCGAATCGAATCTTTAGCTTGAGGTTACTTAAGGTAACGCCATGCTTTTAAATGGACCGGGCAAGCCAGCGCAGACCTTCTTCGTATCCCTGCCTCTTGGCTACGGAACACATGAAAAATCCGACCTTGTCGCGTACGAGATTGTCAAGACCTAGCTGGGAACGAAGTTCGACATCTGATACAGCGTTGGGATGGTCGGTCTTATTTCCTAGCACAAGAAAAGTAACCTTGGCTAACTCCTCCATGGTAAGAAGAGCCAACAGCTCGGCTTTAGCTTCTGCGAAGCGCTCGGGATCCGCGGCATCGACGACAAATATAATCCCGCCAACCTCCGGAAAGTAATCTCTCCAGAGGCGCCTGGCTTGCTGGTGACCCCCAAGGTCGAATGCGGTACACACAGCATTGTCGATTCTGAACTGCTCCGAAGTTGGATGGTGAGTAGGCTCTAGAATGCCAAGGTGATCGCTTATAAGTCTGAACAGTAATGTTGACTTACCGGAGTTGTCGAGTCCGAGAAGAAGAGCTTTGCTTGCTTGTCGAGAAAACCAAGCGAGGTCAAAGCGCCACGAATCCAGTTAATAAACTCCATGATATCAGAAGAAAAGGTTTAATATTATTAGAAAGGCAATGTTTGAAAGAGAAAGGGCAAGTAAGATCCTTGTTTACTGGAAGATTATTTTAGCTCTCTAAGATGATTGGGCAGCGCATCGTCTTATACTTTATGGCGGATAGGGATATCAAAGGCTTTGTTTGTTCTACGTCAAATATCAATATCCAAGGTCAAATACTATATGTCTGAAGTAAAACAGGAAATACAGTATATCTTCAGTAACAACGGACACTAAAAACTTTCAGCAGCTGTGTGATGAAACCTCTCGGTTGTAACCTCACTCTTAAGGTAAATTTCCGAGTTTGGATTATATACACTATGTTAATCAATACCTATTGGTGGCATATTGTTCCAGCACCTTTGAGATTAAGCTTCACTGTAGAGTGTATATTCACAAATTATTTTGGTCAAATATCAGCTAGGGGTATTGTCTAAGAGTAGTGTCCCTGATAATTATTAATAGGTAAGCTATTTTATCTAATGTAAGAATAGCTTCTACCAAAAGATTGCCCCTGTGGTTCCGTTATAACCTCCTAATAGGCTCGCTTTTCACCCTTGGACTTCGCAAACTTCTTTGAGTAGCCCGATGACCTCCTGGTCAATGACGTGACATTGCGTGTCGGGAAGCCTTGCCAGCTAGTACCGTACGTCGCGACCGCATGGGCAATGGCCCGGCTCGTCGCCTCGAAGGCATCGAGGTTTAAGTTCGTCACATTGTCTTGGGCCGAGTGGTAGTTCGGGTCGTACCAGATACCTGCCGTACCGCCAAAGAGCGTGACCTCCTCGTCGGTCTTAATACCATCCGCACCGGTATCCAAGCCTCCACACGGTACACCCTGGTCTAGGAAAGGCCCGTAGTCACTCCGTCCGTTGAACTCAGATCCTACAAAAGGCAGGCCTTCCGACTTGTACCAGTCCTCAAATAGCTTCTCAGCCTGTGCGGACCCAGCTGGACCAGACAGATTAAAGGAGCTGCCGTCGCCGTCGTAGATGCCGAGCACATAGTTTGGCGAGGCAATCATATCAAAGTTGAGGTATAATCGGACCTTGTCGAGCTCCGAGGCCGCGGTGACGTTGACGTAGTGCTCTGACCCCAGCAGACCCTCCTCCTCAGCCGTCCACCATGCAAAGCGTACTTGGTTATTGGTGCGCCAGCGTGAGAGCTGCTTAGCAATAGTCAGTAGTCCGCATGAGCCGCTGCCGTTATCGTTGATGCCCGGGCCAGCCTCAACAGAGTCACTGTGCGCGCCTAGGAACAATACGTTATTAGCGTCGCCGTGCTTGGAGCTAGCGACTACGTTGTAGCTCGTCGTGTTGTCGATGTACTGCCAGAATTCGCCTGAGGAGACCAGTGCTGCGTTACTCTCGATTTGTTCGACGAGGCGTAGACCATCTGCTCGCGAGATACCACCGACTGGGATCTGTGTTCTAGAGTTTAGTTTTGCTATGGTCTTATAAATATAATTTGGGCCGTAGGTAAATCCTTACTAGGTCATTCACGCCACCAAGAGTGCCGGCCGCGAGACCTGCGGCCGCGTTGTTGTAAATGATAGCGCCGATAGCACCTTTCTCCCCGGCGAGAGTGATTTTTTCAACGAAGGTACAGTTACCTCGAGCGATTAGAGCGACGACGCCGTTCAAGGAGTCTGGATGGTCTTCCTGAATATAATTAGAGATCGGTATTCTCAAACAAAGGCTACATGGAAACTTACGGCATTGCAGCCAAAATTGGCCACGGAAACCAATGGCTTATCCGTCCAAGTCCCGTTATTGCCGAATGAGAAGCCCCCAGCTTCGAGTGTCTCACCGTTGATCGATAAGGACTCCTTAGACTGGAGAGTCACCTCTGTCGTGAACTCCTGTAGCTCGACGTTGTAATAGTCGCCTAACGACTTGAGCTGCTCGACGAAGTAATTGACGCTGTTTAGATGGCCTTCTGTGCCGTGGACCTGATTGACCGGATTTCTTAGTAGGATATTCTCTTTTCTGACGGGGAAGTATATGACATACTCGGTTTCGCCTCGAAGTTGAGTAGGCTATATTTTCCAAGTCCTGCGCGCAACCCAGCAGGTCGTCTAGGAGAACAGAGTCTACTAGAGCTTTCTATTTGATTATTAGAATTGTCTTGATGTTGGTTAATATTGGTAGCGTCAATATTTTCTTACATCTTGGACCAACGGGAGTCCACATTTCGCCCTTCTGATAGGTTCTGCGCTGCTGGTGGAGGCGAGTAGGTTCACAGCCGTGAAGACTATGCCAGAGTTTGGGACCTTCATGGCTCCTTCAACGAGTGTAAGTAATATCAATGGAGCGATAAATGACACTATACCTGAGCGAATGATAGGTATGAGCGTAACGCAAGCAAGGAGGCGTATCACTGGTAGTACGGCATGGAAAAGGGAAGCATAGGCAACCTATATATAAGAGGGATAGGTAATAATTTCTATTCCTGGTCATGTACCTGAGCTATGCAACCTAAGATCGTACCCATACCCGCGTTGCCAGCTCTAGATCGTGGTCCACTAACGATAAGAACAGTAGTGTAGCGGCTCGAGTATTTCCAGGACCATGGTATGACACGCCCCACGCGATATGGCCTCAGTTTTGCCAAGGCGTAGCATTGAATACTGCATTACCTTCCTTATCTGGGGTCGCCAAGAAGAGCTATGCGGGACAAGAAGCTCGGTTCTAGAAGAGATTACGAGTTCTATTCTATATATTCCTTGGAGAATCGTGATGCTTCTATAGGTAGTAGCGAAGAGAAACAAAGGTTATAATTGACCGGTCTTCTACGAATATTTGTGCAACAAAACGCGATATCGTCTATACCGCTATTGATGCTGACACCTACAAAATGACTCCAGAGCCTATAAAATATATAAACATTTCTATTATCTACTTATTGAGGTGTCATTCACGCTAGCGATGGTATTTTACATTTTCGGCGCGGCGGGATATACCGAAAGTCCAGAGTAGGGCCAAGTTATCGGCATATGGACTAGAAATGTAAAGTAGGATTCCGCAATCTCGTTTGTCCCAATGCCAAGTTGTTGGCGATTACACCAAGGTAGGGGTATATGATGTGAATTTGATAATATAGAATTGCGTATCAAGTTCGGGATTATCAACGGGATTATCAACATTGATTAAATTATTTATTATTCTAGATAGATACCTAGGTACCTACCTATACTATGTGTGTCTTGGCCGTAACGAAAACGAATAGAGGGTCTGGATGAATGCCGTCGTTATTCATATGTCTTATTCATATGTCTTATTCATATGCCTTATTGATATGTAATTTGGCATTATTAGGAGTTCACTTAGAAGGCTATAATAAGATTATAAGTTGGGTTGTTGCGATTAATGAATTGGTTATGCAATGTACATAGAATCATCGAAATCTTTTTTTCACTGAGTGGTTGACTACCATTTCTATAACAAGTATATCCATACACATTTAACTGAATTTTGGTATTGTCTACCTTCGAAAACAACGCAGGCAAATCTATATACGTCATGTCGTTCCCGCTCTCATGATATGCATAACCTATGCTTCTGTAAACGCCATTAAACTCCAACAACAAACAAGTGATGATGCTCTCGTCCACTAAGTCAATTAATTATCTAACCAGTCGAGGAATTCAGGAGTGAAGTAGCTGATGATGATGATCGTAGCGCCAGCTCGGAGTATTCCCTCGGTGACTTCGAATGCCATCGTCTTAAGGTCGAATACTCCGGCCTTCGCAGCGGCATGCACCATCGCGAACTCTCCGCTAACATGGTAGGCAGCAATAGGAAGATCTCTGCCTAGCTCCTTCGCGTCACTGATAATGTCAAGGTACTGGGCGGCCGGCTTCACCATAATAATGTCAGCTCCCTCGCCAATGTCTCTGACTATGGCTCGTCGGGCAAGCCCACGCCCTCCAGGTGGCAGCTGGTAACATCTTCGGTCGCCAAATGAAGGTGCCGAACCGGCGGCATCCCTAAAGGGGCCATAGAGACAACCAGAAAATTTAGCGGCGTATGACATTAATAGAGTCTTATGCGCAATTCCCTCCTCAATGAGCTTAAGTTTAATAGCCCGAATACGGCCATCATTCATGTCGGATGGTGCGACGCAATGGGCACCGGCTTGGGCGTAGGCCATGGCAACGTCGGAAATTCGATCCACCGACAATTGATTGTTCAAGGTGGCGTCATCTCTGAGGATTCCACAATGACCATGGGAGGTATACTCGCAGAGGCAGACGTCGACGACGATAAATAGGTGAGGAAATCGTTGTCGCAACAATCGGATACCCTGGATGACCGGGCCCTTTGGATCGTCGGCAGCTGTCGCTAATGCGTCTTTGGTACCGGGTTTGAGTGGAACCCCGAAAAGGATGACTGACCGGAGACCCTTTCGTACCAATGGTTCTAGAAACGGGACTAATTTGTTGACACCGCGGCGGTATTGGCCTGGTAAAGAAGGAATAAGAGTTTCGTCGTCCTCGATGTCTGAAATGAAGAGAGGGTAGATTAACATTGACTACATCCCGATGTTAGTTCTTAAAGCTCTCGTCTTGCTGGAATATACTGATATATTGGTTAACTAACCTTAGTCAATTGTCGTTCAGCTTGCCATGATCTAGCAAGAGGATGGTGGTAACCGCCATGAAGTTGGCTAGAAATATCGCCGGCAATGCTCACGCTAGTGGCTGCCGTGCTCGCGTAGGACATGGCCCTAGAGATATGGGAGGCTCGGTCGTCGACAGTAGAGGCCGAAGCAGTGGCTCGAGGTTGACGTGGCGTTATTCCATCGCGAATAGCAAGATCATGAACGAGATTGGAGAAGGACATTTTGCCAGCACTATGTAATCCTAATGAAGGAAGAAAAGATTGGCAAAATCGTCGACCGACTAACTTGACTTATGAAGTGTAGGAGAGTAATGCGACTCAGAGATATGATAGAGAAAATAGAGAGGATTGGTTGGTCTAGGTAATAAAAGAATGAAATCTATCCGAGTCGAAGTCCAGCTGCGAAGGCCGACGATGTAGAAAATGCCGTTTGGGAAAAGAGGAAGAATAACCGAGTAAGCCGTGGCCAAAATGGCAAAGCGGAAAGAAGGGTACTTAAGAAAGGTGATTCGGGAAATAGTAAGTTTGCGACGGAGTTCACGGCCGCTCTGGATGCAGTTGCGAAATTCGCTGCGAATGAATTTTTGCCCCTTCGGACCTGGTCGTCTAGATTCTAGTGGGGTACCTCGGAAGGTATTTTAAATACCTGAAACAGTGTAGTTCGCACGTACCTTGTAAGTACCTTAGTAGCTTGTGATCTACATGTATAAATTCCTGAAGGTATCTAAACTACCTATGTAGTAACTAACAGTATTAACTGGACCTTTTTTTAAATTTTCTATTCATTATATATCTTTTACGCTTTATATGGGAGTGAATATTAGTGGTTGCATTTATAAAAGAAATTGCAATTCAAAAGTAAAGACGGAAATCTAAAGTGTATAAGTAGATTATAATATTTAACTGAATTTCGGGATTTAATGGTCAAAGTCATGGAGTAGGTACTCTCACAGTGTAAAGAAAACCGCCGAAGCTTGTACTTATCATCTTCTATAACGGAACTATTTCAACAGCGGAAAGTGTCTCCTACGGATTACTATTTAAGACGGCATCCAACACCGACATTTACCGACTCCCCGCCTCGCAATTGGCCAATCAAATATGTATAATTTGAAAACACCTCTTATCTAATGTACGTGTAACACCAAATGCAACACTAACCCGGACGCTAGGCTTCGCTGGCATCAGTGGCTTCAAGTTGATCTCTACTGACAAACTTTATACAATCGTTGCTTCATTGGTTCCTCTTTGTATGACAAGACGCCAACCTGCATGATGATGTGCACGCAAAAGAAGTCAGGCGCTAGACGCCACAAATTTGAATTAAAGTTTTCTCTATAGTCATTTCGTAAGATACATATCGTGTTTACATTACATGTACGTAAATAATATGGCTTGCATACATGTAAGTAGTATATAATATTATGTACTTTACAACATACCCAGTCGCCTCCAGACAAAGCTCGCACCTCCTAGCAGAGCCGTCACACCAGTAAACACTATCAAGCTGCCGTAACCACTACTGTAGCCAAATGGTGCCGTGTTTCCTTTCCACGGCAGACTTCGTATTAGATTTTCGCTCAGAGGTCCCGAGACCACGTTACCAATACCTCGCCCTGCAGCAAGCCAGCCAAATACCATACTTGGGTCAATGTAGCCTTGATCTAATGATTCTCCTTTTCGGACGATGTCCATCATAACCCCTGGCCAAGTAGACGTATAAGAGCCTGCAAATAAGCCGTAGACAATACAGAAAAAGTATAGAAGCGGGAGAGACGATGACAAACCCCATATAACCAAGGCGCCGATGGTTGCACCAAGTGTCGATAACAATATGCATGTGGTAACGTGAAATCGATCGATGAAAAAGCCCATGGCAACACAGCCAAAGACGGAAGCAACATTTACCAAAAGGATAGTGTGCTGCTGAACCGTATGATGCGGCGCCGAGAGCACTGCGGGCATAATTAGGAAGATAAATACCCGGCAAGAAGAATCCCATCGCTTCTATCACATTGGCCAATTGGTATAACCAAAAAGTCGGCAACAAGAACATGCTTAAGCTGAAGGGTTTAACATGGCTGGTAGCTGAATAGGGGAGTCGTGGCTTGATGTAGAACGATAACGGAATCGTCAAGGCGAAAAGCACACCAGACCAGATCCGCAACGTTGTTCTGAACCCGACAGTGCGAAGGAGGAATTCCATGAGGAGAGGTAGCACTACTCCTGCGAGGCCCGTACCACTCCACATGATACCATAGGCGAGACCTTTGCGTTGTACAAACCACTCGTCTATATACTAATGGGATATCTCAGTTAGTAAAATTTTACCATCAAGTCTATTCTGTTTTGTTATTCGGGTATTTGTGTATATTCCCTTTAGAGTAGGTGTATACTTACCAATATACAAGGACAGTAGGCGATGCCACCACCGATAGCATAAAGGACACCTTGGGTGGCGATGAGATGTGAGATATTCGACGAAAAGGAGCTCATCGCAAGTGCAAGGCACATAGTGAATAACCCAACTATAGACGTCCACCGAGCCCACCGAGCAAAGATGCGGCAGAGCCCCATCATGAGAGGGCAAGTCAGGTACATGATACCCATTGCACAAGTACCGATGACAGCAACATTCGGCGAACCCGCAAAAGGCTCGTGGGTGCTATAATAGTCCTGGAACACTCCGAAGGAAAAGGGGAAACCTTGAAACTGGTTAGCAATTTGTTGCTTCTTCATATTATTAAAACACACCCCAAACTAAAGCTTCGATCGCGAAGCACGCTGCTAGGAAAAGCCAAGCATCCTTTCCCCCATCGACAGGTGGTAGTGAGAATTCTTGTCTGCCATCTTCGGGCTGCGAATCAGCTTGCTGAGTTCCGCTCTCATCTGGGGTCGTAAAAACCCCTGTCCTGGAAATAGGATGAGAAATAGACTCAAGCTCTATATCACGGCTCGCCATCTTATAGATGAGTGGTCGTAATGAGAAAATAGCAAGCTAATTGCAGCAGGGGAGTAAAGGCAGGCTATGAGATGCATCACCAAGACAGCTTCGAAAAATAGCTATTTGAGTTCTTACATCTCCGGTAATGGAGGTATGAAGTGGAGAGATATTTAATCAGACCGACTTTTAGTTGGTATTCACTTATCACCTAGATTTATCTAGCGGTGCGCCTTTCCACTTGACAATTTGTTAAAAATTCCAGTTTTCCTCGGCTAAGTTTAATGCGACTGGTAGAAAGTTCGAGCTCCTCTGCGAGCATTACATACACGATTGCCTAGGTACATTTCTTCGAGATGTTGGGAACTTATACGGCATAAATCACCTACCTTAGGTACGTAATCGACTTAGGTACCTACCTATCTATCTGTTGAACGAATGGCGCGGACTCGCGACTAGTCGCGCGGGTTTTATTCCAGTAAAACTTTATCTTAAGCATTCCTCTTAGATCGAATTACTAATACCAATAACCACCTAGGTTAGAACAGTGTGTTGAATACTAAGTCTTCGTTCATAGGTAATTGTGCTACCAATACCTTATTGTGTTACCCACGGGAGCGTGATTTCTTCTCCTTTTTGCTCGTGGATTGGATACTTGGCATTGATGGTATCACTTGATCTAACTGACTCTGATAGATTCAACTTTCATCCTATAAAATGCCCAGATGTTCAAACTACGAGTATCCTTAAGAGCTTATTAAATTCGCTTTGATCTTCGCCAAATCATCTTTTGAAAACCCTAGCTTATCCGTAACGAATTTCTCGAAGCCGCCGTACTCCTTCTGCACGCCGTCGACAAACGCGTTCCAGCTCGAGGCCCGCAGATTGATCAAATTGTGGAAACCCGGCTGTTCCTTGCTCTTCGCATGCGAACCGGCTACCGCGAACTCCAAAAGCATCAACCGAACTGGCTCGGTCCCTATGCGCGATAGCATGTAGTCTAGGATTATGGTTTCTTGCGACGCGCCGGCAAGGGCTAGCAGAAGACCGGAAAGTACGCCCGTTCGGTCGCGTCCGGCTAGGAAATATGTGTTAGTGTGGACCTCATATATATGATCTCCCTCAACTATAGGAATGCTGTCGTTGGATGGTTGGTAGGGACACGGTAATATACGGACCAGTGCAGTGGACCAGGAACGGGTCGCTCGGTCGATCCCTAACATGTTCTAGAATCGCCTTCCAGCTCTCCTGGTACACATCTATGACCTCGAGGTACATCTCACGGTACCCATCCTCGCCCTCACCGGGGACAAAGTGGTCTAGCTCGGGCGTCGAGTCGGGCCGTGTGCTCTCGATCCAGGTGTTCTCGACATCCTGAAGCGCGGGGTCCGGGGCACCCGCGCGCTCCTCAGGAGACCGTAAGTCGAACACACGCTTGACGCCTAGCTTACCCTCAAGCACAGCACGGCCGTTGTCTGTCAGCCGAACGAGAGCACCGGATCGGAAAGCGAAGTTAGAGCGGATCGGACTACCGGGAACTAGCCCGATGTCTCGCGTGTTGAAGGTGCCGTCGACGAACACGAAGGGCGGGTTCGTGAGAACTGGGATGTACTGCTCCTTGGTGATTTCCTGCGAGACGTCGGTCTCGGAGAGCTTGAGGAGGGCGGCAGCGTCGGCCATGAGTGCGACTGTAACTACGTTACGATTAGAAGGCTTAGTTCGTAGTAATTCGTGATATGTAAGTTGAACCGAGGCAAGACAAGTGGTATTAGCAAATTCTCTAGTTGTTCTTTAGGTAGGCAACTAAGCAAGAGTAAGGGTAAGTTATAAGAGCACTAAGTAGTAAGTATAATAAGGGCACTAGGTGCCATCCCTAAGAAAGGGGGGCACCTAAGTTAATAGAGTTACTATGGTATAGCACCTTCCATCTTGGCCGCAAGCTTACTGGCGGGGACCCTGGCATCTAGTGTAAGACATTCTGCAGGGACGGTTTTTTACCCCGCCCCCGCTTCTCGTACAACCTTATTGACATTTGACAGGTCTACGGTACCTGAAACACTCTGATAAATCGTTACATCATTCTAACCCTATTCGATATGCATCTACCCGTGAAGATACTCAATGGAGTTGAGGATATTTCGGTATCTAATCGCACAATATCGGAACTATTGTGATCAAAACGCTTCGGGTTACTCAGATAGGTACCTAATGTTAGTGAATGCGTATGGAATATTGTGAATACCTAGCTAGGCACATAGGACCTCGCTAACATATCCGGTTTATGTAGTCAAAACGCCAGTCTTCCAAATAAGACAGTGCCATATCTGATCTGCTAAATAACATAAACAAGTAGTCATGGACTGGTTCCGCCTCCCGCGCCTTGGCCGTGATACGATCTGGATATACTCATCAGCCGTAATTGTTTCATTAGCAGGGCTTATCAAGATTCGTCAGGGCGTAGTAGACTACGCTTATACGGATACCTACTGCTATCAATCTATGCGCACAAATTCAGTTGTAGAGCCGTTTGCGAATTGCTTCTCAGTGTCGCCTACTGGGAAGTTTTCTAAGGTCTTCAAGGCCGGAGCTGGTACAGAGCTTGCTCAGAATGCAAGTTCGGGCTTTGCTAGTATGTAACATTCAGTCTATCATACTTAATTATGGAAAATGGTAGCTTACTTATATTGCTATAGTGCCGGGACTATGGGATGGACATGGACATCTTCTACAGTATGGTGAGTTCTTGAACTCGGTAGATCTTTTCGGATCTACTTCTATGGATGATGTTCGGTCTCGTATACGGAAATATCTTGGCCAAATCCCCGAGGCTGGGTCGAAGGAGGAGTGGCTAAGAGGCGTTGGATGGGATCAGATGGCTCTTGGGCAGATGCCGACTGCTGTAAGTTTCGTGAGGGTATACTGGTCTTCGTTAAAATACTGACGTTCTCGGAGAGTGATTTAGCGGCGGATAAAGACCTAAAGGACTTATACATCATGCTAGATAGAGTAGATGTACATTGTATCTGGGTTTCTCAGGCAGTGCTGGACTTACTCCCAGAGTCTATCCCTGATGTTCCTGGCGGAGAGATCATTAGAGATCCTGGAATGGGCGTGTTCTGTGATAATGCGATGGATATGGTCATGGCATTATGGCCGAAGCCAGACAATAAAAAGAAGCAGCAATTCGTAAAGAGTGCTATGGGAAAATTAAACGAAGTAGGACTTGTGGGTATACATGATGCTGGTGTCACGCCTGGCAATCTAAACCTCTTCAAAGACCTAGCAGCTGGTTCCGACTGGACGGTACGAGTATACGCCATGATAGAGTGTTACGAACGGAATACGTTCTGTCCAAACGAAGTGGAACGATACACAAGTCCAGATGGCTTTTTAAGTATACAGAGCGTTAAGCTTTTCGCTGGTAAGCTTTACAGAGATTCTTCATACCTATTGATTAGGTCTAACTTCAAATAGATGGCGCTCTGGGAAGCTGGGGAAGTGCTCTAATCGACCCCTATACCGATCGTCCAGACACGTCAGGCTCTCTACTTGTTAATGCTTCGGAATTGGTATACGACACGATCGCATGGGCCAATGAAGGTTTTCAAGTCAACATACATGCAATTGGCGACCTGGCAAACCGATATGCAATTGACGCCATGGTTGCCGCCCTCAGACTGCTATGTCCCAACGAGCCTCTCTCGCGCTGCCAATCCTACCATCGCTTCCGCATCGAGCATTCTCAAATCATCCACCCGGACGACCAGACTCGAATACACGCAATCGGAATTATCCCGTCTATCCAACCCACTCACGCCACAAGCGATATGGCATATGCGGAGAAGAGACTGGGCAAGGAACGCACCGTGAAGGAGGCATATAGGATGCGCTCGCTCCTAGACGCCAAACCTGTGTTAGGAAGTGACTTTCCCGTCGAACCACCAAACCCGTTCCAAGGCATATACGCGGCCGTCACGAGACGAAGTCCGCATACCGGTAGAGGTAAGGATAATTCGCCTGAAGGGTGGTACACGGAGGAGGCCCTCGATTTGGACCAGGCAGTCTGGGGCTTCACCGAGGGCCCCGCGTACGGCGGGTTTACGAAGGGCAAGACCGGAGTTATCAAACCGGGAGCCTACGCGGATTGGATCGTTCTGGACACGCCACTCGAGAACCTTTATATAGAAGATCTGCGCGAGCTGACGGTACGAGAGACGTGGGGGGGGAAAAAAGGTCTACTCGCGTGACCAATAGACATGGTTGGTAGGGTAGGTCTTTTTATTATTATACATAGATCATCTAGACAATAGAGGGCTTATGAGTCTGTTATATTCTATGATACTTACCATAGATAATCAAATGATATTTCTATTTAAAGGGTTTTTTTTTTAGTTTACTTCTGACCAGCCCATTGGAAGTTCGTTTCAGGGGGTAGCAATGCCTCTATCATATGTTTCACAGCATCAGGACAATAACTCGAATAATGCCTTGCCATGATAACTATGCTCGACCTCGCCCCCAAATATTTCGTAAATATAGAATTTATAAATATATAGCGTTGGGGTCTGTATAACGGTTGTCTCTTTATTGGGGCCGTATGGAGGGACCAAACAAATACGGCTTAATTTCGTCCTCTCACAATTCTCGTCGATCATTATAAATCTAGTCGAAGTTAGCTCTGAAGCTTTACACATATACCTCTTTCTTAAGAGATTATGGCAACTAAACTAGAATCAAGAGATAATGGGGGTTCATCCGAGGAAGAACTTAACTCATTAACGAATCTAAACAATAGAGCTTCTTCGACACAAGATATTGACGTGCCATCGCCCCTAGGTGATAACGATGATAATACAACATCAGTTTCGGTTTATTCTGTTAGTAGGCAATCAAGTCAAAGTAAGTCATTTATAATTAGGGATTTCTTCTACTGACGACCTAGGGTCAATAAATCAAGTAATTCAACAACACCTCTCCCCACCGGATCACGACAATCATATCGGATTAACGAATGGCCAACAAACGCCAGTTTCTGACGAGTCTGCTGCCGCTTCACCAACATCCACTACCTCTGCCCTGCCTTGCAATAGCGACCAGACCTCACCGCCTCGCTCTTGGTGGTGGTGGTGGGAAATCGGTGCAGCACTTCTCAGCATTATCAGTATTTCTGCAATTATTGGGATAGTCATTTCAATCAATGACACCCCTCTTGAATCATGGCAGTTTGCCATTTCTCCAAATTCCCTTATCTCAATTTTGACAACTATCGGGAGAAGCGCAATGATGATACCAATAGCAGCTTGCCTCAGCCAGCTTAAATGGCACCACTTTCGTACACAGCCTCGGAGATTAAGCAGTCTTCAAATATTCGACGACGCGAGTCGGGGCCCATGGGGTTCGGTTCTTTTTATTTTCAAGGTTCGAACACGAGTTCTAGTGGGATTATTCTTCGCACTTATCACTATACTTGCACTTGGTTTTGAACCTAGCGCCCAGCAGATCTTAGAATTCCGCCCTAAACGTATTATGATATTAGAACAAGTGCCTATTCTAGGAAAAGCCGATAGATACTATTCTAAAGGATTTAACAGTCCGCAATTCGAAGGTAAGGCTCCAACGACGTGCTCTGCCCAGATAGCTCTATGGAACTCGGTCTGAACTCACTTCTAAACAGTTGCCGGGAGTAGCCCTAGTCATCATGCATTATCATTAGAATCTTCTCTGCTCAACGGAGCGGCTGGTACACTTTGGCAACCTAGGTTTTCTTGTCCTGAAAACGCAACTGATTGCGAATGGGACAATTTTACTAGCCTTGGGTTATGCGGAGAATTCCGGAACATAACGGACGAGAAGGTTCATAGCTGCACATGCCTCACATGCAAACAAGGGCGAGTACCCTGGGGTATCGGTCTATCTCTCGGGTGTTATTACGGCTTTAAATATCAGATAGATGACAATCCGCAGCGGGGAGTACCGATGTTTTATTCACTCACCGTAGGAGCCCAGGGACCACACGCAGAGAACCCGACAACGGCTTCCACGATTTTCCGTGCTGTAAAAAGTACGGAGAATCTAGGATTGGTCGTTGCAAAAGTAATGGGGGGGCAGGTCCATGTTGACGAGGGGGAAACTGCCAACGTTACGGATATAACAAATACGGAGGACCTAGAAAGTCTTCCTAAACTGCCTATGGTAGAACTATACACCATTAAGTGGTCTTGGTGTGCTAAGACATTCCTAAACGTCACTGCTAGTCCTGCCGGGATAAGACCTGGGACCATTGAGTCGGCAAATCTTAAACAAGGACTCCTGCCGAGCGAAGGTTGGGAGGTATTAACCGAGTCTGCAACAGGATCACAATTCCACGTCACCACCACCACAGACTCAAGCCTTATGTCTTATTTATACGACCTTTTCAACACTACAGTGTACGACCGTATACATCGAGAATCCCTATCTGACGCGGAGAAGAAATTTGACATTGGTTCTCTTCTGTATGGGACAGACCTAAGGAATCTTACCGGTAACATTGCGGAAGTCCTTACAAATCAGATTCGGAGTAATGACCCCGGAGACAACGCAAATGCCACGGTAATTGACGGGCGAGCTTGGACGGACAAAACATATATACGTGCCCGCTGGCAATGGATTATCCTTCCCTTATCCGAAACTATACTGACTGGGGTTCTTCTCGTGGTTTCAATCCGTATAACGAAGGGTCAAGGCCTCTGGAAGAGCTCTACCGCTGCACTTTTGTTGCATAAGCTCGGCGGCTGGACAGAAGAGGAGTTGAATTTAACATGGGAACAGACGTCTGAACAGTTGGATGCTAAGACGGAGAGGATGCTAGCTACACTGAAGAGGGATGAAAATGGTGTACACGGATTCTATAAGGCACCTTAGACGTAAATTGGTCTAAAATTCTCCCTACTTACGCGATTCAGGGGTAAGGATGACTCGCATAGAAATGCTATTTTTATGGATAGAACTATTAACGCGTTGCATTTATCCCTTTTTTATACTTTACTCGTGTATTGGTAGTTCAACAAATAAGCAACTAAAGCTAGGCCACCAAGGTACCAGTCACATTGAGCTCTGTATCTCTTGAATTGCGCCCACCGTCGACCTTTTCTATGTCAGGTATAAGCTGCAGGTGTTACAGTTTGTACGGAGTACTATGCAGCCGCAATGATAGACTTCTAGTAGACAACTTTATAGGAACAATTAACGGTTCTAGAGTTACCCCTAATAATAGGCTAGAATTATATATACACATATTATCAAAGTATATTACAAGGCAAGTTAATATAATACATCTTTTGAAGAAGGCTTTACAGTATACTAATGAAAGCTTAATAATTCTGACAAAAGGTATGGTATGATATCGTATTCTTCACTAACATAAATTGTTAGGCCCCTACATGGCTCTGGTGATATTTAGATAAGGCGGGATAAGTAATTTCTTGATGGCAGACAAAATATGGAGCCGTATAGTTTTGGCGTTAACCCGCTTCACCATTCCGGATTTAAACTTAAGTCCAACGAAATATGTATTTTTATACAGACCGGACGACATTATAGTAACCTCTTATGTCCTTCGTAGATCGGTATTGACCGGGCAGCGAAGACGCGAAGAACCGATATTTTCGACCATGTGGACGGTTATATCGTTATTACTCGGATCTAATATCAAGATAGTCCCTTAGTTATCCCCGTATATAACCCTCCTGATTCCCCCTATAAAGTTTTGATCTTTCCCCAGGACTATATTGATCTTAGAAACAAAGCACTAAGAATCGCAATTAGTATACTTCATTATAAAACAGTTACAATGTCTACTTTCACTAAACCAAACCGTCCTCTAACCTGGCTCATCACTGGAGCTACATCAGGCTTCGGCGAATCTCTCTGTCGTCTAGTCCTAGCTGGTGGCCACAAGCTGATAGCGACGTCCCGCAACCCTTCTCGTAACCCCGAGCTTGCAGCTGAGATCAACGCTCGTGGTAACGACAGCCAGTTAATTCAACTTGACGTTGATGACCGAAACAGTGGCCAGATCATGTAAGTGACCCTATGGCTGTTCAAGTCTTTTCTCCTTTTCACCCCTGAGCCATCCTCTTAGGCAAGACCATAACACCCTTGGCGACTATTTTAAGGGGTAGTTGTTGATTTCATATTTTAGCGAATCTCTGGAGGCTTCCAGAATTGAAATCGACGTTCTGGTGAATAACGCTGGGTATTGTATCTATGCTCCCGTGGAAACGGCCGCCGAAGAGGAAGTACGAGCTCTGATGGAAACATTGTACTTCGGCCCTGTCAGGCTCGCTCGTGCTGTTCTACCTTACATGCGCAGGCGTAGATACGGCGTCATCGTGAATATCAGCAGCGGCGCTGCTCTGGATGGAAGAGATAGTATGGGGCTCTATGCTGGAGCCAAGGCTGCGCTCGATGGTAAGGCATACCAAGTCGAGTGTTTTCATCCGCAATATGCGCTAATGATGGCGATCTAGGAATATCCAAAGTCCTTGCGAAGGAGGTTGCTCTGTTGGAATCCGCACTCTAACCGTTACCCTTGGGACTTCAACACCAATTTGCCAATGCTACTATCGTCGGCAAAATCCTCTTCCAGACGACTATAAGGGCTCGGTGGCAGAGCAGATGATTCAGATTAGTATGTAACATTTAAAAATCCCCTCTAAATCCGTCTTGGGTCCTAAAGCTTCCTCATGGGATCAATTCGCGACTATGTGTGGTTCAAAGAAGCCTTGATACCACCCCCCCTTTATTATATAAACTGATTACAGTACTAACTTTATCATTGTAGTGTCCAGTGGCAAACTACAACCAAATGGTGATAAAGATAAGGCAATGAAGGCCCTCTACGAAGTTGTTGTTGGCGAAGGTGCTGGAAAGGGCCACGAAGCTGAACGGCTTCTTCCTTTGGGCCAGGATATGACTCTTCGTTTGAAAGGCCAGTTGGAGTATTTTAACCACGCCTTAGAGGTCTTTGGAGATGTCACGGACAATGTTGCTGTAGACAAGAAATGATATATCTGAGAACCATAACGCGAGTAGATATCCTATCAATCGTACTAAGTACGAAGTTTATTCTAAGTATTGTGCAACATTGCTCTATAAATTATAGGGTTAATCTAAGGAGTTCCTTTTACTTTGCCTCTATACCAATACCTAAGCCAGTGCCGTTAACATTCATCATGAACCTAGTTCAGGAGATTCACTGGTCTTGTCAGATGCCCTGTGCCATATCTACTAGGATAATCCAGGTTTCCAGCCCAGGGCGAACTCCCTGATAAAAAGAGAAATAAACCGCTCGGACCTCTGGGTTATAAAGCTACCTAGGTTAGGTAAGTTGGAATTCACAAGCTATAATCCTTAAGAGAAGCTTAGGCCCTAACTGTGGAGTATCGGATAGCTTGCCGGGCCTGGCCTATATAAAAATCAAGGAACTAAGTTAAGGACTAGCAAATATCCTAGAGGTACCTAGTGTCCTAAGCCTTCGCGGCTTTAATGAGATATCATCTTACGGAAGGAATAATCTTAGCATAGAAGTTAGCTTAGGAATTAGGAAATAGAAATTTACAGGCGTAAGAACTAATCGTAGCTGATTAAGATTAGGTGCTTATGGTATTATGCTACGGATGCTGGGGCTATAATTTATGTCGTACTTTCATCTAGAAACCGCAAGGCCCAGGATATACCATCCCGCCAGCCGATCCGAATGGGTAGTCTTCTATACCAAGAGGGCATTTATCAGACGTAGTTGCGCCCGAAAGCTGTGCCTCCTTGATCAGAAGCTGACACATCGTACCAGTATAAACCGACGCAACGCAGTTTTGTCGCTGCTGACACTGCTGGCAACAGTCTTGGGAAGAGTTGGCCTGGACATTTTCAGCGCGGTTACCTTTTCCACTACCCCCTGTGTTGTAGCCAACACTGCAGCGGTCATATGCAACCGTTTGAGTTGCCATCTGAGGGGAGGAGTTGTTAGTTGAGATATGCCCTAGAGAGACTCAATTCTAGGTAAATAAGGCAGGTGACTTACAGCTACAACAGTAGTTGTGGTGCTCTTGGTAAATGTGACGATGGTCGAGGTTATCGTCTTAGTCGAGACAGTTATCTTCGACTCAGTGATAGTACTTGTGGTAGTCTGGGAAATTATGAGTAATAACTCTTCGTATTGTAGATAGGAAGCCAACTTACGGCATCAGATGATACAGTCGAGACGACAGGACTCACACCCAGACAATTGCAGGCCGAGCTGATGGCTAAGCTTGAAACGCTGTCCGTGGGCAAACTTGTCAAAGTAGGACAGGCGACAGCGGCAGAGGCAGACGAGCTGGCCGGAAGTTCATTGGACTCTATTTCGCGTCGACCAACTGGACCAGGTGAGGGAGTCGCGAAGACAGTAGTACTCGAAGTAGAGACAATTATTTCCGTCTCGGTCGTAGTAGTAGTTGTGAATACTACTCTAGTAACAGTACGGGTAGCCAACTCCGTAGTAGTTGTCAGAGCCGTTTCGGATGGAGGAACCGCGAATACTGTATTCGTGCCTAGGAAGCTGCTGCATAAAGCAACGGCATCAGTCGATACACTAGGAGCACATTGCTCAACAACTTCTTGGGCCCCGGCGAGGACGGCAAGGCCATTAGTGCATTGGGCGAATACACTGCGGGCTAGAAGAGCTACCGCCGCAATGGAAGAAGAGGCGCGCATTTCTAAAGATTAAGTATGAAATAATGAATGACGGTCTATTAAAGATAAACGAGCGTATGCTAGAAATGCCAAGAACATCGAACTTCAACGAAGAAATCAAATTCTCTCGCAACACAACAAAAAGAGCGTGTATATATTGAAAGAGAAAAGACTAAGCTTATGGGCAGTGACTATAGGCCTTATTAAAGGATATCATGGACTGATCCTTACGATCCATCATCTGGAGACGCATGGGAAAGCGACTACGAAGTCAGGGGTAAGCGAGCCGGCGTCTCAGACTATAAGTCGACTAATCTAAATATCTGTATAGTATTATTCGACTCAAGCCAATTTAGTATTAAGCTTAATTAGCCGCTACTCATTTTCGTGCTTCCGTAGATATTAGAGATTAGACCTCTGCTTGGCTCGAGGAATGGATGTGCTTGGCCTTACGTAGGTATGTAAATAGCTTTTCTTTTAGCGAGGCACTCACATCCCACGTGGTTGTGACGGGTTCTTCATGTGGGAAGGGTACCATCTCGTCGATTATATTAATATGAACTCTCGGCATATATTAGGTACCTCCTAATGTATATAAAATTTTTCTTCTTTTTGAGAAGCTTTTAATAATCCGTAGAGAGAAATTGGCATTTAGGAGGGGACCTTGATTTTGTGTATGGGCGAGATAATTTATACTATGCATAAAATAGAGATTATAAACGATTGATCTTGATATGTGATGGTATGGTTGCTACTTGAGTGATAACTATCATTTAAGTTATATCGAATTTCTTCGTTATACTTGAAAGTGATTTGTGCCGTAGCTACCTGTTGACATGCCTAAAAATCAAAGGATTAAATTTGTATTGCGGCCGTAGAAACAATAAGTACCTCCAACTGGCGGATTATAATTGGCAGCTGTCTTGCTTAAGATTCACCGGTTGGATCGGAATTATCGGAGGGGAATGCCCCAATTTACCGGCCCGGCGTCCTAGTAGCTGTGGTAGGTATTACAAGGTTCTATTAGCAAGGTGGATTATCGGGGGGTTATCATTAACGGAGAATGACGCGCGGGAGCTCCAACCAATTTTTCAGAAGCTTTAGATATATCGCATCGCATCCGCCACATCCTGCATCCTACGCCATCTTCTTATTAAGCGACTGTTAACAGCTTTAGCCATGCACAGGCGAGTCGAATAAAATTACTGGCGACAATAAAAGTTACCTAGTTGCTAATAATCATGTAGTAGCCGGTATACATAGTCTACCTCCCATTATGCGGTCGCAATTGACCCGCCATGTCTTGCGACGCATCCTTGCGAGCGAAGCACCTGTCGCTCTCCCCCCTTGCTTTGTCTCCTCGAGACCGGCATTCCGTATATATCCCGTGAGATATAGAGTTGCAAGGACAATCCAGAGGAGAACATTCTTAAAATTATTTCAAAAAGCTCCGCGGACATTGAAGGAACTGGACGCCGAACCGGGGTACGAAACCCTGCTCCAATTTCAGGCCGCAGAGAAGAATAGTATTCGGCCTCCAATGCCGGATGAATTAGTTAGAGCATGGCGGGAACTATTTGAATATAAGGCTCGATATGGCCGGGTAGTTAACTCGACGCAGGCCTTGTGTGCTCACCGGGTGCTGTTACATCTTCGTACCCTACCTGCCAATAATGAAGATAAGCAGCTATCTGAAGACGACCTTCGGACAGCTAGGGACTGTTTACTAAAACCGCCGAGAGACAATTATACAAGTCACCTTGAGCTTTCGAGGGAAATCTATGCAGATTTAAAGCGGAGGGGCGTTCACCAGACCAAAGACTTTTATGCCTTGTCGACTGCCTTGTCACAGTATGGGCAAGCTCTCCAGGCGAGGGACTTAGTGTTGGATTATTACTCTAGAATGAGGAGTAGAGAACCTAGCGATGTCTTGCTAAGACAATTTATACCTGTGATTCGATGTCTGGCTAAAGAGGGTCGAGAACCAGAACTCTTAGACCTCGTTTCCCAGGCAAGTCGACTTGGTCTTGAATACGACCCAACGCTCCACAGCATCATGACCACATTTTTCGCACAGAGAAACAAGGTTGGAGAAACAAAGTACTGGTTCAATAAACCAATCGGTAGGAGTCTCCCTCCGGCTCCTGCGACATACTATGAGATACTCAAGTTTGCCCTTCGCAATAACCAGCAAGAATGGGCGCTGGGGATTTACCAAGACCTAATCTCAAGCTTGGAGTCTCCAAGGCTACGTACCAATAAGCCCTGTTGGGATACATCTTACCAGTGGGCGATTTTATTACTTGGGAAAGGAATTGATCATATCGAACATATGCTTGCGGTTGCTACCGAACGCACACGAGACAAGCCCAGTTCACGACCTAATATAGGGACGATAAATGGACTTATAAGGACTGCCATTGAAAAGAATGATCCGTATCTAGCCGAACGTTTCATTGCGTTGGCCGATAAGCTGGGATTCGAACTAAACTATAAGACTTATATGCTTCAGCTCGAGTATCGTATCCACGCGAATGACCTCGACGGCGCCTTCGCGGCCTACCAGTCACTTCGAGACCTTGAGGAGACAACTAGGGATAAAGAAGTCTCAGTCCTGAACTTTTTCATTCGTGCCATGTGCTCTGTGCCGGAACCTAACCATGAGCGCGTTCTAGATGTCACTAGTTACCTCGAGCAACGACGTGTCACGCTGGAGCCTGAAACAGTGGTTTCCATTTGTATGGCATTCCTAAAGAATGACGAGACATTTGAAGTAATAGACACCCTATCACTTCATACTGTTCACTACAGCATTGCCGAACGCTCTATGGTTCGGAAGGCCTTCGTGCAATATTGTTTAGATGAAAAGAATAGTACAGCTCGTGTATGGGATGCGTACGCATTATTACGGCAATTCTTCCCCGAACTTGAAGCAGAAGATCGAGAAGCTATCATGAGTATCTTCTTTGATAAGCGTCGTGCGGACATGGCAGCACACGTATTTGGACATATGCATTCCCATGCAAACCGGCAACTCCAACCAACTCTAGAGACATATGTCCGCTTCATGGAAGGCATTGGCAAATGCCCAGACGAAGAGAGTTTAAAAACAGTCCACAACATGCTGAAAATGGACACGACGATCCAGGCCAGCACACGCCTATATAATGCACTAATGATTGGGTATACAGCATGCGACTTACCCTATCGAGCGCTTGATTTCTGGACGGAGATCGCTGCGTCTCCCGACGGGCCATCCTATGCCACACTCGAAATTGTATTCAGGACTTATGAGATCACACCCGATGGCGATAGCCTCGCAAATGAGCTATGGGAAAAGATAAAAAGGATGGATATCGAAGTGCCAGATAAAGTCTACCTAGCATACGCAGCCACGACAGCCGCGCATGGTCACCTTACAATTGCCAAGATGCTGTTAGAGGATATGGACAATGTCGTTGGAAAGGGGCCCAACTTTCATAAGTGAGCACAGACATCAAGTATTGCCGTGTATTGATAACTGACATTTCCTTAGCCTTGGCACCGTGTTTAATGTTTTACCGTCGCAAGAGATGAAAGACCAATTCGAAGAATGGGCAAAAGAATCCTACCCGCAAGTATGGGAGGAATTGAAGAAAAAGTACGCCAAAAAGCAAAACAGTGAAGGCCTCCCGGTATTTAAGATCCGCCCGCGGCCGTGGAAGGCATGATGTATATGGATTGATCTTGTACAACACTACTCGTACATTTATCTACATAGGTAGATAGCCTCTGCTGTCTCTTTGTATATAGACGGATAAGCGTTGAAAGACACGGAGATGTTATGTTGTTGTACAATTCACCCACCCATCATCTACCCAACCAATTATTAACCTCAAGACTTGACGTTTCTGTTGACTGTCGCGGAGACCTGCTCGTAGTATCTGGCGTTCTCCCGGATTAGAATCTCCGGGTGGTGATGCACGCTGGGATGGATGCCGAGACCGATGGCCCGCCGTACGGCCTTGGCCATCTTCCGCTGGTTCGCCGGCCGTAATCCCGTATCGACTGCGCGCTTTATCCTCCCGTGCGGCGTCATGTATTCTGATACGACAGAGAAATTCTACGGGGCTCTTGTTAGTAATTATCTACCTATACACATGTATATATATGTATATATATAGACATAGACGAATATGGTTCATCTTTTTCTGCTCTTTTCTTCCCTTTCAAATTGTTTAAGGTGTGTAACGTACGCGATACATATCTAGCGGCCGCAGACCGAGGATATCGACGAGGTCCTTCTTGCGAGCCTGTGTGCGGCGCCACTTGGTCATCTCGGCGGAGCTCATGTCGTGAGGGGCGTAGATGTCGCCGGTGCGCCAGCGGCGGGGTAGCTGGCGCAAGTAATCCTCGGCCTTGTTGTTCTGGCGCAGCTCCTCTTCGAGGGCGACGCGCCGCGCGACGGTATGCCGCAGGCGGTCGTAGATGTCGGCGGCGGCGGCGGTGGAATTTTTGGGGGTGGAGTCGTCGATGTCGAGGAGGTTGGAGGTTACGCTGGGGAGGTCTCTGCGGACTGGGTTGGAAGGGTTAGGTTAGCGGCGGAGGTGAGGTGCGATATAGTGGCTTGGGGGTCGGTTGGCGACTTACTGACTTCGCGTGGGCTGGTGCTGGATATGTTGGCGGTTTGGGATTTGAAGAGAGTGGAGGGTTGCCGTAGGGCGGCGAGGAGGGGTATTCGCGGTGGCATCTTGGGTGATTGACTGATGAATTTATTAATCTAGGCCTTAGATTCCGAGAGTCACGATTCAATTGTATTCTATCAGATATATAGGTAGGTAGGTATATACCTTAGGTACGCAATCGCAATCGGATGATGGAATATAGGTGCAATCCAATTCAATGGAGCACATCCAACATAGAAATTTAGTCGGTTAAACAATTATTCCAGCTGTATGTCCCTCGGTACCTAGGTACTTATTTGTACCCCCTGTCAATGCACCCCGCAAGGTCGTAAACTGCTGCAGGGTTCTCAAGCTCTTATCGGATCTTCAATGTGGGGCGCGAAAAGTTGCGATTAAAAAAAAGTCGAGCCTCATCAACTCCAGACTTTCTATATACAAACAATTCTGTAGATCTTCGAAGTGACCGGCAGACATCATGGTCCGAAAACTTAAGCACCACGAGCAACGTCTGCTCAGGAAGACAGACTTCATTACCTGGAAACAGGATAATGACCACAGAGATGTTTGTGCCTCTTAACATCTATTATCAAATCAATAATTTTGCTAACTTATGCGCTCTTGACAGGCGGCTGTTATACGACGGTACATGATCCAAAAGCCCGAAGATTACCACAGATATAACAGGATATGCGGTGTAAGTACTCTAAACAGTCAAATATCACAGCAAGGGAATTGCATGATCTAACACTTTTCACCAATAGTCTCTGCGCCAACTAGCACATCGCCTCAGCTTATTACCGCCAGAGAACCCCATAAGGAGGAAACACGAGGAACTTCTCCTAAACAAGCTCTACGACATGGGAATCCTATCGTCGGCCTCGAAGCTCTCGAACGTCGAGCACGGCGTCACTGTCTCGGCTATGGCGCGCAGGAGATTACCAGTAGTCATGACGCGCCTGAGAATGGCAGAGACCGTGCAAGCCGCTACGAAGCTCATCGAGCAGGGCCACGTCCGGGTTGGTGTTGAGACTATTACCGACCCTGCTTTCTTCGTTACGAGGAACCTAGAGGACTTCGTGACGTGGGCTGTCGGCAGCAAGATCAAACGCAACATTATGAAGTACCGCGACAAGCTGGACGACTTTGAGTTGTTGTAATTTAGGGCGAGGGTTTATGCATTTTTACGGCGTGGCGTCTGGAGGGTATTATTAAATAGATATTAGTAGTCTTTTTACATCAATTAGGTTCCGAATCGTGTTTCAATGCTCACTTTGCATAAGCCTTCTTCCGTACTCTGTGTTCTTATCTACATAATATCCTAACATATTGATTAGGTATTTAAGGATTGATTAAGTGACGTTATTTTGGACTTGTGGTAAGTAAATAGGTCTTTATCATATCTTTATTTTATAGGAAGATCTCTGCGTTTGTTATCCATACAATTAATAGGTATACAGTAGCCATTATAATATAGAAGATTCTTAAAGAAGTTAATGAGCTGGACATTTACTAAAGTATATAGATACTTAATAATCAATATTAAAAGTTCTATAATGAAGCTGAGGGGTGAATCATTGAGCACGTGCCTACGTGTAGGAAGTTAAACTCATGCGCCCCACTTCTTTCGGCATACACCAAAGGTAATCGCGGTCGCGCGTTTCTATCTTTACTCCATTTTGATCCTTCCAACTTATAGATAAATCCATCAATTCTTGTGCAAGTTCAGCTCAGAATGACTTACGCAGACTACCTTAGCTACCTGATAATGCAAGAAAATTATGGCCCGGCCTCAAGCTTCCATCGTCATTTCAGATGATGAAACGACCGAGTCTTCAGATTCGCCACCTAAGCCACCTTTGACGGCCTCTACCAAACTAGAGACATCAAATAAACGCAAACATATCCTGGATACTTTTGATAGCAAGGTTGAATGGAGTGATGAATCGGATGGTCTCCATGAAAAACCTAAAAAGCGAAAGAAGAAGAATAGCCGGGGAGCATCGCCAGTGAAAAATAAGAAGAAAGCTGCAACGAGAGGTCGTCCCCGTAAATATATTAGATCAGAGAAAGTCGCTTCATTGCAGAACGACGATAGTGTGTCATCTTCAGACTCAGATGCTCCCGAGGATTCACTACCCCAGTATATACGAGATCGCCGAAAACAATTTGATCAGACTCGTGAAACTTTACGTGAAGGTGGACTACGATTACCCCCAGATTATTCAGATGTCTACTTTTCCGATGATGAAAGGTTGGCGGATTTGGAGGAGAAACCACAATTCGACGAGAAGAGTGGTATCAAGCCATGTCGTGCCTATAAAGATATCGTCCTTGAACATTCAGCGGGCATTATCCCAGCTTCCATCGCACAGTATCTTCGGGATTATCAAATCGATGGAGTCAAGTTTCTTCACTATCTCTTCGTCTATCAGAAAGGCGGGATCCTTGGTGATGATATGGGTTTAGGAAAAACTGTCCAAGTCGCTGCCTTTCTCACTGCCATGTTCGGGAAGACTGGTGACCGTCGTGACGCAAAAAGGATGAGGAAGTTCCGACGCGCAAAGGACGATTGGTACCCCCGTGCCTTAATAATATGCCCTGGATCGCTGATTCAGAATTGGAAGAACGAATTAGACAGATGGGGATGGTGGGAAGTTGATTTGTATCATGGAGCAGGTAGGGATGATGTCCTCGGTGCTGCTAGGGCGGGAAGGCTAGAAATCATGATCACTACCTACACTACATACAAGAATAGCCGTGATGAGGTCAACAGGGTACCCTGGGATGTTGTTGTGGCCGACGAATGCCATTCGATAAAGGATATTGCTGCTGGAATTACACAGGCAATGAACCAGGTCAATTCTCTCTGTAGGATTGGTTTGACGGGGACGGCGATTCAAAACAAATACGAAGAGCTTTGGACACTTCTAAACTGGACAAACCCTGGGCAGTTTGGGACTCTAGGAGATTGGAGGAATACGATCTCAAAGCCGTTGACTGTTGGTCAATCTCACGACGCCACTCTACATCAACTAAGCGAAGCTCGGAAGACGGCCAAGAAGCTTCGCTTCAACCTCCTTCCTCGATTTTTCCTTCGTCGTATGAAGAGCTTAATCGCCCACCAACTCCCCAAAAAAAGCGACCGAGTAGTGTTCTGTCCACTTTCTAGCCTACAGCGCGAGGCCTATGCGAGCCTACTCGATAGCGAGATAGTCAGCTTTGTCCGGTCTGCGTATGATATCTGTCCATGCGGCTCGGGAGACAAGCGAGGATGGTGCTGTTTCAAAGCCACTGCTGAAGGAGAATCGTGGAAGTCACTAATTTTCCCCATCATGATATCGATGCAGAAGTTATCTAATCATTTCAACCTCCTCATTCCGCAGACTTCAGATGTTATGGACAAACATAGACGAGAACTCCGATTTCTCCAAGCTGCTGTGCCTCAAACTTGGAAAGAACATTATGCCAGTCGAGACTCACTACTCAACTTGGCCAACCCTGAGTATTGTGGAAAGTGGAAGGTCCTTCGGAAACTCCTAAAGCTCTGGCATACTAGTGGCGACAAAGTGCTGGTCTTCTCACACAGTGTTCGGTTGCTAAAGATCCTGCAGAACTTATTCAATAATACGAGTTACAACCTTAGCTATCTAGATGGGTCATTGAGCTACGAAGAGCGCCAGCAAGTGGTCGATAACTTCAATTCTGACCCCAACCAATTTGTATTTTTAATTTCCACCAAAGCTGGCGGCGTTGGGCTTAATATCACATCCGCTAATAAGGTCGTCATAATGGATCCACATTGGAACCCTTCCTACGACCTCCAGGCACAAGATAGGGCTTATCGTATAGGTCAAGTTCGTGATGTTGAAGTCTACCGCCTCGTCTCTGCAGGTACCATCGAGGAAATCACCTACGCAAGACAGATCTACAAGCAGCAGCAGGCTAATATTGGATACAATGCTTCCAATGAACGCCGCTATTTTAAAGGAGTTCAACAGGATACGGAACGAAAGGGAGAGATCTTTGGAATCCGTAATCTGTTAACATACCATGGTGATCAAGTCGTTCTTCGAGATATTGTCAATAAGACAAATATCGCCGAAGCAAAGGCGGGTGTCAAGCTGATAGACATCGATATAGAAAAGGCGGCCAGAGATGCTGAGGAAGATCAGTTTGTCAAGAAAGAAGAAAATGCCGACGATGACGAGACTGGAGGTCTCAAGCAGCTATCTGCTCTGTTTACTAAGGATGATAATAAAGATGGCATTTTGAAATCAGCAGGAACGCATAAGCCGAAGCATTTCGATCCTATCCAAGCAATACTAGCCTCCGAGGGCGTCGAATATACTCACGAGAACTCTGAAGTCGTCGGCTCATCCAAAGTGGAAGACGAACTGTCCCGACAGGCAGAGCTGGCCGCAAGTCAAGACCCAGATTGTACCCTCTTCTTTGATAGCCAGGGGCTCTCGGCTGCTCAACAATCGTTTGAGTATGAATACAACCCTCCGGTAGAAGTTAGACAGCGCCAATTCTGTACGATGGCGAAGACGTTTGGGTTCCCCAGTGTGACGGAATTCGCATTAGCAGTCGAAAGCATGACGCAGAAGGAACGGCGGAATTGCTTAGAACTGTTTTACAAAAGGCGCAGCGAGAAACTGAAGGAGCTGGGCGAAATTACCGAGGAGAACGCAGAGCCGAAGGAGGAAACTGGGGTAAAACATGATGCCGAGATGGCTGACGTGGAAACTGAAGATATTAAACCCGCCTTAGAAGATGTTAAGGATAATAAAGATAGAAAAGACGTCAAGATTAAGGAATTTAAACCGAGTACGCCAGCTATAAAGCGGGAGATAAAAGAGGCTACCCCTCTTACCGAAGATGTAAAGAGAGTCAAGAAGGAGGACTCGCCAGCGAAGAACAAGAGAGCGTCTACGTCTATTTGGATCTCGGATGATGATGAGACGGATGAGCTATGAGCTTTTCGTCGGATGTCGCACGGGTTTTGGATGAGGATCTAGGCGTTTGGGTGTAATACCTTCATAGTTCGGACGCGGTGTATGGACTCACCCAGAGGGGTATTTTTATTTTAGAATATGGCTTCACAGCTACGATCCTCAACGGACCTGATACCACGAGCTTAGGATAATAGTGGATTGTGCTTAAAGAGTAGAATTTGTCAAGTTATGGTAATTTACATGCCTAGTTAATAATGATAATGACGGATAGTAGGGAATTATAGAATTTGAACATGCCGCCAATCCTTGTTATGCAAGCTAGGTACAATCACGACTAAGTAAAAGCCCCTTAAAATTTATCTCGTCTGATAACTCGGGGTACAAGTCAATTTCATATGCATGAATTTCATATAGTTACATCTTAAAACTTTAAAGTCGCACATTCTATTCTATAGGACCATCCGTCATTAACGCAACTTCATAATGGCTTGTAACACAAAGAATAGCTTGTGTTAGTGTTACCTGTCTTAGCTTCAATGTACCTATGTACTCTTCTTCAATAGGAGGTACGCGTCCCTCTTACAGTCGTACAAAGTACAATCGGTGTGAAACGTTTTACAAGATCTAGTGTCCTACTCAAATTTTTTTTGTATATGTACTTAGGTATTTAATTAATTAAAAATTTTTTTTTCAAGAAAAACAGAAAGAAAAAGTTATGTAAGTTTCTGCATCGTATTAAATAAAGGCCTTGTTCGTCAAGTTGCTACGCCAGTTGTTCAGTCAGCCTCCTTTTCTATCGTTTAACCAACCAAAGTGCCAAAGTTAGAAAAAGACCGGGTGCGTCTAAGAACATTCCACAAATTCTCTTACTTCTATTCTGCCAGTCCTGCAAGTTATTTTAACCTTTTTACGTCTGCGGTTTATCCCAATTTCCCAGTCGCCCTAGAGACGTCATCTTCGTCATACCCGCTCGTCTGTGGAACCCATCATCAACCCTTGATCGACTGTGTACGAGCTACTCGATTTTCCAGAAAAGGGATCGCATTTCACGACAATTTGACGTCTACACTCGTTCAACCTACACACCATCAAGATCAGAAATAATGATTTCATTCGTTCAAACCTTATTATTTACGACAGCTGTCGGCGCTGCCCTGCGATCGAGGCAAGTCAATGATGGCTGCTGCTTTCAGCTCGCCTCGGTGGGAATGGTCAACGAGACCGTTTTAGAGGACCATGTCGGCGACTTGCTTCTTGGTGGTACTTTTCAGCAGGGCGGATTCTGTCTAGATAAGACGACCAAAACCATACAAGATAGTCTAGGACATAATTGTTTCATGAGAGGACCAGATTATCAGTTTGAGTGCTATCAAGGCGCCGTCGGAACCACAGCATTCGATATCGCACCTCCAAAGGCAGATGGAAAGTCACGCCTCACATATGATAATGATTCTGGAGTTTTCTACGCATGTCCTATTGACTCCGAAAGCTACGACATATATTCTTCAGACAAAGCTGATAAGACTGGGTGTGTGCCAGTTGTATTAGCACTCGTCGATGAGACAGCCGCTTGCTCTGCTACTGTTAACAACTCTACCCTCTCGATACGATCCAAGACACCACGCCACACAGCACGCCCAACCCGACCGTTACGACGCGCCAGTCATCACCTCAAAAATGCGCTATAGATCCATCAGCACCCTCACTTGCACCTTACCAATTACGTCATGGCAACTCGTCCGTTCCAAGCGGAAGCAATGATACCTCAGCTGAAGTCTTAATTAGCCGAAACTACAGCACCATGTTCGACTACGACATCCCGAGCACATTTCCTCCCGCCAACACCGCAGGAAAGTCCTCACTATGTGCTCTACAATTCCGCATGCCGGTGTGTACTTCCCTTCCCAAGGGTTATCCCTGCTATAGCTTTAGCGGTCTGGAGCAGGAGGTCCTGTCCAACTCTGGTATGACGTTCCACCTTGTGGATGACGACGGCAACGCCACGTGGAACAGCACAGAGTTGCACCAAGTGTTCCCCGGGGAGAACACCACGATCGGCACTTTCGAGTGCGGGCAGGCGGCCGGCTACGACGAGTCGCGGAAGATGAGCTGGCACGTCAGCAGCGTCAGGGATTTCTCTCTCGAATTCCTCCAAGCGGGCGTCGGTCAATCCGCCCAGTTCCAGAACGGAATCGGTGCGTGGATTGTGCCATGCCAGTAGCGGGCCCAACAGTCTCTTATCCGCTTTTCTTAGCAGCCATTGCTTGCTCTCTTGGCATAGAAATACTTTAATAATGATAGAAGTGTGAGGGCTTGGAGGATATACCATGATTAGAGACAGGGGAAAAGTCATCCCAGAGAGACTGGCGCTGGAAGATAATAATGTACGATGGAAGATTGATCGATAATGATAATGGACTTGGCGGCTTATGTGTTTGTTACATGAGATACATCGAAAGGACATAGAGTGCTTAGTTATACATACATGGAAGAGTAATAAATGTATATGCATATCAGAGTAACTTTCGCGCCATTCATATTTCATTATGTTACGGGGTTAAAGCCCCTAACCTGGTACCTAACAGCCATTTTTCTAAATGACTATATTCTCTTATAACAGGGTCACGCTACTGCCTAGAATATGAAGATAAAGTAGCACATGTATGAAAATGATATTGCCAGATATTTGATACCCTTGATAGTAGTCATACAGGGTGAATATCAAGTAGGTAGATCAGGTGGTAGATAGTATCGAACTAGTAACGCCTGGACTTTAACTCTGTTACGAAGGCGCTATGCGCCCCTTATGTAGTAGATAAACCACGCATACCCTGACAGATACTAGAAAGAAAGTTCTCTCTACTTCATAAGTTCCTATTTACTAATGAGTGGTCTCTAAGTTATCATACGCGATATGTTCTTCCTATATGAAATTCGTGTGATAACAATAAGGGTATCCTAAGCATCTCGCCTCATTGAAATTAGTCATAACGAAGACATATTAAGACCGGAGAACCGGAGCGAATAGAAAATTCATAATGGTAATTCAAATCGAAAGTCCCTTGTTTCTTAGCGCACTCTTCTCAACGCGTTACCTAGAAGTGATATGACAAGATCCACCCATGAAATTTCCATCCTCTGTGTCTTGGGGTACCCAGGATAAGATATGACTCGTTCGTTATATTTCGGCCTCCGTGATCGTCACCCACATGTTCCAATGGAAAAATGCGAAGTATACATTTTCATCCCAGCCTTTCTCAGGATTGGTTAGCTGGAAATCGAATACGCGAAGTAACTAAATTAAATATTGATCAGCACACGTTAGGTCATGGGGAGGTAGGAATAGAGACACGAGTATAAGAAAGTTCTCTAACCTCAAAGAAGACTTTGTGAAGCTCTATCATAACAATCGGCTTCCCGGCACATGTCCACCGGCCGTGACCAAAAAATGTCTATTGTAGACGCTCTTTCGGCCTTGGTTTTCTCATCACACTCGAGGAAACGCTCTGGTCGGAACACCTCGACGTCTTCGCCGAATATGGCTTCGCTGCGAGCCATTGCTAGGGAGTTGTGGCCGACTGCAGTACCGCCAGGAATAAAAATCCCGTTGATCGTATCCCCTTCCGGTGGAGTTTTCTTGTCTGCTGGACGTTAGTAAATTATGCCAGACATGACAATCTATACTTACAATGCCCGTATACTGAGGGACTTCGCATTCGAATGCCTTCTAGGATGATTGCCTATTAAATGATTGGATAAGTCTTATATAAAAAAGCATGAGCGTAGCTAAATAGAATAAAATAGGTATACCTTCAAGTAGGGCAGTTTTTGAGCTTCCTCGTATGTGATAGGGGTAGATACTTCGTTGCGCTCCACGCCTTGTTTGATCAATGTCTTAATCCGTGAGTATACCCGAGGCGTGGCCACGATATACATCAGCGTAGTACGAATAGCTACTGCTGTCGTATCCGCCCCAGCCAGAATCTGAAGCATAGCTTCGCTCCTGCATTCATCCTCTGTCATGCCGTGGCGAATGAACGACCCCTAATGTTGTTATTGAGTGAGAGGACTAAATTCTGCTTGAGTATATAACTTTACCATCATGTCATCCGGAGGGTTCGCATCTCGGAATCTTTCTCCAATAATCTTATGCGTGAGCCTAATATATAATATAAGATATACCATCAAGATATTGACAGAGACGGCCCTAACTTACCCCACAATCTTCCCAATGCCCTTTTCGTCGGTTGGCTGTGGGCCGAATAATGCGTGGAAGGGACGGGAAAATATTATCCGCTTAAGAAATGGAACCTCCTGGCAAAGGTTATTAATCCTGAGCGCCTTGTCTATCTTGGTCGTGTATTCATATAAATCCCCGTCAGCGTCTAGGAAGCCAAATGCTTGGCCATACGCAAGCCGGGTGATCACATCTAGAGTAAAGTAACGGGATAAAGAAGCGAAATCGACACAACGAGCTCGATTTTCAGGCCCCGATAGATACTTGCCCCTGATGACATCGATGAGGTGGGCAATCTGTTTATTAATAGCATATTCGAGATCGGCATTCTCTCGTCCGTTGTACCCTTTAATAGTCTTTGCTTTACGCTGGTCATGCGCATGGTTTTCGAGTAAAGTAACCATGTTCTCATGCTCTGGATCAAATTTAATCATTTCATACCACTCATCTTTACCGTAGGTACTTCGGGCTGATGCAATCTGGCGAAGGACATTTGGATCGCTGGTCACTACATAATTGGGCGCTATCCGTACTAGGGTCCCGTACTTTGCGAGCCCGGTGAAGTCCTTCTTGAGCGTATTGAAGAATATGCGTTTCGCTACCCAAAGGTGAGATAACGAGGCAAAGAATGGGCCGGGTATGTGTCGAAGTCGATACCATGCCACGATAGTTGTAATGATGAGCCATAATGAAAGCAAAGAAGCGAAACCCACGCATACTGTAGCTAGTCTTAGAGGACCTATGATATCAATGGACAGGAATCCCATATTGGTAGTGTAGAGAAACTTCTTCGAGTATACTTCAAAGATCCCACAAGTGCAATTATATCGAAGGAGGTCGGTTTCTATGCGGCAAGGAGGATGGGTATCTACTTTATATCGTCCTAAGTTGGCAGTCAAGATATATATAAACCGGTTTAGATCTATGAAATGAGCGCAAGTATAATATCATGATACAGGTAACTGAATGCGGACTATCCACTACTACCCCCTAAACCAAGTTCTTGGCAGTAGGTGAGGTGTCCATGGCCAATACAGACCTAGCCAATGATACATACATACCATAACTATAGCTATATGAGTGTATGATTGGTACCTCAACATTATTTGGAGTTGGAGACAGAATGTGCAGAAACGAAAAAGAGAAGCACCCGGTAGGCAAGTCGGCGGAAGGGGATTCCTGAATGATAGGTAGGTTAGCTATTCATAATATCCGATTTGCTCTAATGTAGGTATATATAAGCCCTTATGATGTTTCACCTGGTAATACTGCCATCACACTACATAGTTCACACCACAACGCTTGGAAAGTTAGGAGTGATTCTTTGACCGGTGAAAATCCCCACAGTATAAACATTTGCTTTTTTCTTATAGTTACACAAAATGACAGGTCATATTTACCTATTATCGTTGCGTCTATTATCAAGAACGCTAAAGCATTAATACATTCCTGTTAGTGGGTTATTGGGAAGTAGCGGTAGTATCATTGCCTTAGCCGCACTCATAAAGATCTCGATTGGTTTTCGATCAAGTAGAACTCAGAGCCAATATTCATGTGATTATCTTGGCTTTCATGTTCTAGACACTTGGATCTATAAATGACTTGTCATAGTATATTTTCGAATGCATCCTATCGTCGATGTAAGTAACCCGGTAAGCTATTCGATAGTTATTTCTCCTTTAGGCATGGGGTGAATTCTTCTATTTAAATTTGCACCTAACTACTATACTAGGTCAGAGGTTCATCTATAACAATAGTAGTTTCTCAGGGCAGTTTTTAGGTGATGCATATATTTGTTTTCTAAAAAAGTGAGGGCCTCGCTCCCCCCCCCCCCGGTAACGCGCTTGCGCGGACGGGATCAAGCAACTAGTATATTTAATTATATAATAGCAATAAATTCGGGATATTATAGTAGCCCCACAGGGGTGCCCTCCTATTTGGGCGAAAAATATTTCCTAACTGGGCCATGGAAAAAATCCGATACAATAACCCTCGTAAACTCGTGTATAACTCTAATAGCTGGCTACCCAGCTATTAAGCTTCTTCTCTTTAGGATTTACTTGTGATAAGTCGCACACCGAACGGTCGAACCCCTGATTCTAGCAGGTCTACACGGCGAACATTTGAATGATATGCTAGTTCGGAGCCTCGATCGTGTATCAATGGTTGGCGACGATAAGTCTCGATATGAATTAGTCGACCTCTTTCTAACAAAAGGGAGTGCGGATGTCAACTCCTGTGACGGCCGTCCCCTCGCGCTTGTGGCGGCAGAAGGACGGGCGAAAATCCTCGAATTACTCATCTCCTATCGCCCGCAAGTAAAATCGCTCAGGAGTGCTTTAGAGCCTACGATGAGAGTAGGCGATCCTGCATTAAGAATGCGAATAATCGAGTTGGTACTTGCCGGCACCAGGGGAGATACCTCGGCTATCGATGATCTGAAGGCTACAGCACTTGCATTAGCTGCGAGATTCCAACACATTGACATCCTAGAGCTTTTAGTTCAGTCGGGAGTGTCAATCCCTTCCATTAACGCCGGATTAGCTGAAGCTATCTCAGGAGGGGATCAGCTCTTTAAAGCAGAGGGTCTGGAGATTATCCAATTCTTCCTCGAACACGGGGCGTTCTGTCAGGCCGTGAGGCTGTTTGAGAGCGACGCTATTGAACTGCTGTCGACGTCAGCCAATCCAGCTGCCGTTGATATGACTTTCAAGGGTATAATAGAGCATTCGGATGACTGGCATGCTCCCGACGACTGCAACATCTGGCTCACTGAGCTCCTACTAGAACGGGGTCCAAGTAGCGAGACTGTAATGCTTGCTCTTATCCGAGCGATTCAGGCTTACGTCTCAGGACGCTCTTCGGAGATTCTCATCGATATGATACTAGGATCTAGGGAGGCCAACGTAAATTACAACAAGGCGGAAGCTCTCAAGATTGCAGCTAGAGCTGGAAACGTGAGTTTGTTGAAGAAGCTCGCTAGCAGCGGTGCGACTCGAGAGATCCTGACATATGCTTTTGCTGATGCGGTTGTGGTCAAGTCAGACGAGGATACAGTTCTGAGTCTAATCAATGCGCTCATTCTCGGACAGAATGCAGAATGTCGTCCCGGCTTTTCTGCTGTTTTATCTGGTCGATCCCCACCTATCATCGAATGCCTGATTACACATCCGGAATCAGTGAAGCTCGTGACCATTGGGACAGGACAGCCTTATACTATGCCGCCCAAGCTGGTAGTTTAAAGACTGTCAAGCCCTTGCTGAAGGCGAAATTCAGAAATACCGACGGCAGTCTCCACGAAGCGGCTAGAATGTTGTAGCTGCGCTCATAAAGGCAGGGTATAGTACCAGCTTTCCCAGCAGCAGGCCTGAGCACGACGGTCGGACCCCGATTCAGGAGTTAGCGTACAAATGTGATGGGACGAGAAGCACCTCCGAGATGGAATCAACACTTCTAGCGTTGAAGGCAGGAAAGCTCAGCCCCCATGACAAATGGTAAGGCAAAAATCCGCTATTCCTCGCACTCGAAAATTCATACAACATCACCCTTGCCCTTCTTGACGTTATTATGTGGTCTATCATTAACCATGAGGACAATGTTTTCGTAGACTGGGACCAAAACGGGAAGCGTCTTTTCTTCTCGCCCACCATGTACATGAAGTTTTACCGGTCGCATACTAGCGACCATCAGCAGCTAGAGGGACTTTTGAGAACCAAACATTGCGTAGACCGGTACTATGCAGAATTAGGGGCATAACAGCCACAAGGCGCCATTGGGATTCCAGACGATATTGAAAAAGAGTATAGAAGGATACGGGCAGAAGCGGAGAAGAGACGAAAGCGCGAGCAGGAGCACCAGGATAAGCTACGATGGGAGAGTGAAGAGGCCGCTCTGAAACGGGACAACATCGCACTGCTGCATCAAAGGCAGGTAGATCAGCAAGCGGAGAAGAATGTCATGACCGAGCAGTCTAAAGCTCATTCTATGTGATAAGAGTAAGCTGCTAGGCGGGACGAGATATAATGTGTCGCTCTGTGAAGAGCCTAATTATGCCGTGAGTTTACGAAGGGTCTATTGTGTACAACTTTTTTTTCTTCTTTCAAGTAAAAACAACTTTTAAATGATGTAATATAAAATATAAATGTCAACGCCGTATTGCGAAAAGAGCGACAAGATAAGGAGCCATTAAGATGTACATGTATTTTTTTTAAATAAAAAAAAGAAAAGAATATCTTACAAACACGAGTTGACTAGAAAAATGACCCGATGGTGTAACCAACCTTTTATATATACTGTTTTCTTTAAACCATATATTCATTAATTGTGATATGTTCGGTCGGAGCAAATATCGTTTAACCTGTTGTATAAAATGTACATAGGTATATGCAACTGTTGCATTTTCAATTATGGCCAATGATCTTATTTATCCACTACATCTTTTAAGCTAATAATATCGAGTGTATTGCAAGTATTATTTGTACAGTATACCGGAGGATGTGTTTTGCTCAGACTACCGATCAAGCCCGCCTCATTCAACCACTATACTTCGTACCAATTTAAGCCTTCGCACGCCAGAGTTGAGATTCGTAACTTCATAATTATTCATCATGTACTTAGACTCTTACAATCTCTAACCGCTCACATCGTATCCATTCCCCTTCTCCAGCGCCCTCTTCCACGCCGGCCTGCTAGTGCACCTAGCATGCCACTCCTTAACGCGGGGGTACTTCTCAAAATCCACCCACTTGGACTGGAACGCCCAGTCGACATACCACATGAGCGCGAAGTCAGTGCGCGTCGGGCCGTCCGTACCCAAGAAGTAAGCACGCGTAGAAGTCTTCCCATCCTCCCCATCCTTCTCCAGCTGCGCATCCAGAAACCCAAACACCGTAGCTAGCTCGGCGTCCAAAAAGGCGCTGTCGAGAAAGTAGCGAATAGCACGAACAAATGGGCGCACGAAAAAGGGCGTCTGCGCAACTAGCTGCCCGAACACTAGCTTAAGGAGCAGCAGGGGATTGAGAGTGGCGCCGCCCAGCGAGATCAGCTGCTCCTCGCGCACAGCGTCGTCGTCGGGCGACGAGGCCGGGGGCGGCGGGAGGCGGAACGGCGCGCCTGCATCGTACGTGTTGATAAGCCAAAGGGCGATGGCGCTGCGCTCCGTGATCAGACGGCCCGAGGGCGTAACTAGCGTGGGTGATTTGCCGAGGGGGTGGAGCGCGTGCAAGGCGGGGGGCGAGCGCTTGTTTACGCGGTTATGGAGCACGAGGTTGTACTCGATACCCATTTCCTCGAGCAGCCATAGTATTAGATGAGATTGAGAGTCCTATGTTTTGCTTTTGTTAATCTAGGTACTCATTACTTGTCTAATAAACTGACCTCTAAGTGGTGGAGCGTGGGCTTGTTGTCGGCCATATTTGTCGACGATTAGTAGAGTAGGATACTCTTATTCTCTAAAGTAAGATCTTGAACTTGAATCATTCAAGTTGGTCTAATGAGAGGTATTTATACATACATTCCTATAGGTGGGTCATTTGGTATATATAGAAGCTCTACTACTACAAGCATGTTTTAGCCAATCAAAAGTCGTCGTGTTACCTCATTTAGGAGTCTTACTTGATTAGATACACAGCTGAGGCAGGGATTAGCTTAACATTATGGCTGACTCCGTCATCTTCAGCTTTCGATATAGAACCATCGTGACGTTTTGCTCGACCTTTATCAGCTTACCTTAGGATATACCATACAGTATTTAGATAACGTTAGCTAAAGAATACTAGTCGAGAAACAACTCAGTATGTTACTTTAACCACGCTAATAGATGCTGGTCAAATGCACAGGTCCAAGGTCATGAAATTGAATGCAACATTAGCACTAACGAATCTAGTAATGCGGCTCTCTAGTCAGAGCCAGCATATATACTCCAAACGCCGAACATTGCCACCTATAAAGAACACAATTGCCTTGCCTTTATCGTAACCCGCGACAACCGAACAAACAAGCGAGACACATCACCTTAAATACTGCCTAATCAGGAAGTCTTTTGCCTCTTGGGATCAACTCCTCCATCTCCTCCGCCCTGGACAGAGCCATTTGAGGTAACTTCCGTCAACGGTGCCCTATTACCAGGTTCGGGCCCGGAAGGAGCCGGTCGTTTCACCGTTAACGGTCGATATTGACCTCTATTTCCCAACGGACTGCCTGCACTTCCCGGAGCACCGATCTGTCTCGCGTGATTTAGTGCGGGATTCCTAACATTCCCGATACCTGGCCTGCCAGGGCCAGATGCACCCCCGCTGGTAAAACCGCCACCGGCCGGAGCACCTCCCGGACCACGCTGTTGCTCCTGCTCTCTTTTAAGGGGAGCGACATGCTGACCAGTCCTGGACACTGGCTTGGACGAGTTGTGGTCGATGCCCGGCGTCTTCCGAATCGAGGGACTGTCTAGGCGAGGATCGAATGGCTTTATGCCTTGTGCCGCGATAATAGCAGTATCTGGAGGTGCGTCTTCTGGTAGCTTCTTGATCGACCGAGCCGAGAAGAATGAGACTTCTGCCGGCGCCGTACTGTTCGGCGGGGGCGTACTTATTCTGTTGCTAGCTGTTGCTTGTTGAACTTGGTTATTAATATGGGGAGCGGGTCTGGGGTATTGTTGTGGATTGGGACGACCTTGGAAAGTACCCCCTGTCCGTTGCGGTGGTTGGTTAGGGGTTTGGGGCTGTCTAGGGGGTTGAGCAGCCGGCTTCGGGGGCGGCTGCATGGGCTTTGATGCATTATTTGCAGATGGTGTATTGCGATCACCGCTATTACCAGTGGGTAGAGTTTGTGACTTCTCATTTGAACTCATTATATGAGAACCAGGTAGCACTACCTCATCGGGGTGGCCCTCATCTGTAACGCCAAATTCGGCGAAATCAAAATCCCCAAAGTCCTCGTCCAGTAAGTTTGAAACTACAAATCCAAAACATCAGCATCCGTCCAATCGATGCCGTCGGAGTCAAACCCACCATGCGCAGTCATCTCAACGTTCTTGTCAGCGGTATTCTTCGGCTCCACCTTCACAACATTGGGCTCCTTCTTGGCAAAATCGGAATGGCGATGCAGGTTTTCTTCGTCAAATTTGACCGGGCCAACCTTCATCTTTGTAACCTTGGCTAGATCCTTATCGTAGATACAATTGCCAAGAACATTGCCAAAGTTCCGCAACGCACGTTTCAAGGCATCCGTAGTTCCCTCTTTCTTGGCTTTTTCAAAGGCCGCCGCCTTTCCCTTACAGTTTTCTATGTGTCCATAGCCGATATCCTCGTGATAGGTGCCATCCCGGAGTGTTACTCGAACGATAACAGATAGGCCAAGAGATATCCTGAAGGTTTGCGGATTCTCGTCGACGAAATCAACCTGGATATTCTGAATACTAGACGACCATCCATTGAAACCGAAGACCTCATTGGCGAGAGCGATGCATTTCTCGGCGGCGATATAGTGAACCTTTTGGCCGGATGGGCCACTACGTGCGGAAAGGTATTCGGGACCAAGCTGCTTCTCCAACCTTGATTGTAGCGTCGCAATTTGTGTGGCAGTATATTCAGAGATTCGAGGTTTAGCCTCCTCGAAGGGATTGGCGATGCCGTTGTGCTGGTCACCCGGACTAGTCGCATGTCAGCTCAGACGCGTTCGAGGATAAATGGGATAATGAATGGAAAAACATACGCAGGCATCGTGACAGAATTATTAATGCGGAATAAGTATCATCGAACTCGTAAATGTGCTTCAGCACACTACTAGAAGCAAATGCAATATATAGATGAGACAAACTTGGAATAATGTTGCCGATTTCCACAAATGGACACTAAATAGAGGGATACGCGGATGTAATGCGGATGTTACGTGCAATGCGCGTTGATTGAACCTAATCCTAAAAAAGGATAGAATTACTTCCCCACTCTTAGTCATATCACATGCATGACGGCGCGTAGGCAGACACCAGGTCACCTGACCCACATTGTCAAGTCCTCGCAAGGAGGTACGAAGGTACTAAGTCACGCTTGCTTACCTAATCTATCATACACCACAAAATTCGTCTTTGCTTCTTCTTTTCTTCTTTTCTTCTAAGATGAGTTTCCCTTGAACGACCTTCATAAGGCCAAGGTCAGAAAAGGTCACTTGCCAAATTTGGTAGATATACCCCATTTTTAGGTATTTATCAATTTTTAAACCGAATACTTAATGGTCTTATTATGTTCAAAGTGTTTCAACCTCTCACCGTAATCGTAAAGTGATCAAGGGCATAATTACACAACAGCTTCTTTGATAACATTTCCAACTTCTTTGACCAAATTTAAAACATTCCTCTCTAAGACGTAAAGAAAAAAAGACACATACTACTTCACATACTACTTCGTCTTGACATAAACCGATACCGAAAAGTCTGCCGGTTCCGTGTACCTCAACGAAGAAAGTAACAAAAAATATTCGCCACATTGCGTTGAATAGGCCCCGCCGAGGATTGAACTCAGGTCTCAGGAAAGCTTGATATCAATCAAAATCCTGCGTGCTGTTTCTTTGTTAGTGACCTAGCTCAAGACAAGCAGGTATTTTGAGGGAGACATACCTAACCACTACACTACGCGGCCGTGTTTATCTTGTGGTGCCAAGATATTGCAGTTGGCCCTTAGTTTGCCTTTTAGCTTGCAATATGAGCGGAGATAAATCGGGGATTCACTTACTTAGGTGCATTTCGTCAGGCCACAGAAAATTTACTCCCAAGTTATTATTGAAAGAGACTATATATGACTGGTTCTACACCCACATATCTTAGTTCTTAGCTCTTGTTCTCTTTATCGTATTGTCGATTAACACATTCATTTATATGAGGGTCTCGAAAGGTTCAAACTAAGTTTCTTGGAGTACCCTTGTTCTAATTGAACTTAACTTAGTAAAAGCTTCAGTAACCATTGCACATCTTCTCATATCTCAGGGGCGGTTGGCTTTCATATAAACAACAACATCAATTATGACTAAAAGTAACTAGGAAAACAGGTAATTAAGCTATATTAGGTAGTGCTTCAACGGCCTAGAGATCTGAGAGACAATCCATTCCAAGGTTCGTATGAATGAGTTGACTAGATCTCGCGATGCAACACTAAAAACTTTAGTAGCCTGACTTCAGGCAAGGCTGTTATGAGAGACTTGAGTTATTCAGCCTTTATTTACACCACTCACAAGTTTCTTGACCCATTCCGGCATTGGCGGTGGTGTCTGCTTACGCGGCCTAATTGGTATATCATGTTTCACTGGCCAACTCGGTCTTACACGCTTTGTCTCTGTTCTGACCGGTGTCGGCGTTGGCGGCGTTGGCGGCGGCGTTGGCATTGACGTTGGTATCGTTCCCTTTTTTACTGGCGTTGGTGGTTCTGATCGCGTTTCATCAACTGGAGGTGTTTTCAGCCCTAACCGCGTTGGTGGCGTTACTACGACTGGTGGGATAAACCGAGGCCGCTTTGGATCTGACTCCCCATCTCTGACTTCTGGGCTATCGGGCGGAGATTTATAGAATCCGAGCCTCAAATCCTCTGTGGCTCCCTCCGCCCTCTTTCTTTTTCTGTCTTCGAAGTCTTTTCGGTCTAGCTTTGCCTTTCTGACGATATCTTCCCTCAACTCGGACCTCGCCTTTCTCTGTTCGGTCAATTCCCGCTGTGCCTTTCTCTTGGCCCTTTCCTCTTTAGCCGCCTGCAGTCTTTTTACCCGTCTTTCTTGGAGCTTATCTTGTACTTCTTTACTGTTGGGCCTATATTTCTTGTCGTCGGGCGTTCCCACAGCTGCGTAGAAGTTGCACGATATTGATTCAAGTAGTTGTAATACCGATCCAGGATCGCCTTACCGTCAATGCTCTTTCCATCAATTGTGGTGGCGGTATCTATGTTTGCTCAATTTCATGTCCTAGAATCGCACGTACCTCTCGCTCGCGTTGAAGTATGGATCCGCTGGATTGGCCATAGATCGTCTTCCACATTGAAGGAGCTGCCTTTTTCTTTGACTGGAACCCCACGATTTTTGGCAATTTCCCTCCACATCTTTATTCTTTTCTCCAGCTTCTGTAGTTCCTTCGTGATCGTAGCGTGGGTAGCCATCAAGTTCGAAAATGGTACCCCGACAAGATCGAGTGAAGTTTGAGAGAGAGGTCCTAATATATGAAATATTAAGAGTAGCTCTGAGCGCTATTTTAGCGAGGGCCATGGCAGCTTCGGCCTTCTCGACGGCTCCCCCTAATGTGTAATGAAGTACTTGCTAAACTGGAGGGGGGTTCCGTCAGGGAGCAACCCTTCTCTAATCGCTAACCCCCAGTCTTCGACTTCGATGAGCGCCCAGCGGATATTGCTGCTCTGTTTATGGGCTAACGTTTATCTGTTTATGTTTTTCTTTTCCGCTTTCAACTCTTCAAGAGCAACTTCTCTCTCTCTTCAATCTCAAGAGTCCTCCGGCGGATATTTCCCCCATGATGAAGCTACGAGAATCTCCCCGTGCTTCCGCTTTTTTCGCGTCTGCCATATTAAGAATGTTCGATGGCTTGTAGTCTTCGCCTTCACCAATGTGGGCGTCTTCGCCGATATCAGTCTCGTTCCTTATTCTATATCCGCTTTTACGCTCATGCTGAGTAGACGTGGAGCTAATAGACATCTTGAGCGATTTCCTCCTCGTCAAGTACAATGGTTAATAAGTTATTAATTTGTCAGTTGGGAAGAGAAGTGTTGGCCGAGTGATTCTGTTGGAGAGTAGATGATGGTGATGAGATGAGTGATTTCGTGGAATTTTGAGCTGCTACTCTACACATCATTAAATACACTTCCTGGGACATTGTTAATACAACAAGTGAAAGCTTGACAAAATTGTCGTATCGGAACAATAAATAAACAAGCGAAGTGTTTCTAGTACACACCTATCAGAAAGAGATTGTAGAATAAGGTAGTTAATGAAAACAATCAGTTTGATATTCCGGCTATCACGAGGTGAACCAAGCACACAAAAACAACTTCATTGTTTCGCAAGGAACTCTAACTTAGCTACAAGAATCTACGTCTATTCATACTGAATATGTCCTTTGTTCTAGATGTCTTGTATATAATCCTGATACCTACTAGGATTTTCGTCTGCTATCTCAAACATGGTTTTATTCAAGGACAATGTATAAGAAAGAAGAAGTTATTGTGCGGACTTTCAATTACTATGAATCTTTCAACTAGAGCATGGCATTACAATTTAAATTCGATGGGAATTATTGGCATATCAGGTACCTACGTTTTCAATGGTTTGGTATTAACCAGGTACTTTAGGTACTTAATGTTAGGTGCCTGGGTATAAGAAGATGGTCATTCAGATTTAAGATTAATATGATTTTACGCTTGAATAATAGAGAATGGCGACCTTAGGGGCATAGCTATTTTCGGGGATTCATTGTGTAGATTATCTACCTAAGTACTCTAGCATAGTTATATTAAACACTCATGGTTACTAATTCAAAACACTTGAATCTCTACTTGGCACACGTAATGAGTAAGAGACGGGCGTGTTAATATAGTCTTGGGTTTCGATTTATAATTCTTTACTATCTTGTACTGTACACGAAGTTAGAACTGCAGAAGATCGGTGACCTTCATTATTATCTCCCTTTACTTTTTTCTTATGCATCATGAGCACATAAGTGATTTTCAGAACTTCCTTTTTCATCGCATCCGGAGACATACCGGCCAATAGGACTACTTCCTATCCGCAGTTAACTATGCATTTCATCGGACTTATGTTTATGTGGGGATACATTTATCTCCGCTGGCCTTGGATCTATTACTCGTAGCAATAGCCAGTACTGAGCTATCATTTCTATTATATTGCTTAAATTTTAGCAGGGTTATTACGTCTCGACCGTTCCCCCAGGTTCCATCGTAGGTAAGACTACTTAAATAGGAAATATATGAAGGCTCGGCACTCGAAGGCGAATGGTTGAGTACAGCCATTAGATAAGGAAGGCTTGGCTTCAACAGTTGTGCCTAACCAAATGCGTTGCTAAGCTACCACCTACTAGCCTTACTACTTGGTTGTTTATTTTAACTTAGGTACTTGAGTAATTAGATCTAATCAATTAAATCTAATAAGCTCATGATATATGTTTCTGTCCAAGACGAGAATTATTCATAGTTGTCGTCATTTTTAACTTGATAGAATTGACTGTTTAGGTACTCCCCCGTGCTCCACTATTGTTGTTCAAAGCGCATTTCGGGCCAAGCCCCGAGGCATGCAACGATATTAGTGGAGATAGTTGCTCGAAGGAGTTAACAAATGCTAACATCACTCAGTTGTTTTGGCTAGATATAGAAACTCCCCGAAGTCATTAACTTAACTACACACTTTAATAAGTTGATTTATACGAGGCAGGTGTTTCAGAGATTACGGGAACTATTCCAAGTTATACTCTATTGTAGCAATGCGAGTTGATATATCAATTCTCTATGAAATATCTCCGCTTGTGCTTTTGTACGTCTATCCGACGCATATGCGTCGAGCTCGTCTAAAACAAGGCCACGCAAGCCTTAGTTAGAATAATTGGTATGTCCCGGTATTAAGTGACCCATGGTTCTTACATACTTACTCGCAGAAGGTAATGGGGATTTACAACTTGGCGCGGAGTTTAGGATACCTTACAAGAACAATTTTCGATTATGTCACTGTTTACTTCTCTCATATAAGGTCTATGACGAGAATGTAGCTTTATCTCCTTTCTATAGTAACTCTTACCTGTTGTCGTTTCTTCTTATAACTTTATAACTTTAAGGAATATTGTTTTATATATATAAATATATCATCATGGAGACCACAAGTTTATTTCGAGTTGACGGCATGGTAGCTGTTGTTACGGGAGGTGCTACTGGTAAGAAACTCGTAACTAATTATTTGTTTCGATCTAATGTGTCGTAGGTCTTGGTTTTATGATGGCCAAGGCTCTTGCGGGAGCGGGAGCGAAAAAGGTCTATATACTTGGGAGACGAAAGGCTGTTCTTGAGAATGCGGCTTCTCACCACCCAAGTTTCGTGCCTATAGTATGCGATATTACCTCTAAATTATCGCTCCAGTCTGCTGTTGAATTTATTAAAAATGACGTAGGCTACATCAATCTGCTTGTAGCCAACTCAGGTGTTATAGGACCCATCAACTCCTTCAACCCGGACTTCACGATTCAACAACTTCAAAAACTCTATTCGAGGAAGTCTCAATGGAAGATTTTACAAACACTTTCCATGTAAACGTTACTGCAACATATTTTACATTGATAGCTTTCCTAGAGCTTCTTGATGCTGGAAACAAGAATGCTCTGAAGGGAGGTTTTGGAGCCCCGGCTCAAGAAGGTAGCAATGTCCTTTCGATCCCCAGTCAAGCCATTGTTACAGGGAGTTTGTCTGGTTTTAGTCGTGATAGGCTTTCCTCACCCGCGTATGCTGGAAGCAAATCCGCCATAGGCCAACTTGCCAAACACGCCAGCACCAATCTTGCCCAATATGAAATCAGGGTGAATGCACTTGCGCCCGGATGTAAGTCATTGCGATCAGATGATTTATTGCATTATCCAATAATAATATGGTGGCTGATCTTATCATACCTAGTATTCCCGAGCGAACTGGCCAATGATTTCCTCGTTGGAAGAGACCCAAGTTCAGAGCCTCTCGATCAAATGGGAGCCATTCCTTCTAGACGGTTTGGTAGCGAAGAGGACATGGGAGGAAGTTTGCTATATCTTGCAAGCCGAGCAGGTTCTTACTGCAACGGTTTAATTCTTACGATTGAGGGTGGCAGGCTGTCAGTAACCACTTCCACTTATTAAGAGTCTCGGGGAGAACATGGTTACCTACATAGTAGAGAGTCATTCATATAGTTATTACCAAGACCATGAAGTCATGTTAGCGCTTAAAGATCTAAGCTATCTAAAGAGAATATAAATGCTTATTGTAAGCTTTTCAACCAATCAGATGAAGCGGAAATATTCCTGTTTCTTTTCTTTCCCGTCATAGGGCGTGTAACTCAGTGGTAGAGTGCTCGCTTCGCATCTTTGGTGCTAAAATTGCGAGAAGTCCAGGGTTCAACTCCCTGCTCGTCCAATATTTTTTTTTGCTAAATACCCTTGTTTGTCTGATAAAACATTCTTTTATGTGTCCCGGTATTCCGTATGTGGACCTCAGTTTCTAACATCTTGCTTTTAAGAAGGCTAAACTAAAACCAGGAACTAAAAAACTAGGGCGGAAAACTCCTTTTGGAATCGGAAATCAGAAGCGGGGCGATCTAAGGCAACTGTAAATCTGTAGTACGGGGATTATGAAGTTTTAAATTGATTCTCCAAACAAGAAATACTTGAGTAAGCAACAGTCGTATTCGGTCGTAATGGTGAGAGTGGTTCTTACTCAGGTGCTTGATTCCGTCGTTTGATTATTGCTTTATGATAAACATCATATTTCTAATTGACATGTGATAATTCCCTTTTACTTACAACATCAAGCTATGAATCGCGCGGTATGGTGGAAGCATCCCGTCGTATCCGGGCAATGAATATTACGTGCATGTATATCCGTGCGCTCGGGTAACTATGTAGATTAGGTAGGCTTTAAAGCTCTTCCCGCAATCACGACATTATTCCCTTGCTACATGAAGCATCTTATCAGGGTAAGTACAGTACACGATGTCTTGGCGTGGAACGTGGGGGAAAGGGGGTATATTTCCCCTATAAGAGATAATATGAGGTTCTAGTAACACGGCTACACAAGATGCGTAACATAAAAAGTAATAAAAAGCACGGAGCCCAGATTATGGAGTATCTCTTAGATGCTATATCTAAATACTATCAAAATAAGTATATTCGATTCCGTCATGAAGTATTGTTAACGAACTAGTCCACAGCAGGCTAGAATCAGAGTTCAAGTGTCGATTTAATAGCCTATAAGAAAGGTCATTCACCCGAAGTTTTGGCTGTCAAAGTTTGATTACAACAATAGGAGAATTACTATACTTTAAATTAGTACATCGAATATTAGTTACAGTTTCTATAAGGGCTTGTGAGGCATGTAACATCACAGAAATTGTTGATACCATACTCATATGATAGTTCAATATTCCATCTATATTGATATAGATATAAATGGTTACTGTTTTTCACTCTCTCTCTCTCAAGGCACTAAGGCATAGGAACAAATTCTTATTCCAAATCTTCATCGTTAGAATTATCGGTCGTCGCTTCATCCTCCCATGCCAGCCGGCCACGCGGAAAATTATCCATCCCGATATAATCAAGCTTTGGTCCCCCCTTAATGATCTTACTGAATTGGTCAATTAGATATCGTTTGGGGAGCCATGGGAAAATCCATCGGGCGAATAATTTGATTAGTGGAGTATCCCAAGTTAGGATTCTTGTGGTGAAGAGTGAGAGATTCATGATCATCTTCATTGGTGCGTGGCGCTTAGCCTGGTAGGATTCAAATACGCGTTCTAGCGTACTTAAGGATAGACTTGACTCTTTGTGAGATACAATCTCACTCTTTAGCTGGCTGCAAAGGGCTACGATGGATTCGATTGATGAATTCCCGCCGAAACCCATGTTGATAGTAACCTGTTTCTCTAAGCAATTAAAAACGTAAGAAAATATACCACATCGTTCAACATACCTTATGAGCAGCATCTCCAGCAAGGACAATTCGACCATAATGCCATTTATCTAGCACACCGTCCTCAACATTCACAAGAGAGGCGCGCTCACGCTTGAGCCACAACTCTCCAAATAGCAGTGACTCGCAAACAGGATAGGAGGCCACCGTCTCAGCCAGCTCTTCGGCATCTTGAGCGGTATAAAACGTCCTCCTTGGCCATATGACCGGTTCTTCGAGACGGAAGGTTACGAACGTGTATACGTGGTCTGGTTGTGATATGACCATAAACGTAAAATGCGTATTGTATACGAAATGAGTATCACACCCGAGCTCCGGCATAGCAGGCCCGGTTAAAAAAAGAACTTTCCAGTTTGCCTTCATACCTATTTGGCTATTAGTCTCCTAGAAGTATGTATAAAGCACTACGTAATTCAGCACATATTGTCAGTTTACTTACACATCTTTTCCTTGGTTGTAATACTACCAGGAATAGTTTTATTTGAATAATCCCACATCATACTCCTAACAGAGCTATGCACTCCGTCGCAGCCGATTACCATGTCACCTATCTCAACCGTTCCATCCGCAAGAACAGCTTCGATGCCATCCTCAACGTGTCTTAACGCTTTAACGGAGCAACCCGTCCTAACTAGTGATTTAGTAGGGAGGTTATCGTAAAGTATTTGCAATAATCTTCGCCGTTCAATTACGACCTCAGAGATTCCATGGCTGATATCAATTATAATTCAGCTCATACTCTAGTGGTCTTGTGGGGTTATCGCATACATACTTCTCTTTAAGGGGCTCAGATAAAGCAATATCCGATATAATAGTCCCATCCGGTAGCCGGAATTTTAGTCCATTCACCGGCGCACCTACTGATTCGACCGCTTCTAGACAACCGATCTGGTGCAATATTCGTGTGGAATTCGGATATATAGTTATACTAGCACCTTCAGCAGGCGCGATCTCTACGCGCTTCTCGAGGACGACATGATCAATGCCCGCTCGTTGTAGGCAATTAGAAGCCGTAAGACCAGCAATACCACCACCAACAACGATGACTCTAAATGGACGAGTGGTCGAATCTTGCGAATTCATATCTAAGATGGATGGGGACCCCGGGATTGTATTTAGACGTCATAAAATAATATTCAGTTGCCTTGATTATGAGGCTCTAGTATATTAGAATATTAATGGAATAAAATGTAATGGAATAAAATCCATTACCAAATAACCTTTTAGTGGTGCAGTGGTATGCTGACATATGTACGTCGTACTTGGCTGATTGACCCTTCTGCGTCCCGCTCTCCAATGAGTCTATTTAACAAGGCATTCCCTATAAGTTAAGTACACTTGTCAAGATATTCCTTAGATTCGGCTACTAAAATATTTATAAGCCAAAGTAAACTAATTCCTAGTTTATGAAGACATTTATATACCTAATATATCATTTCCATACCTCAAACTGAATGATGTAAATTTACTTATATTTCCACACGTGTCTTTGGAAAGATACATAAAGAGCTAATAGAGAGAGTAAACTGAACTATGCCCAATAAAAAAAAACTATGACCATCTCGTATGTGGTAACCCATAAGATACCATTAGTCTCATGCACTCTCGGGGAACTTGCATGAATACTACCTCCAATTGAGCAAGTTGATCTGACACAATTTAACCCGATATGTCCCCCAATACACCCCTCTGCGAGGATTTAAGACTATTATTATATTCATAGATACTCAGGTTACTTAGGTACGTGCCTAACACAGTCCCAACCATCCCAAAGATTTAGCTCCGTTTATCGAAACCCAATTAAGTATACGATAACTTATTATCAAGGTGGCACGTTTACGCAGGTGTGCATATGCATATCACAAATCAGGTTGAGACGATGACCATCGCTGCTGACAACAATAGCACGAGGCGCCAGAGCGGCTAGAGGATTGATGGATACACCATAGACTAATATAGAGCATATACTATTTTTTATTATTATCTTGATAGACTTAGTTCTATATTTCCTGGATCTCTGAATAAAACGCCGAGTCTGCTCAAAGACAAATCCAATCAGTAACAACGAGTCTCACAAGCCTGTGGAACGAGACGCCTCAACCACCAGGTCGGCCAGTTTCTCCGGATAGTTTACGTATGCCGCATGCGCGCAATCCAGTACTACTTTCTTAATAGCGACCTGAGCCTCCTTCGTATTTGCGAAGCACAAGTCTTGAAGAATGGGCGGCACGCGACGATCCTGTGTAGTAAAGATATATGCTCGGGCACATCTTTCCAGGCTTCGTACACCGTCTTCCCCTTAATAGCGTCCAAGTTATGATGCGTAGATTGCCGTTTTTGTTCCTCCTGATCCTCAAGACTTACGTCGTGACATAAAGCCTGAACAGGATCATTAAGAAACCAGGTGCCATCTTTTTCAAAAGTAATTTCTGGGATGCTCTCCAATGAGACACCCAGATCCTCAATTAGGGTCCAAATACTCTGGCCCTTGGCTAAAAGGTAAGCCGACAAGTAGAACAGATAAACAACGCCACCGGAAACGCCCTTGGCTTCGCGATCCTTGCGAGTGAGACCCTCGATAGCATTCGTTCCCACGACACCTCCGTACGAATGCATGAATAGAATAACCTCTTTGCCATCATTAACGAGAGGCTCGACTATTTCGCGTACAGCCGCCACATCAGCATCGTGTGATGAATTGGGCGGTCGAGCACCGTTATTTGATGGTAAAGCCGGTACATGAACAGTAAAGGATTTTGCTTGGAGTGCATCAACCAGTTTTCGGTATGCACCAGGTAGCGTCCATGCACCAGGTACTAGCACAACGGTAGGCTGTGTCAAGGACATGATATATCGTTGAAGATTTGTAATTTTAACAGTGTTTACCTAAGTTAGTCGGCATTCAAAATGAGACTTACAAATCAGAATAATACCATTCCTAAACGCGACCCGCATATCATCGGGCAGTATAGCGGGGTTGACAGTTGTCTTTCTTAGCACATGTTAAGCTAACCCTAACTCTAGGTAGTTATAGTTATCTATAACTAACTATTTCTAAAGTCTTTCAACTTATGCGTATAACCGCTCGCAAAGACTAATTGAATATTGACTTAATTTAATAACAATTAACTATGTTAAGCACTTGTGTTAGAGCTATTAATTGAAGGTCTGAAAATAATAACGTAAGTGGCAGACATGTAGAATTCATATTTTGAAAGGGGTTTCGTCGTTACGAGTTGCATTCTCAACTTCTCTTCCAAGAACTAATGCTTATATTCATCCCTAAGGTAATTATAACTCTAATACCTCCTGTTGGTCTATACTTGTCTCTTGCGCACATGGATTCCCAATCTCAAATCCCAGATCGATATCGTGTTGCTCGTAAAGCTGCTTCAGTATGCGTAGCGCCTTGTGACATATCTCCGCTACACTAGGGTCACCGCTAAGTTTTCGTCTCGTGCTCAACCCTTGAGCTTGGACCCCGTCATCATCAGTGTAAGTTAATTCTACTTGATCCTCATCGCCCTCTCCTAAATTAAGCGATTGTTCAATGTACTTGAGTGGAATTGGTGCGCAAGGCGGCGGCTGTGCATAATTCTCAAAGTGAATAGGTACGTTTTGAGTGCTGTAAAGACAAGTTCCGGCAACGCTGTCACACGACTCCCTCTCGCCAAGCTCGAACCAGTGGAACGGATCGGCATCTGGCGTGAAGTACGTTGCATTACCCCTGTTACTTCTTAATCTCCACCTGAAGACACAAAATCAGCAATCAACAAGTAGAAACAAGATGATGCGGTGGATGAACATACCAGCCGAAACTGAAAAAGCCCTTCTCTGTCATGTAGCTGAAGTAGTCGGCTGGGCATATCGTGTGATCCGCCCAGGCCCCATCACTCGAGACCTCGATAACAGATGTGGCGTGGAATAACACTGGTTGTATAAACGGTGCTGCTCGGACCACAGCGGCAACGGTGAAGAGAGCGAGTAGTAGTTTTTGGTAGTCCATACTTTCTCCCTTATTGTGTAGCTGTTGTAGATACCAAGCTACGATAAATGTTAAGGCGATAATATGCACTTGACCTTGCCCCTGAGATTTTCTGCGTAGTTAGTATGAATCAAGGCGACATTGAAAGAAACTTGAACATTATAAATGTATTACTATGGTAAGTTATCTCGGGGAGTTGCAATAGCAAACGTGGATTTCTTTCGGATACCCGCATCCAGTCTTGGCTTTTAAGCCACAGTTAAGTTGAGGGGTAAGATGTTTTATGGTAACGACTTATTTCCTCCTCCTAACCCTTCCTTTGTCAGTTCAGTAAGAATTCTATTAGGAGCTACTATTGGCAATTATGTAGTAATAGCAATCAATACCCCTTTAGGAAGCTTCCAACTCAGTAAGCTAGGGATCGGATCCCCAGTAAGCCTAGTCTTGGCTCAGCTTTTTAACTAAGATGGAGCAATAGGGAAGTTAGAAATGTAAAATATAAAATGTGAAACAATATTCATCCTGCTGATATACGAAGTTATCACAATCTCTGGTAACTCCGAACTTTTTCCACTTTATCACATCCAGCAAATGCAGCATACTGTCTCACGCAGCGATAACATCGCCGATGCTATCGGGCTATCTGAAAATTTTATCAGCGTTATAATTCTCTCCATGCCTACAAAAAGTTCATTGCCATCACAAGTGACCATCGAAGGTCATACGGACATCCTCGTGGCCACTTCAACCGGAAGCAACGTTTTTCTACTTTCGCTCTGTATGGAAAATATTATGGTCGACGTATCTAGATACATGTTTAGCCATGACAATGTCATTCTCACTGAGCTAGCAGTGATGTGGCGTGCAGCCTTTGCTTTTATGCTAGCCGTATAGTTCAACGCGAGATATTCTGACTGGATTAGAGGGGCAATGTTAGGAGGCTATATTGTCTTCATCGCCTTAGAGTTCTCAGTTATCCTTAAGGTTCCCAATTCAACGTAGAAGTAAAGTGTTAATGTAGATATTTTATACTGTGTAGCGATACATAGGGATTGTTTAGTTCACGGTGTAGGGCTAATTTTCAGACTGGTAAATAATCAGATCTATGGATAAGTTCAAATAGCGTAAAAAGTCATCATTACAATTTCAACAATAACAGGTACCTAGGTACCTAATTCAGTTTTGTTCAGTTAACCTTTTAAAAACTTGATCTTACGAGGTACTTAGATGAGATTTTACCTTTGAGTCTAACTGGTGTTTTAAGCCTTTCCCATCTGCACACCTCTTTTATGCAATAAGTAATCACATCAAATAATTATCATAAATAAAGGAGGGACGAGCCCGGGCCTCAGCTAACTGAAATAGATACCTAGGTAGGGTACAGAGACACTTCCAAGTTATGCAGGCTTGCTACGTTCGGCGTGGATAATCTCAGCAGCTTGCTCAGCTAAAGCATATACAGCAACCTGTAAGTGCCCGGTAATAACAACTGGGAAGACTGAGGCGTCGACCACGCGTAGATTCTTCACTCCTTTTACCTTCAAGTTGTTGTCCACCACTTTACCCATTGCTGCGGTCCCCATAGGGTGTTCGCTCGTACTAAACGAACCTGTTAGTCCTGGTATAAAACTAGACAGTATAAGAATTGATAATTAAAGATAGGTACTTACCCTAATCCACCTCGGATGCGTGCATCGATGTATTCGTCAGTAGAGTTTGTAGTCAGGACGCTATCAAACCCTGGAGCGCCGACCTCCCCATCGAGAATTTCTCGGCCAATAATCGTAGCATCGCTCCCGGCAAACTTGACCTGCATCTTTACAGCATCGCGTATTGCATACCGATCTACGGCTGTGCCCAAGAAGTTAGGATCAATCAGTGGTGCTTCCTTAATATCGGCTGACGCAAGCTTTACTGATCCTCGAGCTGTAGGCAACATTGTAATAGTCCCCAACGTAACTAGTGACCCATCCGCTGCACCGACGTACATGAAGACATGCTCATAGAACGTACGTTCGTTAGCGAGAAGTGGATGGGTAGCTGGATCGGGAATAGCACCCTCATCTTCTGCGATAGCGGCAGCAAGACCCTTTTTCTCTACGTCACAAGACACGATTAAATCAAACGGTTGACCCCAGCCGTATTGCGGTTCTTTGAACAAGGGGTTAGGTGATCCAATCGCCCAACCAGCCTTAGGATCTTTAACCTTCCATGTGTGGAAAAAAAGAGCATGGTCAGCGAGGTTCTGGCCGACGTCTGGGTTGTCTACCAGGACAGGAATGCCAAATTTCCCGAGCTCAGCAGCTGGTCCGATGCCAGAAAGCATCAGTACTTGTGGTGTACGCATGGCACCGGCAGCGACGATGGTTTCACGTCCGCGGATCTCGGTGCCAGTGGCCAGCCGGATTCCGACAGCAATGCTGCCCTCGTGCTTGGTTGGGTTCTCGATCAGCACCTTCTCCACTAGAGTGTCAGTCAAGACAGTGACACCGTCAAGTGGGTATACAACTGAGGCGATTTGCCGCCTGCCGTCCTTCCTATTCTCCTGCAGATCACCAACTCCTACGCGATTGTACCAGTTGGCATCAAGTTCCGGCAAGGGTTTAACACCGAGTTCAGCCCATGATCGTAACGTGTATTCACGAAGCGGGAATTTGCGACCGGTTGAGGCAGCTGTCTGGATAGACACAGGTCCGCTATGACCGTGTTGGTCCGGATGAATAGTATCGCTAGGAAACTTTCCGACCTTCGCATGAATGGAAGCTGACCCTCGTAGCTCCAGCGCGCGTCGTTGATCAATGAGCCCCAGATATCATAGTCGATCTTATCGCCCCGAAGCCACCCTCCTGTAAGGATAGCTTCAGCTTAATATGTCCGAAAATTATTCATAGGGTTGAATAGTTTAACGACGTACCAGTGTTAATAACCGTACCTCCACCAAGGGCTTTGCCACTTGGCAGATCGATACTTCGCCCATCGACGTGGGACTGCTTAACGCTATGGTCTTTCCAGTCAAAATCACCGCCGATTAAATTGGTAGAATTCACCCAGACAATGTCAGATCGATTATTTGCATTGGGCCCTGCCTCCACGAGAAGGATTTTGAGGCACGAGTCAAATTGATAAAGCCGGTGGGCAACAACTGACGCTGCAAGGCCACCGCCTACAAATATATAATCCCAGAATATGCTGGATACTTGAGAGGAATCCATAGTTGTGAAGCGGAAGAATAAAATGATAGTAGTGAGCAATCCGTTCCAGAGAAAAGGACGAGGTTCTAGGCTTCGTTAAATAGGCCGTAGCTTCGCTCGCTACCGTCACGGGTAAAAATAGAACCCCTTTAACAGTATCAAAAGAAAAAAAACTAAATAAAATTTTAATTTTAATATGAAGTGATACATTAATATTATAATAAAATAATAATTTAATTTAATTTAATTTATGTTAAAAGTTACTAAATCTTTATTAGTTAAAACTTTTACATATGTGTAACTTACCACTCTTGTCTTTCCTATTATATGCCACTATAAATTGAAAATTGACTCGTGGTTTACTTCTTCACACAGGAATCCTTGTGGCTGTTAAGATGCATACCCTTTGGGTTATAATAATCGAAACTGGGCACATTAAACTTGGATAAGGATGCGGGCAAGAAGTACGAAATATGCCACCAGATTACCAATATAGCTGCATCCATTTTGTCGTAAATGTCTCAGTCGTTCAAGGATATGACTAGCCGCTTGTATTACCACACTACAAGTATATCCATAATACCTGATTTACACTCATGTATCTCGAAGGTAATTCACGGGACGAGAAATATGATATACTTAGGATCAAGATCAACACTTTACTAATTACCTACCTACTTAACTTTGGGCACGTATCTATGGCATTAAAAAGTAAAGTACCTGATTCAGTCGTTCACTTTCCTGTGAGATTAGATTCTTACAAGATGAAAGTATACTCGTTCAGTTGCAATATCAGCCCAGTCCAAATTTTACTTATCTCATAGATATTAAGTATATCCTCGGATCTTCTAACTACTTATACAATGACAGAAAAGGCGAACAGCGGCCCTATCCTCGCGATAACGATTACCATGGGCACTCTAGTCTCGTTGTGGGTCGGTATGCGAATATTGACGCGGCGTATGCAGGGATGTCTTCGTTACTACCCGAGGATATTCTTTGTTATCTTGCCCTGGTTCGTCTCCTATCTATAATGAGCGGTCAATTTACTAAGGGCCTCGATGAATATCGCAGTTGACATACTATGGTTTGTGTGTCAATGCTGTTCTTAGTTGGTTTTGCCTTCGCCGATATCTTTTCTGATCCCACTAATATATATTGAAGTGAGCGTTTTAGGCGGTGCCGGACTACACGTCACGCAGTTAGAGTCTCATCAACTCGAGATATTCTCTCGGACTGTATTTGCGGCTCAAGTTCTGTTTGCCGCATGTTTGGGGTTAGTAAAATTAAGCATTGCGAGATGTCTCCAACGTATCTTTTTTACGCGTCGTTTTCGAATAGCTGCAAATGTTGTCATGGGGTTTTCGATAGCTTGGACACTACAGACTATCTTAATTGGCGTGTTAATATGTCAACCCGTTGAGCTCAACTGGGACCCAACCGTACGTGGGACGTGCGGTAACCAGACGATAGGGTTCACCTCGGTCGCGGTGGTCGACATAATGACAGACCTTATGCTCATAGCGCTTCCATTGAAGCCATTGCTAAAACTACGGATCAGGACTTTGCACAAGGTTGCCTTGTTGATAATATTCGGTGCTGGACTCATGTAAGTAGCCGTCCAACTTCTAACTCTTCCTTCTTCCACTACGTGTTTCTCTTGTAACTATTTTACATAGGTATTACCCATGATTCTGACAGACAAACAGTACTATGGCCGTCTCCGCTGTTAGGCTTTATATCACATTTAAACTCATTATAGTGACTTGAGCTATTCCACAGTTAGCAATAATTATCTCGTGGTTATTCAGCCCGGAATCGCTATCATGGTAGCTTGCAGTCCCCTTCTCAAACCCATCCTAGACCGAGTACTCAACTCATTGTCTGGCACCCAGCATCATAGTTTAGGCGGAAGCTCGGCCCACAATCTTAGTATAAGGTTAAGGTCATTAGTTAAGAACGACCACAAGGAGACAATTAACTCTTCACGATCAATGGCAGCCGAGTTCGAACAACTCTCGGATAGCGAGTACGATATCCGCGGGGGGCTTGCGGATATGGGTACATATCAAGCAAGGATTCAAGCACAAGAGAATCCCTACTCGGGACAGGATTTAAGCGGCAGGGTGGTCTTCGGTAATGAGCAGATTAGGGTAACACGACAGGCAATTGTGACAAGTAGTCGATAGCTCATGGTCAGGAATATCAGTGACTTATGCGGGATACGAGTTAGACATAGTGCAAAAGGTTTACCCTTGAGTATGAATATTAAAAGGCTATACCTACATGGATGTACCCATGTTTGAAGTGATATGTTAGGATCTAATGTAAGCAATGAGCAGGAAGGCGGCTATATCGTTACACGAAGGCGTCGTACCGCCCATAGGTACTTAATATATGTCCTCAAGTGCAAGAGTGCTACAGTACGTTGCTTATTTAAATCTAATTGGCTACCTACCTAGACATGTTTTACTATTCCTACCTATGTGGCATATCTTGAGTCTTTTTGAATAATATAAGCAGGCTGCATACTGTACTCCCGCACTTGAGGACGTACATGTAGCGGTAAGTTTATTACTTGGATATGTCTCATGGCAAAAGTTATTCATACGATATGACAACTGATTGGATCACAGTATTGTCACGAGGTGGAACCAAACAGCATGGAAACAACTTTGTTGTTCCGCAAGGAACTCTAACTACCTAAGAAGTTCTACGTCTATGCAAATCATGTTCTTTGTTCTAGATGTTTCATGAATCCTGGCAAGTATTTGTCTCGGAGCCTCCGGAAGCATAGGTGCCTAGGTGGCGAAGGCAGCCGTCTACGTAACATCCGGTCGACTACAGAAGGATTCAATGCGCACATATATATTAATCTATACATTAATCTATATTAATCATTACGGTATGTTATTGCGCCAACGGAACGAGATATCGGATCCTGTCCTTTAGATACCTAAATTACCTAACCTAATGCGAGAACTGGTTCACCGGTATAGCAACACCAAACAACCCCTGTCTCTATTAGAACTCTTGGTGAGACATACTCTGCTGCCAGAAGCCACTTGAGTGCAAATCTGAAAATTAGGTATTTAGAAATTGTTATATAGGTACCTAGGTAAATAATACGAGTTCTTGTGAGAAATTTAGGGATATCGTAGCTGAATTGGGGGAAACTAAAAACATGTACCTCTCTGGGTATGTAGTTAAAGGGCTCCTCTTGTTACAGTGTACAGGGCTAGTCTAGCGGCTAGGAATATAGGTAGTATAGTAAAAAGCCACTAGCATAAGTACGTTGTAATAGTAAGCCTAGGCAGAATAGACCCATACTAGTTTAGCATTCTCAAGATAGCTTCAATCTGCAAGTCTTTCCTAATACATGATCTTGCCGCTTGGAGCAACACGTTTCAATAACCCCAGTGTTGGCATTATAATATTCCCTATACTCCTAAACCTGTACTCAAGTATCCCTCGCCCTATAACTACCCCAAAACTCCAAAAGTCATAATGATAGCGTCAATAGTATGATACGCTACATATGGTAGACCCATGCTCAGTCTCCCGTAAGCAATGATGAACTTAGACATATCTTCAGATATACCGTCTCTACGTTCCAGGATTTTCCCCGCGTCACCTAACAGCATATCTGACCTATAGTCGAATTCACGGCCCCATCCAGGCTTCTTGTTATCATCGAGCAATTGTCGATGCCAGAGACTGTGGAGGTCACGTATGATAGGACCTAAGTCTTCACTTACGCCTAAAGGTTGCTTCTTAACCAGTTGCGTTGAACCATCTTCCACCATGTCATACCATAGGTGGAAAAACTTATTGGTGGGAGATACAGGCAGCTGAGACCGTGTACCAGCCCTCCTAAGCCCACATATTAGGGGCTCGGCGATGCCGGCTTCGGTCACTTGAGACTTCGCCATATCATAGATTTTCCAAGTCCTAGAGTTGCAACGTTAGAAGGATCCGTTAAGCTCTCGCGCGACGAAACAGCCGAAACTTCCATAGAGGTAGGAGGTGTTGAAGATTTAAATTGATTAATATACGGTATAAGAGAGGTACCTCCGCAAGGATATCAAAATGTAGATTATAATAATTAACACAACTTACCATTCCCAGAACTGGGGGTACTTATTGATATACAGCTCGAGAGTTTCGAAAATACGTCGGTGACGGGCCCGACAGAAACTGTATGCCGGTGAGGTTGATGAGACGCGCCCATCCTCACGATTGTGCATTCGTGCTCGGTGATGGCCCCTGAAAACTTCGCAGAGCATAGACGATAAAATAGTAGATGTGGTTTGCATGCTTTGGTTGATCTTGTCAAAAGGAGGGTATAGAAGACGAAGTAGGTTTCGTGTCTCTCCAGTCATAATATCGGTATGGAGATCCATTATATCGTTCGCTACGGCACTGCCGAGGATTGAATCCATACCTTCGTTGTCGAGCCATGCAGCACCATCCCGGCGCATATATGCGGTACCAGTAGTGTCCAAAGCGCGGGCCGCGATGATCAGATCATAGTCCAGCCCATGTTCAATAAAAGCTTTTCTAGGAGTCTTAAAACACCTGACGTTCTCGCAGCCATTGATGGCCTGGAGATAGCCAAGCGCAATTCGCCAGAAGCAACGATCTTCGCCGGATTTAGTGTCGTCAAGATACGGCACGGATGCCCGCGCTAAAGTTTCGAAAGCGTCTATGCGATTCTTAAATTCATTATTCCCCTTGACCTGTAGCATTAAACCAATTAGCGGAGCCCATGGCTGGTGTTCACCAAGAAGCGCTTCCGTTAAGAAGTTAAAGATTCTCGATATAGGAACCATTAGTTATATACTAAGTGCCTATTTGTTCGGATACGCTCACAAACAGAAGGTCTCTTTAGAGGGATTAAAGAAAAGGACGATATCCTTACCCAGTCTATACCGGTCAAGGCAGAATACACATAGTCCTCTCTGCTAGTAACCGGCTCAAAGGTAAAAGATTGGCACATCAGCAGGTAAAAGGGAAACTGGACGATAATAGGGGGGTCACATTCAAGGCCTGTAAGTAGCCTTCCCCACGAAATGAAGTGGTCGTCTCTCCCGGCCCTTGATGTATGGAGTTGAATTGATAGTTCCATCGGGTCATCAGTAGCATCTGCAGCTAAAACAATGGCAGCACCAACTTCTAGAGTACATTGGTATGTCAGCTCAATCACGTCAAGGTCATGCAAGCCGGAGCTGGATTCTCTCTCCTTTTCAAGCAAGTTGTGGAATTCGGCCGCAAACGGTTCAATAAGTTCTAGAACTTCGCTCGTTGGCTGATAGTTAGCCAAGGTATTTCTGGCCCATGGGGCAACTTCAGTTGTCAAGGGATATGTCCCAATGTGTCTCTGTGTCGATGACTGCGGAGGGCATGACTGCAATTTATTGCTTAGCCACACCCGCCCTGACGAAGTATGGCACAGCTTGTTTATATCATTATCGACAGGGGCGGCACTATCTTCGCATTTATCATGAGTCTTCAAGTTGTCGTCCACACCACTGTCCTTGAGGGCAGCCTGTCCACATAATCAGAAAGACTTTCACAAAGATAAGTTAACCTTGTGATTATACCATTGCACCCCCTGTATACCTCATCTTTCGTGCATTTATCGCAATAGTGGTCGTCATCATGATGGATTCTTCACAGACTTTGTGTACAAATATAAATCAGTCGACGTAGATTTGGTCAAAACAACAGATCATTAATGATATAGTTATTCTTCAGATAACTTTGCTCTTTTTTAACATATGCAACATACATTCTTATGTAGATCGATTACCTTCAACGCCCTGTTGAACACAGCACCACGGTCAGTAAACATACACGTAGTACAGGTAGCATCCGATTGCCCCAACAGAGCTGCGATCCTACTACTTGCTTGCATCGTCACGCAGGCCGATCAGGGAACATTCGTTGCGAGCTAATGAGCGAGAATTCCCTGGAATAGCTATGTGCTTAATCTGACTGGTGAGCCGGGTAGTCGTACTATAGCTCAATAGTCCATCTTCGGCAGCACAGTACAAGCCTGAACACACTTATAATTAGCCCGTATCATCTCATCAAGTAAGTATATTAAGCCCTTGCAGGAAGTCGTCGAGTGCCACTAATTCCTATCCGTGCAACCTTCATCCTAATATCTACAGGTTACGCGCATCTCATCTCTAGCCGACGCCAAAATCTTACTTGTCTTACGTACTACCTATGTCTCAGTCCTAGGCCGGGTTCTCGCGCCACTGGGGCTGCTTATCTTAGTCGAGTGCTCGAGTTCAATCTTCTTGGCCACGACCTAAGGCTGTGCGTACATACTAGAAGTATCATTTATATTACATGTCCCATCTGGGGTTACGATAGGTACGAAGGATCAGACACTCTCCCTTTCTTTCCTAATCCGCGGATAGATGGAATACCTACGTACGTTATAGATATAGCGTATCTCGAGTTAGTTATCTTAATTATTGCGATCAAAGGAGTGGCTTAAGTCCTTAAACAAAAGCGAAAAGTAAAGCCTCCCAGATAACATGCTATAGAGATATTCTAAGTTCTTTGGAACACTATTGTGTTATTCCAATGGCCCCTTCACTCCTCTTTCTACTACTAGTTGCCATTGGTTTCTTTTACAGACTCTCTATAATCATATATCGCCTTTTTTTTCATCCCTTATCTAGATTCCCTGGTCCCAAGCTTGCTGCAGCTACTGGGCTTTATGAGTTTTATTTTGACTTCCTAGTACAACCCGGAGGTCAATTCTCATTTCAGCTCAACAGACTGCATCATATTTATGGTAAGGGAGCATCTTGTGCCACGAAATAAATCGTTTAATGAGATAATTAGGTCCCGTAGTCCGTATCACCCCCCACGAGATCCATATTAAAGACTCCTCATGGATTAACATTCTTTATGTGAATACCCGGCACGTAAGTACGGGAGTCACAGACGATAGCGCAGCTCAAGCATACTTATACCATCCAGGATATTCGTGACAAATACCCACCGGCGGCTCATATGGCAGGAATAACAGAAGGCAGTAAGTTAACTGAACTGGCCAGTGACTTATTGATTACTAACTTTCATATATAGCCTTTGGTACAGTTGCCCATAGCATTCACCAAAGACGACGCAACGTATTAAGCCCTTACTTTTCCAAGACAGTAATTGCCCAATCCGAGACTTTACTTTATGACAACGTGGATAAACTTCTGAGTCGTATAGATGAAGACATATCTCAAGATAATACTGCCGAACTGCGATTGAATTTCCTTACAATGATGACTGACAATTTAATGGCATATTGCTTCGGAGAAGATAATAGTTGGAATCTCCATGAGAATCGTACCCGGGCCGAAAATTGGTTAAAAACAATACTCGCCATGACAAGCCAAATTCACATTCTTAAGCGGATTAGTTGGGCTGCCCCTTTAGCTCTAAAGTTCCCAGTCTGGCTTTTAGAGATAATGTTTCCTAATATGGCCAAAGTCGTGGTATTACGTCACGTATGGAATTGCTTTATGCGCCCAATTATGCTTCTCATGCTAATTATATATTACGGTAGAATATGAGCAAACTTTCATTTACGGCCATTCAGGCATTCAATCGGTCTACAAGGGATACCAAACCTGCGGCACAGCCTTCTAGTCTCCCACAGAGAAGATTTGCAACTATATTTGATAGCATATTAGCAAGCAAGACACTCTGTGCTTCGGATAAGCTCCCTGAACGTATGGGCCAAGAAGGCTTTGAAATTATTCTAGCAGGGGCAGAGACGACAAGCCAAACTCTAGCAACGGCAGCATACAATATATTAACCAACCCCGACAGCGTTCTCTCGAGGCTTCAAGCGGAGCTCAACGAGGCAATGCCGGATCCGAATTCTAGGCTTCCTTTGAAGCTGCTAGAAAACTTACCATGGCTTGTAAGACACAATTACAGTACGCCACAAGGGTCTACTAACGCAAATATTTCAGACTGCAGTCATTAAGGAGAGCCTTCGTGTCCAAGCAATAATAACTTCACGGCTACCAGTGATCTCTCCAGAGAAACCTCTCCACTACAAGGACTGGATATTTCCTGTTGGTGTGAGTGAATTTTATAGGCTTCTTCCCCATCACCTAATTTATTATACTTCTTTAGAAGGTCACTTGCTCTAACTACCTTTCTACTTCCTATTATCGCCGCTTTCACTATTTCAAGGCCGACTGTGGCGGGCTAATTAGAAATATGGTGATTATAGACCCCTGTTGGCATGTCACTGCGCGACGTTTTGTTAGATCCCGACGTCTTTGATGAGCCAGACAAGTTCCTACCCGAACGCTGGCTATCATCAAATCCAAATCCCGAAAGGCTTGACCGTTACTTTGTACCATTCAGCCGTGGAAGTCGCATGTGCCTTGGCATGAAGTAAGTCGATGCCATCCTGCCTAAAAACATAGCCAAGTATACCACTAAGATAGGTACCTAATTAACGAATGTGTTTGTAGTCTTGCAATGGCAAATTTGTATATCACCTTAGCGGTTATGTTTCGGCGACATAACTTTAAGTTGCATGATACAAACTGGGCTCGGGATATTCAAATTGTGCGGGAAGACTTCATTGGTGAAGTATCAAAAGACTCTAAAGGGGTTCGAATTAAATATGCGTGATATCTTAGAATATATTCCCTTTCTATGTAATATGCATGATTTGTTAGCAACCTGTATGAAACATTGGAAATATTTTTCTACTGGACTTTCCCATAAAAATATCGCCTATAGTTGCCTCCGCTCAGATTATGATTCTACTAATCATTTTAGTAATAATATGAATGTTCTTGATCATGTATCAATCTTTAGCAAGACCTTTAGCTTTAATACAATATAAATCATTTTATTTACGTATATGCGAGTGTCATCTGACTTACATTAAGTACCTAGGTAGTCAAGTCGATCGCGCAAGTTGACTATTGATGCTTCATGGTTCGATCTTACATTATGCCCGACTTGAACAACTGCAATAAAATAACACTCTGAAGTCAAAACTAAACCCCCAGTGCTAATTTCCATCGTAGTACCAGCACAGAACTAGGTAGTATGCATCTTCCCCTTCATCATACTCCTATTCTACCGATTCTATCTCTTTGTTACATCTCCGCGAGTAGCAGACAAGAGCTGATCCGCAGCCATTCCTAGCAACGTCTTCCGTGTCATCTGCAAAATAGCTTGTGACCAATAGGGGTATACAATAGCGCTCCTGCTGCTAGAAGCTGCATGCAGTAACACTGTCTCGGCTAGTGCCCGCTGTGCAGAACGGTGGAACAACAATTTCTCCTTATGACCGACAGCTACATCGCCGATATGGCACGAAACAACGTTAACGCCGTCTTGAGAAAGGCATTCATACTCCCTGTGCGAATAACACGGCTGTGTCCCATAGCCGCTACCAGGCATCGAAGAAGCCACGTTGATAATCAGCGCAGGCGTATTCCGCTTAAGAAGTGATATCAACACAGCCTTCAACTGCGGTAAGACTATGCCACCAGCATCGCCAACACAATCAATCAGCAGAGTCAAATTCGCACCCTCCAGCGACCCCCCTACCCTCGCCACAAACCCCTCCACCGCATCGCCCTGTGCGTCCGTATCTACAACCACAACGCGATATTTATTCTGCGGGTTTGCCCTCAGAAGCTGCGCTCGGAAAGCTAGCAGTCTGTGCATCGTAACTTTTCCGCCGCGGCAGCCAGGCCCAGTGCCGTACAGAACGATGTTGAACCCGCGCGCAGCCAGCCCGAAGCACAGCTCCCGAGCGATAGGCTCCTGCCCAGCGCCCGCAACGAATGCCCACGCCGGCTTCCCCCGCGCGGCGTGTAGGAACCGTGTCAGCGGTGCGTCGTTGGCCATCCAGAGTCGCACGCGCGGCCAGATCACAGCTAAGATCTCGCAGGCGGCGCAGAGGGCGGCGCCGGGGCCGAATAGAGAGAATAGGGACGTTATGATGCCCATTCCTATGGACCGAAAATGTGGAAGGGGGTATAGTGACGATGGAATATCTCGCCGTCTTATGGGCGAGGCAGGTTAGTTTTCTCTCAGAGATAAGAGGGAATGGGGGAAGGCGAAGATTTAGCAGACAAAAAACGACCACGGCGGCTCGAATATTCTTTAAACCCGCCGGAATACCTTCAGTACCGGTTTTGGGCGACATCTATAGATTAAGGCATGAGTTAAAAGGGGCATTCTAAGAAACTATCGTAGCATAGCGCCGAGTCACTTGTGAGTTCCTGAAATATGAGCTTTAGATAGGTAATTTACCAATTCATCCTATGAATTGTAAAGATAATAGCACATAGAACGAAGAATGTGATAATGTGAACAAATGGAATATAGTATTAATTAAAAGATCGAATAATAGTAGGTCGTAATCATTAGAAGTCATAAGCACATCACATCGTGTCTGTCGTAATACATCCGTTTCCCCATTGGGTATCATCAACTCCGACTAAACAAGATTGGTACATCCATGCTCCTGTGGTCTTGCATTGAATACAAGGTGCCACCCACACTAGAGGTACTCTTCCCAAACAACCCCTCTCGAAATCTCGAGCTGCTGAGGAAACTCCCAGCGCCGAAACTCTTTTTTAGGCCCGGCAACACCCCTCTTGCCGAAGCCGCTATTACTGGAAGAAAATTCGCGACCTAGCCGACTAAGCACAAGCTCTTTGGCCCTCTTTAAGGCACTTGTCTGAAACTCGGCATCCTCAGCTACACGCCTCTGCGCTTCTTCCGCTTCAATATCACGTTGTACGCCGTGATTTCGGAGCATAGCTCCGCAATGGGGTCATAAACGTGAGGTTCTAATAATACAGGCATGCTAGGTGCTGTGCTAAGAATAGGTGCCGATATGTCCATCGGTGTAGTGGTAGGTGTACTAGGGCGGAAATACTCATCGACGACTGAGTCTGAGTCATCAACAGGTGAGTGTGTGAGCTCCGGCTCGGATCCCGAGTTAGTGAGCTGCGATACTTCACCAAACAGACGGCGCGACGAGGTTGAATAAATGCTCTCAACTTCGCCAAACAAGCGATGTTGAGAGCTTTGTGGCGAGATAGATAAATGTAGCGGATGGTGAGGATATTCAAAGGACTCATCCGAGGGCCGACGGCTTTGGTCAAAACCATGAATTTCTGGCTGCCTTTCAAAGGATTCTTGGGGTTTCTGATGTCGGTGGCGGCGATGACGACGATGTTCATCACTAGGCTGGTCAATAGAATCTTTAGAAGGTTGCCGGTGATGATGACGTGAATGAAACTCGTGTTTATCATCTTCACGAGATTCGTTCTTATCCTTTCTTCTGCGACGACGCTTTGTGACTTTACGCTTCTTAAGCTTGTTTGGAAACGAAAGACTAGCTTGCCTGGCAGCCTCTAGGTCAGAAGGAAGATCAAATTCATCATTTTGTTCCGCTGATTCATCATCATCTTCCTCGTCGCCATTTAGATCAACATCTAAAAGCTTTTGCGACGCTGCCGAAACAGCTGGCGAGTCACCTGATAGATCATCTATAAAATTGTCTGATAGGTCCGGTGAAGGAGCGCTTGCATCTTCAGTAATAGTAGCCATTGACTGTCGAATCCAGCGGCTACCACGAGACGATTTGTTCAATAAAGGTCCTAGTGCATCATCCCAGCTATCATCATTAATTAAAACAACATTCTCAAAATCGAACTCGCGTACACTGTGTCGATGCGCTGCGATCAATTCCGCCACCTGTGACGAGTTCATGGTGGCATTCCGAATGGCCATAAAACGTAATTTACGGAATACAATAGGTTTCCTAGAGGGCGCTGGAGGTAAAGGTACATGGGCGAAGTAACCTCATTGAAAAGTTTCTGTGAACTCCGAGGCGGCGCAAACAACGGGTCAGCCGCAAGTGACAATGGGCATGGACCCTTTCGGCCTAGCCAATTAAACGTTAATTTTTCTAGATTCGTTGAAAAGTCGCGTATATAATCGTCAATCATCTTTAGATGATCAAGTCCGGGTGAAGGACCATAGAAATCCCAAGCTTCTACCGAAATATTTAACTTCCGAATCTGCTTCCACCGAGCAGCTGATGGTAGACAGCCGAACCCTATAACATGTCGCAAGTAGATAAAGGCGGAGGGATGGACGGAGGATAACGAAAGCTTTGTGAGCTTTCTCATCGGCGCCCGCTCCAATGATATACGGAGGCTAATAAGCGCATAGTCCACAATATCCCTTCGGTATCTCTCCTTGGGATTCTGACCAGGCGTCTTGATAGTGAGATGTCTCATATTCGGTAAGTGCTTCATCGCATTGATGAAAGACGGGACATTAGATGCGGCGTGGAACAGTGGCGGATATTGTTGTGTAAGAATCTCACCAAGTCCAGAGTTGGCGAACTTAGGTCTTTCCAGAACAGACGCCATCGAAGTATGAGGCTTGTAAAGGAAACTGATCTCACGACCAGTATCAGGGTGAACCAGTGGCGGTAAGAAAGTAGCCTCTGAGTGTGGGAAATAAAAGGTAAGATGTTCTATATGCTGGCCTACTCTCGACAGCGCTTCTATTCTACTCTGTCGAGTGAAGGTACTAGAAGTAAAGGTCAAGTGGGTTCGTAGAAATAGTCGTTTGGTAACAAGATTGCAGCATGCTGACGATGAGAGTCGAACATTGCAGATATCTTCTTTTGGTAATAATTGGAAGAGCTTCTCACGGATAGCCTCCTTCTGCCACAGGCAATAGAATGCTTGCGGTCCTGTTGCCATAGCTCTAGCATGTCGCTAAGGCAAATGTTATTGAGGGGGGGGGTGTTAGTTCGAGGAGCCCTGATAGCGGGCTATAGTCACGAAGATGGTATGGGCACTTGAAAAGTTATACAACTGAAGTCGGATCAGAAGTATATATGTAAGTGGTTAATAAGTAGGACGATATTGAATAATAATAGATGGTCTAAATATATGATAGTAGAGCTACACTGCGAGTATGAGACGGTAAAATGAGGTTATTCGCAGTTATAGCAACAGCATTAACTGAATTAGATATAATCCAGTCACTCAAAGTTGACACTTGATATTCTGAAATATAAGAAAGTCGGTCGCAACCCAACCGGGACCGTGAAGGCCTGAGGCGCATGTTATACCAGTTCGACATATTCCCCCCGGTTCAGAAAACTTTTCGTGCTACCTCTCGACTTCATCGGCATAGTCTCTCCAAATTTACTAAGATAGTCCACGAACGTCAGAAAAGTCGGACTGGTTGGGAATGGTTGGCAAGTGAGTCATTCTCACGACTTTAGTGCATTTGCAAATCTGCACGTCGCCATGCAGCCGTGGAGCTCAGAGAAGTCGGAAACGGAGCAAATGACAGACGCGATAGTTATGGTAAAGCGCGATGCGAGAAATGACTGGTCCGTTAAGAAGTGACCTGCATGGTGCTAGATGCAATTCAGCTGCAACACAGTCTCACCATCCAAACATTTCATCCAGTGGGAGACATTGAAACATTGTGGGGGAAGAAAAGACTCAGAAGAAGCGCCCGGTTGTGGGTCTTTGATAAACGAAACGGATGCTAGAAGAACCCGGTAACTTCCTTATAGCCAATAGTAACTTCCTTTTCAAATTTTCAGTGGCTGGTGATCCCTGTTACTTCCCTGTAGCCTCGCTGTAACCTCCCTGGACGTACTGGATGCAGCGCGCTTGGCTTCTAATGCACACACGAATCGGACACGAAATAGACGCGATTCCCGTACACGTGGATTCCATACATAAAAGCTTCTAAGCGCTCCCGACAACAAAGCTGCACTAATTAATAAGGTTTCCATTTTACGATGGGCTACGAGAGTTCGAAGGTTTTTAAAGATCAACGATATTTAACCAATTACCGGTGGAAATGTTAGACTATAACTTCGAGTCTCTAGAAGAAAGGACGGCAACTTGAGGTGGGAGAGGTGACACTGATATAAAAACGGCAACTGACTGAACGCGGCTTTCGATACGACGGGACCAAAGCACGAGGTCGCGTTGACCATCCTCCAAGTCTAAGAACTGCAGCCGCCACCAAAGGCTCGAGGTTGATCGCGTCAAATATTAATTCCCGGCCGATCTGTTTCGAAACATTTAACCTGGGATTTATTCCAGAACACATGAACTCCAACTAACCCTACCTTAGCCTATCTCTGCATGAGGGACTCCGGATACCGATGCAAGGAGTCTGCTGAATCTTGGCGAATCAATTTTATTGCCGATATCGCCATTTTACTTCACTCCTATACTGGCAAGTATATCAGTATATACATCCCTTGTCTTGTGAACAAAATGCTCGTGTGTTATCAATATAACAATATCGGATAGTTACTTGATAAAGTAAGAATAAGTTGTGTTCCACTAAGTAAATCCACAGCAAGCCCAGTAGGTAGTAACAAGCTCGCGTACATCAAAGAGCCTGTATGTGTTACCCGAAGAGTGCATGAGTACATTAGGCACATATGTTTAGTGGTTTAGTTTGACTGTCTTATCAACGTCAACCCCCTATAGAGTATATTTCCTGGCCATCGATATTCATTGAGCCAAATGAAGCAAATCCTCTAACCCTTAGGATTATACTATCTTTGCCTTCCAGCTTTGACTCCGGTACCTCGACGCTTAAGTTTAAGGCTATGCAGTGGCGATTTATCTCTCATTTAGATTTATACCACCAATACAGTGTTATGGATAACGATCTAATTATGAGTTAATACGTTTCCTCATGAGTAGTTTGGTTAACTACCTAAGCTAAGTTTCTTTATAAGTGAAAGGGAGGCTTGACTTATATATACTCTTGCTATGTAAGATGCCTCATGCTGTACCTAACATCAGTCCTTTGGCGATTTATCTTAGCACATTTGATTTATCAATAAACAATTTAAAGGGTATGTATTCACTATACCTCCTTTCCTTCTACATGCAAGACCTTTTTCCCCTGATATAAAATGCTTATGACATATCTTTATGTTTCCCCATTCAACAATGCCACTTAGTCTAAAGTGATAACTGTAGTTCATCCACTACATACAATATAAAGCGTATCTCTCAACGAAAGAGACCTGCTTATTTCTTCTAATGTGTATACCTTACTTACTACAGACGTTTCCATGATGAATTATGACTTCAATATATTATACTTCCCCATTGTCTTAATCTTTACAATAAGCAGTCGCTTCTTTTAAACCCTACTTCAAGCCTAGTATCTTTTGATCCAGTCTTGTTGGGCTTAAAAGAGCTTGCCCCGTAATTGTATCCCTTGAAAATACATCCATGTTATTTCTCAAAAAAGAGTCACAACAGGTACTAAACTCTAGCTCACCACGTTAGCTACGACGTGGCTAACCAACTCAGAGGTGAGTCACGCTTCGCTGGCCGCTGTGGAACTTTAGGCTAGGATCCGAGAATCATAGAGTCACGTAGAGGTCATTCTACGAGGATATGAACTCCCTCAAGTATGCCTACTTGGAGGGACTAATTTCTATTTGAAATTAAGACATGTAGTGGGAATACTAGGAGGAATATTACAATCAACATTGAAGCTAGATACAGTAAGTTTCACTGTTTTCTTGATCTAGGAATTCATAGAACTAAAGTCACTAAGCCAGCAATGCTACTGTGTAAATGCAAGATCCGAATTGACTGTCATGTAGCAGTGCTATGGTAATCCATTATACGCCTGTCCCCTCAACCCAGAATTGCTTCCTTGTCACGATAATCCATTTAAGCAGACTCAGTGAACGCATCAGGGAAACGCTTGATGTTCTGCGCAAGGTTACCGTGGTTGGTGAGGAACTGAACGTAGGCACCGTCAACCTTGACACGGCCGGCAGCCTTCTTCTCGAGGTACTCCTCACGTCGGAGAGGAGTGAAGCCCCAGTTCTTGGAGATGATGATCTTTTGTCGGCCAGGGAACTTGTACTGGGATCGTCGAAGAGCCTCAAGAGCGACAGCACGGTCTACGGGAAAAGGTTAATTAACGCATTCTTGTAGTTGCGGCATACGTCATTTTACTTACTAGAATCACGAGTTCGGACACTCAGGATGATCTGACCAATGTTGACACGGGCAACAGTACCGTTGGGCTTACCCCAAGCACCACGCATACCAGTCTGCAGTCTATCGGCACCAGCGCAAGACAACATCTTGTTGATACGGACGACGTGGTAGGGGTGAGCGCGGACACGCATGTGGAAACCTTCCTTTCCGGCAGTCTTGACGAGGTACTTGTTGGCGCAAATGCGGGCAGCTTCAAGAGCTTCGGAGCTCAGCTGTTCGTACTCGTTGGAGACGAGGTGGATGCAGAGAGGGAAGTCATCGACGGTCGCACGCTTTCGGCCAAGATCGAAGATACGGATCTTAGGGTCGGGGACACCACGGTTGAAGCGGGACTTAGGATACGGCTAAGAATTATTGACGTCAGTATGTTTTGACCTATATTTGATCCATATCTAATGAATCGCTCGGGTGTTTCGTGGAAAATAATGTAGTTCATAGTGGAATGTGTAATCGGAAACAGGTAAGGGAATCGCAAGTCATTTGCGATCAACCGGATAAATTTTGAAAATGCGTTTTTTGTGTAAAAAAAATATAATAACTATAGAATTCTTGTAAGGCTCACCTTGTTCTTGCAGTATCGGTAACATCTTGCCGGACGACGCGCCATCTTGAATGATTTTCTCGATCAATTTGTCGTTAGATGAGGGTATGTTGTTGTAGAGAGGAAGATGATGTCGACAAGGAAGCAGAGGGACTGGGGCTCCTTTGAGGTCTGCGGTGAAATTCCTACTTTGATTTCAAAGCAAGAGCGAGTCACATAAGCGGGCGAAGTGGGTTGGTGGCGGGGTATTTTATTGGTCCATTGATTATCAATTCGCCTGAGGAAAAGTGGAGTTAGGGCTAAAACCACGGACCACCAGAATATTCGATGCGGTGCGAGCCTCTAAACGGGTAACCCCACCAGGACTTTTCGCAAAAGATAATTATTTTTTTTGCCTCCTCTTGGTGACTTCCATTCATTCCTAACTACAACATCAACCTAACGTCGTCAACGAATAGTCAATTCATATCTAGCAATCAAGATGGCCCCCAAGAAGAACAAGAAGGATGCGAACAGCATCAACTCGCGTCTTGCGCTTGTTATGAAGTCCGGAAAGGGTACGATCTCTCTACCTAACCGAAAATAAATAAATATGCCATATTTACTGACATTTCCTCTAGTCACTCTCGGCTACAAGTCTACCCTGAAGAGTCTGCGATCTGGCAAGGCCAAGCTAGTCATCATCTCCGGAAACACTCCTCCTCTACGCAAGTCCGAGCTGGAATACTACTCCATGTTGTCCAAGGCCCCGGTTCACCACTTCTCCGGCACCAACGTAAGTTCCTACATCTCTTTGGATCAAGTATAAAAGACATATCAATGCTTTTATATTCTCCGCTTTCTCTTGTCTCTATGGTCAGTAGACGGGTTTATCTTGTCTACGACCCTACCCAGAGAAGAAGCCCTATTGGCTTTGGAGGGTAATTCAGTTGGCTTACTTTTTGGTTGAATATAGATTGAGCTGGGTACTGCCTGCGGTAAACTGTTCCGCTGCTCCACTATGGCCATCATTGATGCTGGTGACTCCGATATCCTTAGCGATCAACAGGCTTAGGTCTAGATAAGGCATCCTCGACGGCGTTGAGGTTCATTGGTTGGGAAAAGGTCATCGTAGTTGGCTGTTCATGAATGATGACGGCTGGTATAATTCCACATTAGGAAGCACATTTGCGAGGCTCCACCTTGAGCTCTTCTAGGTAGCCGATTAGACCAATACTAAATGTCAATACAACCGAAGTTTACGGACTTCGGAAAGAATATAAATGATACCCGGCAATCCCTCTTTCTAGCGCTATAGCTAAGATTTGAATGCTCTGTGATAATCAGTTGTGACCCGAGTAGACGATACTAGTTGGTTACAATATAGTGAACATCTCAAGTATGATGCAAGTCTAGCCTTAGTATCTTGACGAGGTAGTTTTCAACAATGTGAATAAATAGAGATGAAACCTTACCTAATTCACTAAGTCTTCACGCGTAATCCCGTCGGGACAAACGGATATAGCAAAATCATCATATCTAAATAATTTACCAATCCAGTTGGCATAAGGTTTACCTATGTCTAGAAATATCTCGTATTAAGCTTTCGAGAATACCCGTATAAATACTTATAGAATTACATGTAGGTAACCAAGAGTGATATATCAAGGACAATACTAAATAACAATAGGAGGAAGAGTACGAAAGTGAGCATGCTTATACATATAATGAAAATTAACCTCGCCTGACGTCTGGATTTCTTTATCACTTATTCTGATTCGACCACTAAGAAGAAAGAAAAGTCAAGGAAATCCTCAAACGGCAATTGTCGGAGACATATATCATAGCAAGTACAATCACGAAGATACTTTATCAGTCTCCTATTAATGGGACGCGTCCTTTTGATATAAAACATGTTCCACAAGGATCCAGCATCCACACCGTCACTCGTCGCCGAGCGCTAAAGTATTGGGACTTATGTACCTAAGTACATAAGAAACCGCATAAACGCTAATTAAACTTTACAAGCAGAAAGGGGGGTAAAAGGGAAAGAGGACCCAAAAGGAGTTGGAGATATGAACATTTAAAAAGAGCTTCTACAAATATTCTGTAAAGTTGACGTTACTACTTAACTAATACATACTACATACTACATACTGCATACTACATACAAATTACAAACTACGTACAAATCACCTGGTTATATATGTACCTAGGTACATGCTATTTTTACTTTTAATCAGAGACAGAAAAGCCAAGTCAGGATTTGTGATTCCCTGGGAAAAGGTGATCCCGCGTGGCTGAGTCTCGCCTGACTTTAAAGAAGGGCCAAAAAGGGTCAGAAAAGGATAAACCCAGATAGGCTAAGCGCCTTCAATGCTCAACGGTCTAAACCAGCTCTAGCGCGTTAGATCCAAGTCCCCTATTTATACGAAATACAAACGGGAAACGGGGAATTTACCACAGTACATACATACCTACATACATGATACATACAAGCCATACAAGCACTTTGGACAGCGGCTGTCAGTGTCACGTTGTCAATGTTCCGTTGCGAATTCTAACCCAAGAAAGTCTCCCCCGAGACCCAAAGAGTTGTGCATCCCGCGCCACCAATCCACGAACCACAAAACGCATATGAGCCACTCGGACAAAAACAACATAAGGTACGGTCCAAAAATCAACCAGAAACATACCTGCGTCGTCTACCGGCCAACAACGTATTGAGTTTCCGACTTGTCTCATTACTCGCGATTGACCTAGCAACCAACTATCATATTCAATCATACTATATTCTCCAACATTACGTTGAACTTTATATTGTATCTATTGCTTCGGCTTTCGAATATATTGACGAGACAAACCTACCGCAACTCGGCTACCTATAGTAGCATTCCTGTATATACATTCGCCTTTACCCTTTACCCGCGTATCGCCATTAAATCGGACAAATGTCCGCTACACCTAAGAAGCCGCTATCCGCGGCGCAGGGCCGGTCTTCCTCGACCGAGAACACACCTCCGTCGAGGCAGACCCGAGCGTCTACACCGACTTCTTCTACAAATGGTGCAGGAACCACCAACAGCCCCCAGAGAACACGGTCAAACCGAGGCGGTACTCCAATGTCAGCGCGAGCCGCTGCTACGCATAGGACAACCTCGTCGCTGAGTATCTCTAGCACAGTTGGGGATGCTGAGGCTCGCGCCGAGACGGTTGCTCTAATCGAAGACCTAAAGGAACGGTTACAGAAGGCAGATATTGCTTCCGAGCAGCATAAGAAACAAGCAGAGGTTTTACAGACAAGACTCGACGATGCTCTTAAAGAGCAAGCCAAATTAGAAGAAAAGGTGCACGAGAGCGAAGAGCAAATCGAGGCGCTTAGAAATGAGAAACGGGAAGCTGCGAGACAGATGCGCGAGATGGAGGCAATCTATGAGGCCGAACGGAGCTCCATGATGAAAGAGAAGGAAGAGATGGCGAACCGCGAAGAAGAGATGCAAGCTGTGATCAATAGGTTAAAGGAAACTCTCAACCAAAAGAACGCAGAGGACGAAAATCGCCCAACAAGGCAATGTGAGCATCCAAATTGCATGACTTTTACATGCGCAATTGCTAATTCGAGCAACATTACAGCGAGTAATTCATCTCCTAATGTAGAAAATGGGAATTTCGCTCCGCCTTCTTCGATTCAGCGTAGTGATTCCAGGAATAATTCTAAGCTATTACTTCAGAAGGATAAATTGATCGAGTCTCTACGTCTTGAACTCGCAGAGGCTCAGATTAAGCTTGTTGAGTCCGAGAATCAAGGTGGCGGGCGCGTGCACGAAGTTGAACGCCTGCTTATGGAGGCCCGCATGGCTAACGCACGGCTGATGGAAGATAACGAGTCGTATCAGCTACTCCTCCAGGAGAAGACACTCCACGGGGAGTTTGGCAAGGGTGATTTTGGCTACATGAACGTTTCCGCCAACCAAGACGCACTCAATGCTCTTGAAGGTCGATCCAACGCTGGCGACAATCCACCAACTCCGGGGGCTAGTTTAGCTGATGAACTGGGTGCTCTCGGCGGGGATGAGAAGGCTGTTGATGAGGAGACTTTGCGCCGTCTTGAGACTGAACTCCGTGCTGCTAAGGACCAGAATAAAGCCCTTACGTTGTATATTAACAAGATCATCGAGCGGCTCCTCCAACACCAAGAGTTTGAACACATTCTTGACCAATCCTCCGACTTCAAGCCAGGTGCCAATCTACACAAGGACCTCCCACCACCCCCAACAGATTCTCAGGGAGCTTCATTCCTATCACGCGCGAAGTCTATCGCCGCTGGTCCCACGCCTCGGCCAAAGCCTCGACCCATGACTATGTCCGCAGCGCACCAAATCCACGCTGTATCTGCACACACTAACCCGAGACGGCTCCTAGCATTCCCCTCACCGGACTCGGGCGCTCGCAGAGCACAGCACGACGCCTCGGAAGGCCCATGAGCGAGCAACTGACGGGGGCAGCCGGCATCGTGAACGCCATGTACAAGGGCCTGACGGCCCACTATCTCCGACTTTGAGCACGACATCATCATCTGCACGACATTCTCAGACATTCTTCTCACCCGGAGGCCGCTCACATTCGGGCGCCAATGGTAGCTCGGGTAACTTCCCGGGCATGCGCAGCGAAACCAGCAGTGTAAGCGGGGACTCGGCCGCAGAGGGAACAACAGCCACCTCGGCCAGCCAAAGCCCGCCTAGGACTATAAGCAGTATAGCTGAGAAAAGCACCACGCTCGCGGGTAACAAGCCGAGACCGTTGAGGCTTGTTCAGGAAAACAACGAGAAGGAGCGCGCGGAGAATAAGCGTGCGAGTTGGATCGGCTGGGCGAGTAGCGCGTGGGGGAAGAAGGATGAACATGAAAACGTGCGGTAGTGTGGCACGTTGATGAACAATAATGACGAAATTGATGTCGATATCAATATCGATATTGATGTCGAATGGAAACCTCCTAGAAGGGAGGTATGATTAAGAATTGTTATTCAACTACAGAACCTCTACCTATCGTGCCATGAGGTGGATGGTGTGTTATGTACGTAATGCCTCTTTTTTACCTTTTTATTTTTTTTATTTTTACTTCGCTACGACGGACAAGCAATCAACTATGTAGGTTGGATGGGCCGCAGATGACGGAACGAACGAACGGATAGTAGCCACGAACGACCAACCATACTTACAGTAGTTAAGTAACGATTATGCCCGGGGATATATTTATTACCATTGAAATATTTGTTTATTTGTTCATGTTGATGTTAATTATGCTGTCTGGGATGAATGAATTTGAGTAAGATAGATTAGAAAAGAGGATGAGAAACAGAAGAGGGAAAGATGAGCTGGGTTGCTATAGATTGAAGAGAGATGTTTTGCTTGGGATCGTGATTCTTATGTCTTTGTGCTAGCATGTAAAGCATTCGGTAATGTGTGTGCTTACCTTTTAAACATTCTACCTGCCGTGAAGTGTAATGCTTAAAGGGGCTCAAGGGGAAGACGAGATTTGATACATGAGCGTAATGCTCGCGGGGATTGTCATCTTAGGTAGGTGTAGATACGCTTACTTTAGGTATTTGAGGCAATATTCAAAGGAAAATATCGAGCCAAAGCTGAGCTTAATGCTTCGATTTTAAAGACTGATTTATCATCCGAGTCATGCTTTGCAATGGTGATAGTTTGGGTTTTGGGATACAATGACCGGGGATTATATTTACCGCATATGTCTACGTAGATTACCTCGGTATAGAGCGTTATTTTGGGTGTTAAACTATAAGCTACATATTGTAACTTTTCTTTTCGCCAATATAAGGTGGATAGTCGATCTACTAACGCTTCTGTGTGTGTGCGTATGTGAGTAAACACGGAAAGTAGGATGAATCTAGAATGGCCATGATAGAGGGCTACTTAACATTCTACGGAAAAGGTTCTGAGGTGACGAGACGTACATAGGTGTAATACTATTCTGATGAGAGTTATATCCGGGTCTATACATCTCCCCTTTATTTGATTGGTACCACCTAATACATGATACATCTCACCTTGCACGAATGATAATATGGATCAGCAAGCAGCTTAGAAGCCACCCAGCTTCTGCTGTCTGCCAGATCGATATGTTCAACCCCCCCTTGGAGATCGCCTACCTTATCCAGCTATGACGGAGGTCTAGTCTATCGTCTTGTTGGAGTGCTTCCGCGACATTACAAAGACAGTCTTAATTCAGAAGCGTCACTCACCCGAGACATTTTAATATGTACCTCAGGAGTTGTTCAGCCAAGCTGCACGATCTAATGCCAGTATCACGTCACGATATCTGCCACGTGCCAACCTTATGAATCACCATTATCCAAGTTTTTTGGTAGGCAATCCTAAGACTGTCGTCTAGGACATGAGAGAAAATATCTCACTTAGTCTCCTATTCAAGCCTCTCAATGTTCATGACTCGCTAGTCTGGCTGAAAAACGCTGTGCTGGGTATCATCAAGCGAGAAGTCGGGTCTTGAAGCATGGGGTAGGTAAGCAAGAGTATGGGGATTGGGGAGTACAAGACTGATCGTTAGTGTCAGGAGTAAAATGGCTCAAACCCCACGTCGTGAATGCTCGGATAACTCGCGTGGTTGATGTATAATACATACGCGTGTGGCTTTTCTAAGTGGGCTGGTAGTACGGATCTAGGTATACCGAAAGCTTGGGAGAAAGTCCGAACTCGCTAAGAGGTCATTCTAATATTAATACTTACATCTTCAAATATGTAAGTGGTAAAAAAATCATGTAGGAGTTGCTCACTGGTCCCCTGTTTCCCTATCAAAGAGCCTCACTGTCTATCTTCCTACGTTAAGGGACAATGTTACCCCCCACGCGAAAAGACAACACACCAAGTCGCTGGTTGCCCATATGAATATGGAGGGATAATGGTAGGTAAGTGACGAAAAGGCGTAGTATTTCGTCACCACTTTGGGTCTTACTCTCCCTTCTATGAAATTAGGTGTCGATCCATAGTAGCCAATTTAGCATATACTATAGTCGAAAGGGTGTAGGATGGGAGAATTGATGTTGTATTCTGACTCCCAAAAAAGTTGAATACCCCCACACTGCAGCTCCTTGGACGGATATTGGCATCAACCGGGCCTATGGGGATCGCGGGTTCCTGCGCAGATGACCACCCAACCAACCAGTCCCGGTGTACTCCAGGCTGCCCGTCGTGATCGATGACATATCAACTTGGCGCAGGTAAGGTAAGGCAGGATTCTAGGCTGAGCAACATATTCCCATCAGTTTGGACGGGCCGCTTATTATGTCAGATCGTACAGCGATGTCTGACAGGGTGGCTGCTGCGTTGGATAGTAGTAGTGAGCATACCCGCATTGCTACGTACCTAAGGGGATTATAGGAATTATGAGGGTGCTATTTTTACAAGGGAGGAGAAAAGGTGTATTATTAATAGTATGTAATATATTAGTGCCGATTCCGAAGCAGTATACGACGGGATAACCGGGACGTCCCGTCGAGTTTTCGACTCCAAGGGATAATGGCTCTTCGGCTCTTGTTCGCCTGAGCGCAAAACCCGTCAGCAACTCGTCATCGAGAGACTAGTCACTCTTCTGATTTCCTAAGGAGGCAACGCTAGAGATAGAGTAATATATAGTATGCGCAATGTCTGTCCGTTATGATATAGTCGTCTCGACTACCATCTCGGGAACTCCCAAATTGAAATTGTGCATATGCGATGTTCCCTTTGGGCGATTAACGCCTGGAGAACTTGGTGGTGATTGAGCTGTCAGGGTCACGTTCGTCAGACACGCATCAGCAGAATCATTCGCATGCGTTAGCAGGTCGTCCACATGTCGATCTCTGAGAGGTCCAAATTTGCCGGGTTTCTATTGGAAAAGCGATGTTGCTATAGGCTGATGCAAGGCTGAGTAGTCTAAGGGAAGCCTTCCTCTTAACATTATTCTTAATTCGTCCTGGCCAGCGTTATTCCACACCTTTTCTTAATTTTTGATTCGACCTGGAATCCGTGCCTAAGCATAGCAACCACACTCGACCAACCCATTGGAGAACAGACCCTGGTCCATATCTGCTGTTCTGGATAGAGACGGATTCGGTGCACCATCCCACGGCATGTTTGTAGTCATGCTCTATTTTCTTAAAACATGAATACTGCAATAGACCGCTATTTGTTCGCAAAAGCAATACTGGTAAATTTGAAGGATTGTCCTCAACTTGTTAGAATAAGCGGTAGACGAGACCTATGCTTAGGTACCAAAGTATTATGTAGAGAGGATGTAAGTGGAGAACTGCAAGACATGCGAGGAACGATTTGAGTGGAGAAGAATAATAATATTTCGTCTAGAAACCGAAAGGAAAAAGACGGCGCGGCCATCGGGGGTCTAAGGCGAGTGGATCAATTAACATGGGCTAACAATTGTGGAGGAAAACATCCGTAGAAACAACTTACGGTCAAACGGCAGATACCGCGTGTCGACTTTCGAAACCGCTGAGGTGGAGCTTTTACTCTTGTAGCACCAAGTATCTATTAATGAGTTCATAAGTACCTTTCTACATGTGAGATTGTGTTCCTGGATATATGTACATTTTATTCCTCCGGGGCTTCCATTAATACCGTAATTGCCGCATTCATTCTTCATACATTAGGTACCTATCTATTTGTTCCGTCTCTTAAAAAAGCTTGTAGTAGGGTTACGTATGATACGTTAGATGCCTAATATAGTATTGTAATTCCGAATAATCCTACGCTACTTCTTTACTTTCACTCTGTGTTGGGTTAAGTCTCTCGCGACTTGTCAACCCTACGGTAATTACCCAGGTACCTACGATGCCACGACCTAGGTATGGATGTAAGAGTTCACAATATATGAGGTAGTATTGGTACACCTGTCTTTATGTCTTCCATGGATACATACCTTAGGTACCTACATAGGGATCGAGTGTTTCGTGTCACCGCTCTCACAACCCTAGATATCTATCCCAAGCGGATTGTAAGGCAAGAAAGGCCCACTTAGGCTAGATTTCTGGGGAGCAGACGGCCGACCAAATGCTATAGCTGGTTTAGCTTCAGGGCAAGGTAAGTCCCTGAAGAAATTCCTCCCTTCGGTACGAGGGCGCACCTCAACCCAAAGCTATCCTAGAACCTCAGCCCAAAATCTAACCCAATTAAGCAAGTGTGGACCTGTTTTCACCCCAATAGTATTAGCGCACCCAAGACTGAACTACCATTTCATTAACATTATATTTATACAAATATATACTTTTATACATTATTATGATATTTAATAAAATATAAATAATTTTATTTAATTAATTATTAATTAATTAATAATTAATCATTAATTAATTACGTATTAATTTTTAATTAATTTTTAATTAATTAAAATAAAACAATAAAAAATAAAGAATAGGTAAAAGTATGCGTTTAATTGATTGACTAAAATTCAAATGTCAAGCGCTATAATATAAGGCATTTAGTGATTATAATGCGCTATAAATATAGGGCACTTAAGCTTATATTTTAATGAGACATCGAAGCTCACCCCAAAGTCACCTGATGTAAAGCTCACCCCAAAGCGGGGACCCTGTCAATTGTAACTAATCAAACCTTTGGATCCAAAGTCTTAGCTTTTACTAAATCGGGTTAGACTTTGGGCTGAGGTTCTAGGATAGCTTTGGGATGAGGTGTAGACTCTTCGGTACACATGCCGACTCTTTAAAATGCAAAGCGAGCAAATTGTTGAAAATTCATGGGTTACCGAATCTGCAAACGTCTTTAACCTTTGCATCTTTTCCATTTTATGGTTTCCGACGGGTTAGGAATAGTGGATATATACTATGTACCTAAGATACAGTACCTCGGTTCAACAAATGTGTGGGTTATAGAGATGCAGAAATATCAGCCCATCAACTCAAGTCTTGCTTACATGTATATGCCTAATATACAAAATATACAAAGTAATAAATGTCAATTCTATATTCTATCGAATCAGTAAGATGGATGACCGAATTGTTTACGTCCGTACCTGCGCCATAATATGAGCCAATTCCACTTTTTTAAAAGACATCTCGGCAGCTGGATAAAGATGATTTTTCATTATATCTTGCCCCTTGAATAACATTGAATTGACTTTCACAACACAGCAAGAAGTAACCTTAATAGGCATGGTAACCCCAACTAATGCACATTAGGCATTTACCGTTCTCCCCGTCTCTTATGTGTCTCATTTTCATACTTTTTTCACTAGCCGGTTTAATACGGGTAAGTCTAGAATTTTGAGAAAGACAGTTATTAGGTATTAGTGTGGTGTACCTACTTAAAGCGTAGAGATTGTTGGCATTTGCTATGCACGTTAGGTTAGGTACGTTCGTATTATAAACAGGTACGTATTCATCTTTTTTTGCCACAACCTTATTCATAATTCAGGTTTCTACATTAGATGTTTGGTTGGTGCTTATTCAACATGACCGGGTAACTATGTACTTACGTATAAATTTATCTAGGATAAATATATTACCTACAACATCGAATAAGGCGCAACACAACTCACATTAAAAGTGTCTTCCATGGTTGGGTTACATACATGTACATATACATGCAGATATCCATTCCTATGCATGTTTGTACTTTGTACGTACCCTCCATCCTCCGTAACCTAGATATGTAGGTACATAGGTACTTAGATGCATGTGTACCTACAATACATTACCCTCAAATCTGATAAGTTAATCGAAAAAGGACTTACAATTCAACTCCCCGTGTTTTTCCCTTCCAACAAATCAACCTCTTCCTCGTTTACGCCTCGTTTCCCATACTTTGTCCATAATCTATCTCTCAAAACCCGTCTTTCGGCTGGTCCTTCCTCTATTTACTATCATACCTCATACCGCTGATTGTCGCCCTGTTACCACTTTACTCGATACGTGCCGCCCCCCCATTTCTGCAGTACACCTTAAACCATCCGCAACTCTCCACATTATTGTGTCATTCAGACATTTTGCTTCCCGCGCCCAATCCCGCGTTTGCAGTCTTTTTGTATCCTGATCCTGACCACTGACCACACCGGCACAAACAACACATACCTACGCCCCATTCGTCAATCACTGCTGCAAGTTCCTGACTGGGGCATTTTATCACACGAAATACAGAAATACATACAATAGACAAGGCTACGTGACAGGAGAGAGAGAGAGAGACAAGACAGTGGGGGGAGAAAGGTGGTAGGGGCCGTACCGCATTGCAGCACTCGTTTGATTGTACGACATTCGCCCGGTTCGTCCAGTGTGAAAGCTAGTCGCATGCGAACTTGCTGCCACATCACGATGATCAACCTCTATCGACGTACACCAGCCATCCTTCCCAGCTAATCCCATTCCTGGTAGACGTGGTTCCATTGTTTGCGCCGACTTAATCCAAATAGCCAAGCAGCATGGCAAATAATCCTATTGCTATGGACGCAAGTCTGTCCAGCTTGAATTCTATCGACAACGACACTTCTGTTACTTCTAGCGCCCATATCGACTCGCAAGCCTCAAAGTGGACATCAGCCTCCACTTCACTTACCGCGTCGCCGGCAGAGTCTAGAGATACATCACCTATACGTCCCTCAGCTAAGACAGGAAGAGTAAGCCGTACATCCACAACCCCGGCTAGGTCACGCAAGAATAGTATCCAAGACCCTAGTCCGTCGAGACCTAGAACTACCGTTCCTGCACCTTCGACTCCGCGACAACAGCTTTCTTCCGCTACAACGCCCTCGTTACCTCCTCCGTCAAATTCGGAGCCCGTGCTGCGAACTCCCGTCCCGCAGAAGGTTTCCGTTGTGCCCGAGTTATCCAAAGATTCACCCCGGTGGCCCGTGTCACCTCGGTTAAAGTCACCGCCGCCTAACATCGGCCGGCCAGCCGTACCCGGTTCGTCGTTACGAAAGGCCGAGCAAGAAGCACCCGCTATAAATGTTCAACGAGCAACGCCTTCGCCTCACGTGGAATCCGCTTCGCAGTCTACCTCTGAAAACGAGACGGAAGAGTCGCAACTGTCGTCTGGTATGAGGACCCCAGCTCGTGGACCAAGTAATGGATCGTCTACTTTGGAGACGGTCCAGGAGGTCAGCCAACCCAATACCCCACGAGCAGGACTCGACGCTGCTATTGAAAAGCTTGCCGAGACCGCCGCTGCGCAGTCACCGGCGCACTCCAAAAGTTCGGGGAGTACGATCAAGAGAACAACTTCCAGTCAGAATGCGACGAATAGCGAGAGCGGCAGCGATGGTGGGAATGCTAAGAGTTCGAGAAGGACAAGTACTGTTGGTCCTGCGCCCTCACTCCACAGCAGACAGTCGAGCACGACCCTCAAGTATGGTGCCAAAGGGCCAACCTCTGGCGAGAGCTCGTCGAGAAATATGACGGTCGAGACGGAACAAATCAACAACCTTCCGGGGCTTTCAATAGCCACGAACACGAGGGGCCAAGGAGCAAATGGAAGTCTAAGAACAAAACCCAGTTCGGAAACCATAAAACCGAAGAAGGAAAAGAAGAAGCACACGAGAAAGCCCGCATCTGTTGCATCTGGCAATGGTGAGCCACCCACTGCTCTGACACTTAAGCTTCGGCATAGTTGCTCGATACAGTCCATTTCTTCATCTCATTACTCAACCATATACGGTCAAGGATCGTATGGAGATGAATCCAGCATAACACAGTTTTCGGCCAATAGTTCAAGTTTTACCTCACAAGTGACCAATTTGCTAACTAGAGGACACCGTCCAGCATCCTCGAAAGCAGATATTTTCGAGGCTAAAGTTGCCAGTGCTGTGGAGGAAGCTAATTCTTCAGACTCGGACGAAACTTTCGTATACGATTCGAACCCGCCGGATGTAGGCGAGCGCCCTCGCCGTTACCACTCGCGTACACCCAGCGCAACCTCCATTGCTAGCCAGGTCAATCGGAACGGAGTACGCTCGATAACAGGCATGACAGAGACCGGCGCACCTACTATGCCGGTCAAAAAGAATATGAAGTTTGTTAATACTTACACAAGCAGCGGAACGGACGGACCTCTCGGAGACGACGATGGTCGGGGCACGGGCCGGAGTAATATTGGCTCTGCACGAGGGACAGGCCGTCATCATCACCATCCTGGCCGTTGGGGTCGGAATAATAGCAACAACCATCTTTCGTTATTCGATAATGAATCTCCCTTTCCTAACGCAGCTAAGTCGAAGTTCAGCGGGAACAATTCAAGACAGGGTTCTAATCCCCCGAGCCCTAGATTCGGTACAGGTCGAGGTTGGGCAGCTACTAGTAAACGGCAAATGGCGCTCACAGGCGGCTACGATGTCGACGACACAACCACAGGTGCCGATGATGAAAGGACCCCTCTTCTCCTAAGTGGCACGGCCAGATCTATCAGATCTAATCGGAGTCGGCGCAACCCACACTGGAGAAATATCGAAGCACAAACATACCAGCGAAATCCTTCATTTATCAACCGTTTTGCGAGTTGTCTTGTCCTTACCATAATGTTATTGGTTGTTCTCTCCGGGGCACTTGGATTCATGTTTGCGACATCTCAGCCACTCACTGACATCGAACTTGTCAAGATTGGGAACGTCCTGGCTAGCGAACAAGAGCTGATGATGGACATTACCGTTAAAGCACACAATCCGAACGTCGTCGTTGTAATGATCGATACGTCTGACCTTGAAATATTCGCAAAGTCACCGCATGCTGGTACCGACTCGGAATGGTGGCGTCATCCTGGCCGAGACGAGCTTGGTACTCTAGACGACCCTAAGGATGACCCACCAGTCATTAGATTACCTGATGATGACGAAGATGACGACGACGATGACGGCGAACTGCCTCCTGAAGATGCTTCACCAAACATGCGTCTCGGGAATATCGTTGTGTTCGATAGTCCGTTAACTTACGAAGGGTCATTTTTTCAATCTGGCATTTCTACTTCTACGGGTTCCTTGCGCCTCACTCGACCTGGTAATGGTACCGATAGTGGCTCCGAGCGATGGGAACGCATCATTGCAGACGAGTTCACTCTAATTGTCAAAGGAGTTCTGAAGTACACATTGCCTCTTAGTCAGAGAACTAGAAATGTGGCGATCTCCGGTAAGACAGTTGTCAAACCGAATTCTGCAAATAACCCATCTTTACGACCTAATGAGACTGTGGTTGCAATACAATAATACTCGACGACATGGGCCTCTCCTGCCCACTAACACTTTTATTTGTGACTTCTAATGATTGATTCTGTATACTGAGCGGGTACGGCATAGGCATTACCGGAGCTCTAGGCGTTGGATCTTTTCTTCGTACGGTGACATACGGGAAGAGAGAGTTTAGGTGGTGGATCCCACGACCTTGTTGATTTATTCCCCTGGTATAATCCAGCACATTTGTTTTCTACAGTTCAGAAAGAACGGTTCTCGAGTTTTCAACACAGAAGGGCATTGCGGTAACCATGGGGCTGGTTACAAAATACACATTGCATAGGATGGACATACAAAAGCATACCCCCCCCAAACGGGACCTTCGGTCTAGAGGCTCCCCTTTATCGCTCCTTTCTTCCAAATGAAGAGAGGATCGTATGGAGAGCCCTCTATTTTTATTTTTATTTTTACTTTTATTCTTACTTTTGACTTTCATCAAAACGAGTATGGGAATTAGACGGAGGGCGGCGACTACTTACTTTACTCTTACTACTATCCACACCAGATACCCAGACAGACGGGGTCCGCATCTGTACTTGTAATGGCTTATGAAGATACTTGAGAAGACAATACTTAATTTGATGAAACAAATGAGTTCTTATTAACCTAGTAGATATATGGTTAACTACATCAGACTTGAAGAACTTGAGAAGCTTTATACGTGATATGGTGTATTTTCTTTACTTCCTTATACTAATGAAGTTACGTCTTCTGATAAGCCCTATAACGAACCCTATAATGAGCCCTATAGGCGGATCATCCCCTCTTTGCATGCCACTATTCCGCTTTTGTAAAGGTGACCCCTGTTCCCTTACTCGCCTGGATCGCTGCATGTTTCACGACATACGTAACCTGGTACAACTACGTCCCATGTAATACCCTATAGTTATAGGTACTTTTACATATACCATAGTATTCATTACCAACCTCTCCGAACAACTTGCCCTAAACCCCGGACGAGAAGCTAGGGAGACTCTCGCATGAAGCCGTCCTTGCCGCTGTCAACAACCTTCAGCGGGCCCCCCTGCCCATAAACGCTCTTGTGGTTGGCTCGGGCTAGACCGCATAGCCGCGAACAGTCACATCGTGCGTCTCTAGCTGGCGAGCTGAAAGCACAATGCACCTCAGAGGGTATAGACTGGGAAGAACCATGTCTAGTAACATGGCCCTCTCTATACTCAAGGTCCCGATAGGGCTTATGCAGCGTATGTTAGAACAGCTGAGATTGGTCAGTCTACTTTACACATTTTATAGTTATATCTAGGTAGTTATCTCTACCTATTCGTGTTGAGTTGTGACCATACTATTTTTCTATCTATCTATCTTTTCGTTCATCTATGTAGGCAGTATAGCTATGCAACAACTTGTTTTACTATAGTTGGATAGGCAGACAAACATATACATACCTCATAGATACGGTAGCACACACATACACACACACACACACACACACACACACACACAACTAACACCTCCATCCCCAGTCCTTCTTCCCAAGAAGCATGGACACGGCCAACCTAACCGCAGCATGGCTCTCGTTCGCCGTAACGACAGTCGGGCTCGGCGGACTGATCTCCCAAGCCAGCGCCATCAACGACCAGCTGGACCCGTTCCACGCGAACCGCACCGCCGAGTACCTCGGGATATGGTTCCAGCGGCAACAGCGGTTCCCGTGGTGGCGCATCACCAAGCCGCCACCCCTCGGCCCCGCCATCGCCGCCCGCATGTCCGACGGCTTCTGCGGCATCAACGTCCTGTACGTGACGCGCATCCCCGTCGCGCCGCCCGGCAAAGCGGGCTGGTCGACGATTCTGGCCATGTTTAACCATGATCCGCCGTCGCTGTATGCGCTCGCCGCTGCGGGAGATGTGGGTGTGGGTACGGCTGAGAAGGGGGGCGTGAGGACTTCGACGGTGACGCTGGAGAGCGGTGCTGATGCGAAAGAGTTGACGAGGGCGCCGGTGCGAAGTGCTAGTTGGTCGAATGTTACGCGGAAGTCTCTTAAGAGGCATCAGTCCCATGCTTGCATCGTCATATCGCGAACTACCCTTGTTACTATGCTCGTTGTGACCAATGGTCGCCCGGTATTCCAGTACAGCGACGCTTCTGGGTTTCGGGCTGGTTATGCCTCGTACTGTGGGCAGTGGTGTAAGTTGGTCTCGAATTTTCTATTTATATGTTTATATATATATTATATAATATCCCCTTAAACCCCTTCTATACGCCTTACAACTCAACTAACTCCTCCAGACATAACCTGGCCCATCGGCCAAGAAGCCATCGTCAAATTCGCCGCACACGACTCCATCGGCGCAACAGAAGTCCTCCCCCGAAGCTTTACGCAACGGGTTGACCGCTGTGGACAGATGGTATGCGGCGTCGTATCATCACCGACGTCCGACTTCGCCGTTGGTTTTAGCGGTCGGAAGCCCAGCGGCACCTACCGGCTCGAACACGCGCCCAAGGGGTTCCAAGGCGCCCATTCCGGCCGGCACTTGTACAACATGCTCGGCGGCCGCGCCTTCGACGTCGATTTCATCTATGCGCGACCCACCAGCGCCGTGCACACGGGAGACGGCGAGATCGCGCTGGACCTACCGAGCAAAGACACCGGCGACCACACCGTCACCATGATCATCCCTTCCGCCGAACAAGATGTCATAAAACGTGCTCTCGACAGCCTGCCCTGGACGTGTCTATCCTGGAGCATGCACCGTGGGCTCCGGGACATCCTCCTAGCCTACGGAAAATCGACCATGGACCACTACCGCACGACTCTCGCCTCACTTCTGCAGGAGACGGTCACCCAGCGCCCGGAAGTATTCCGCTCCCGCGGCTGGGACCTAGAGTTCGTGCGCACCAGCATGGGGCCCATGGCGGCGTCGGCGGTGCTCTCAGGCGGCGGCAACTCAGGGGACTCGGTGCGCGTGGTGACCGACGTCGCGGCGGTGTATGCGGGCGAGAGCTGGAGTCTGGAGAAGCTAGACGAGGTGAATTTCTGGCAGGTAAGGAAACAGTCGGGGTTTTCTGAGACCTCGGAACTGGAACTAGAACTAGATGCTGAAGCTGTTGTGGCACTTACCAAGTTCTTCGTGCTGGAATGGAGCCAGGAGTTCGATTATCAGCTGTACCATCACCTCCCGATATCTCTATACTTTGGGTAAGCATCTGCGAGAAGATAGATGGGTTAGACGTTGATGGCTGGCTGGCTACCTGTTATCTTCTAGAAACTCTTAATGAAGTTACGGGGATGCATAATGACGAATATGATGGAATGCGGAATGTTTTATACGGGTTGAACATGTTTAGGTACTTAACCTAGATACCTCCTATTAAGTTCAAATTTTCACTATTTACCTAGACCCTCAGTAGAATAGGTAAACACAAAGGATGAAATCGCGGTTCACGAAGTTTACTCAAAGCTGTCCAGGCTACTTCATTAATAATAAATTATTTAATACATGTACTAGATCTAGATACCCAGCGCAGGGAACCGCATACCTCTAGTGCAGCTCAGCAGCAACAAGTTTCAAAACTTCCTCGACGCCCTTACGCGCATTCTTTGGGTTCTTCGCTATCGCCTGCCAGACCTCGCCGTGCCGGGGCTCCACGCTAATACATTTACTAACGACTTCTTCGCGCTTCTCCTGCGTCCCGTGCTCGAGCAGGAACTTGTAGTACCACGCCCAGCTATCGCCCAGGTCCGAGTCCCTCACCAATGCTTTCTCGAACCAGTTCTGAGCCTTCTCGAGTCGTCGCTCGCCCCAGAAGATGCGCGCTACAGCTACTAGCAGTGCTGGGTCGTTATCTACCTCCTTGATCGCCTCAAGAGCGCGGGGCTTCCGCTGCGGCCGCGTTGTTAGATGCCATATCTTCTCACTCCATAAGATACCCTGGTCCGTTTTTGGTACATCGCGGAGCGCTCGCTCCATTAGCGACTCAGCCTGTTTTGTGTTTTGTGCTCGTCTCTCTACACGCACCGACTCGCACCATAGCTCCGCGGATTTAGGTACGGCGAGGCGCGCGCGATCGAGGACCGAACGGGCCTTGGGTAGCTGACCGAGCTTCTCTTCTAGGGGGAGTAGAGTAACCAAAGAGGGACCGATTTCGGTACTGCCTTTACCCCCGTGCTATAAGCTTCGCGCGCTTGTAGTGGTTTACTTAGATCTTCGTAAATTTGGCCCTTCATCATCCAAAGCTTGGCAGAGGTGGGGAAGAGATTGAGCGCTTGTTGGACGAGATCTAGTGCTGCATCGAGATCATCTAGTTGTCGTTCAAAGACGGCGCTCTTCATCCAGACACGATCGGTCGGAGCCTCCTGCCGGGCTGTCTTTAGCAAGCCTCGTGCTTGATCGATCTGGCCATTCTCAGCCTCAAGCTTAACTGCTGCTAACCAAATATCCTCATTGTTCGGATTCTGCTGGAACGCTCTGGCTAAAACGCGACGTGCATTATCAATCTCTCCAGCTTGCCATTTCTCCTTTGCAAGCATCATCCATAATACTTCGCTCCGAGGCACCGCATTAACAGCCTTTTCAAGAACTTGCCATAGATCCTCTTTCGAGCCGTGATTCCTTTCGAGATCTGCAGCTGCTAACCAAATTGTTTTGCTCGTGGGGAATACTCGAAGCGCGTATGCAAATATGGCTCGAGCCGTTTCATACATGCCCCGATTAATACTCCCACGGGCATCATCCAGCCAAGTATCTTTACGGTCGTCATCTTCGTCGAGACCATAACCGAGGGTTTCCCGAATGATCGCGCCGCATGTGATTATGGCACCCTCCTGTTCGCACTTTTCTGCTTCTGCTATCCATTCCTCCCGTTTTGGCATCGCCGATTCCTTGACGAGGACTTGTGCAGCACGCTTCATGACGTTGACCTTTTCTCCTTGTCCTAGCTGCTCTTGCAACCTCGCAGCAGCTATCCAAATCTCGTAAGATGTCGGACAATGCTTACGAGCTTTGTTTAGCACCTTCTGCGCATTCTCGGGACTCTCAAGCCTAGCTAATGCTAGCCACAGATCTACGGACAAGGGAATAAGCTCTGTAGCCTTCGCTAAAAGTAATCTAGCATCGTCCGGATCTTCCTCTAGGTTGACAGCCTCCTTCCATAAGGCTTCTGATTCGGGAATATGGTCCAGAGCGTGTCGTATAACTCGTTTCTTCGACCTAGTGTCATCTTCTAATTTCATAGCTTCAACCCATAACCGCACTGAGCGATTATTCTTATGAATTGCTTGTGCCGCAATAACCTTGGCGTTGCGTCCTTCGTTAAGTCGGATGCTTTCGAGCCAGACATCCTCATTCTTAGGACAATGTTCGCAGCCTCGCGCGATAACGTTTCGCGCTGCTACGATCTTACCAGCTAGTTCCTCAAGACGAGCCGCAGCGATCCAACCGGGGCCATTGTTCGGATTGGTCTTGATAACGGATTCGAGTAGTTCCCTGACCCTGTTGATATCACCCACCTGAGCCGCGCTTTCTGGTAGTTGGGTTTTTGCTAGACTCGTTAGGTAACCCTTAGGATCAACGCTCGTGGCGCTTCCGGATGTGGTACTTCCGCTCTGAGATGCTTGGTCGAGCCTGACTTGAAGAACTTTGTCTCTGGCCTGTCCGATCTTGGCGAAATTTGTCATTGTCCCATCCTGATTACTTGAGCCACCGGCCGTCGATGCCGCACCGTCTTCAACTATAGTGCTCCCAAGTTCGCCGGAACTCCCTGCGGCGGCCAATACGCTATCCGGAACAGCGTAGAAGCGCTGCTGTCTCGCTTGTTTGCTTCGCCTATTCTTTCCAGTAAGATCTCCAACCTCGGGTAGCGCTGCCCATTCTTCTTCGGTAACACTTTCCAGTCCTCTCTTCAGGTCGGCGAACTGCTGTTGAATCTTGGGGTTCTTGAGCTCGTACTCTTCTTGTTCTGCCTTTTCGCGGGCTTCCCTATTCGCATAAAAAAATCGTCGGTAATCTGCTCAAGCTAAGTTCGGGATGAATTGTGAACTAGTTGGGGATAAATTGGGAATTTAAATGAGAATAACTAACCTTCTTGCCCTCCGGCGCTTGTCCATCTTTTCATCTATCTCTCGATATATCCTGTCTGCTTCGTCGTCATCTTTATCGTAAACCCCGCCGGCGAAGAGGCCGACTTCGTTGTCAGGATCTTGATATCGGTCGTCATTGTCATCTTCTTCTTCTTTTGCCTGTGGCGGCCTCGCCAAATCCTAGTTGCGCTGCACGTTTCGCAAGAGCTTCTTTGATTTGGTCTTCAGAAGGACCTTCTCTAGCTGGACCCAAGTCTGAACGCGTAGTAAAACCTGTAGCACCACGTCCTAAACCTGCGACATAGTTCTCCGGTGCTGGTTGGCTTAAAAAATCGCGTCGCCCCGTCATATTGGCTGGTCTCAAGATTAGACTAACGGGAATACCGTTCTCGTTGAAATAATTTAAATATCAATACGAAGGATGCTATGCGACTAAGTATGCCGACACTGGCGGCAGAAGAGATGTCGTTTCCAAGTCGTTGTTATTTGATTTGTATACAGTTGAAAGAAAGCTTTACAATAAGAATTGCTAAGAAAAAGTATCTAAGAACGAAAGCAACGGGCCTAGCATAGCGCTAACAGGGGTGAGTCGTGGTTACATGGATATAGGTACATATCGATAAGGAATTTGATAACGATAACAAGCCACTCCTAGCCACGCAACACCAAAAATCTACCAAAAAAAAAAGTTCCGAAAGCTCGCGGATCGCATTGCCCCTCTGCCCCTCTACCCTTAATTGATACTCGGCGCATTCTACTACGAAAGGGGTATTTCACCACTAATTCCTTTATTTAACTAGTCGAGGGATAAAAATGGGCAAGGCAAAGACATCCAAACGCGGAGGCGCAAACTCGAGTCCGTACGAGAGACCAGCCAAGAGTGCAGCAACGAACAATGTCTTCAAATTCAGCAAGGACTTCGGTCAGCATATTCTGAAGAATCCGGGTATCGCAGAGAGCATAGTTACAAAGGCATATCTCAAGCCTACAGACACGGTTCTTGAAGTTGGTCCTGGCACGGGAAATTTAACAGTCAAGATCCTCGAGCAGGCTAAGAAAGTTATTGTAAGTTCACATAACCAGTTGATTATTACTATCATTTACATAGAGAGGTCATTGAAACTAATCGCAATCGCGAACAGGCAGTGGAAATGGATCCTCGAATGGCTGCCGAAACAACGAAGCGTGTACAAGGGAAACCGGAGCAGAAACGACTTGAGGTTCTCTTAGGAGACGTGATTAAGACTACACTTCCCCCTTTCGACGTGTGCATCTCGAATACTCCCTACCAGATCTCGTCGCCTTTAGTATTCAAACTCTCTCTCTTCCGAACCCACCGAGAACATGTGTTCTCATGTTCCAGCGCGAATTTGCGCTACGCCTTACAGCCCGGCCAAACGATCCCCTTTACTGTCGTCTATCAGTCAATGCGCAATTCTGGGCGCGTAAGTTGTCTCTAGTCTACGTCTAGGAAGCGATACTAATTCTAGCTATCATAGGTATAACACACATTTTAAAAGTCGGAAGGAATAACTTTCGGCCTCCTCCACAAGTCGATTCTAGCGTCGTCCGAATCGAGCCTAAACTCGGCTCAGAGCGTCCGAATATCAGCTTCGAGGAGTGGGACGGCATGTTGCGAGTGTGTTTCAACCGAAGAAATAAGACCTTAAGAGCTTCGTGGCTCGGTAACAAGGAAGTTCTCTCCATGCTAGAGCGAAATTACCGACTCTGGTGTGCCACAAATGATATCCCTGTGGATGATACCGTTGCAGACGAGGAAGAGGACGACAACGAAGAAATGGAGGTTGACGAGAACGTGCCGCCGAGCGCCGGCGACGAAGACGAGTGGGGTGGCATCATGGATGTTGACGAAGCAGATGACGACACGCCGTCGTTCTTTAAAGAGGCCATGAAGACCGAGATACCGAAGACAAAAAGCAAGCGAAAGAAGACGAGAGTCGCCTTATTAGTCAGGGAAAAGGTTCGAAAGGTCCTAGAAGATGTGACCGAGCTTGCTGATAAGAGAAGCGGAAAATGCGACGAGAATGATTTCTTGCGTCTTCTGGCGGCTTTCAACGCGGAAGGAATTCATTTCTCCTAGTCTGTTAGACTATGCGACAACGCATATACAACATATGATTTACGATAGTCAGGCGTTTTCGGGGATTACGACTCATACGCATAGGTCATTAGGAGTTACGGCTTTATGGGGACTTGATATGATGCCCACTAGAGGGCCGGCAATAAGGATAATTATTATGATGCGTATAGACGTCAATCGTACAGAACAATCCGTTTGGCCATTTTGGATGATCCTTCATCATCAAACCTGACCTTAATCCCATGTCACCTAAACTAGAACAACGAGTACCCGCCGACTCGTTTACTTTCCGCCAAACCAGCCAGAGATCCCACTCTTGGCCTTGGACGCTTCGGTTTCGACCTTCTTATCGAACTGATCTACCTTCTTCAGAGCAGCGGCCTTGGCGTCCTTTGCATAGGCTTCGGCATCAGCAGCAGCCTTTCGCAGTTCGGATTCTGTCTTGTGGATCTATTTATTAAAGAATTATTAGAAACCGCGAGCAGAATGTTGCAAAGTATGACTTTTTACTTACAGTCTTGTCGACCTTTGCACCGGCTTCAGCACCGTATTTCTCGGCGTCTTTCTTAGCCTGGTCTCCTCGACCGGGTAGCTCTGATTTAAATTGGGCAGAAACTCTGTGAGCGTCGGCTGTATATATATATGTTAGTTTACATATGTATGATATTGAGATATTGCGGGAATTATCGTAATCTATGACGATATCTAGGGAAAAGCTCTTAAACATGCCATACCTTCAGCATTCTTCTTAGCGACTTTGGTGTTGCCACCGGCGCTATACAGGTAGTAACCAATACCACCTGCAGCCGTCAGGCCGAGAGCGAGAGGCAGTCTGGATCTCGACATTATAGTTTTTTTTTTTGGATATGTAACTCCTAGGTAAGTTTATATTAATCGATCAGTCGGATATCAAGAACTATCCAGATGTCGGGATCTTATAAGTTCTCTAAGGATATGAAAGTTATTGATAAAAGTTGAAGTTATTGGAAGTTATTGGACTGAAACAGTTTAAGGAGGGACAAGAGTCAATTTATTACGACGAATCACTACATTTGGTGTAATATATACAACATACGACTTATGCTCTAGGTGCTTCCCTACATTCCACCTCATAGCGATTCGTTCAGAAGGGTTACTGTTACTCTATTAGGGTTACCTCTATTAGGTCCTAGGTAGTTGCTCCATTGTCACAAGATATATGACGTAGCTCATCTCGAATGCGGGTGGGAAGGTGTAACAATGATGAGAGACTTGAAAGTGACTTAGTATAAGCTCTAAATATAGCGTTACACTCAAGTTCCCTTTAAGTCTAGTTCTGCAGTTCGATACCCCACATTCGAAGCCGTTTCAGTCGCGACCGTGATTAACCTTGCTTCAAATTCTAGTTGGATTAGTTATTCTCGAATTACATCATCAACTACCTTACATTCCTAAATATCGTGAAATCCAATTTTGGATATATGCGCTGTCTGGAAGCTCAGTATCTCATTCAAAAAAAAGGCTATTTGCTTAATCTATATTCTTGAGGCTCAGTGAGCTTAGAGCTATAAGCTTATAATTTACTAACCGCTAACTAGCTACTGTTATTAATTGGCTTTAGCGTACAAATTCCCATCCGGCTTTGCGACTTGCAACTTGCAACTTGCAACTTGCAGCTTGTTTTTAGCCTCCTTCGTCATCGATGTTAGCTACTTCGTACCCGGCGCAAATATTTTTAGCTTCTAGCTTATTAGCCCCTAACCTTGGATAGCACCGTCTATTTCCCCTCTCGCTACCGATAATTGTCATCTTCTAGCTCACAGGTACGCTCTTGTAAGACGCAGACGTCAGTTGTGCTTCTTAATCAAGACCCAATACAAATGATGATTTCTTATCCACTTCGCTCTTATGTCATTATCAATTAGACGACGGGTTCCATTATGCTGGATCTGTTCGTATTAAACAATGCCCAAAACCAACGCGCGTTTGCGCAGCTCTCGTCGTGCTCCTTCGCTGAAAGATGGCGATATTGATCATGAAATTAGTCTGGTCGACCATTCGGCACCGATCGAGGAGCCTCAGTCTCCTACTCCCGAAACCGCCGATGATATCGACGTATCTATTTCAAACCAACCCCTAATTTCATCCGATAGTAGAGCTCCGTCTACCCAGCCTCCCGAAGCAGGAGATGGCCAACCGAAAAATAGTGACCCTGACGAGGCAGGTCCCTCGGGCGAACGTGGTACATCTCAAGCTTCTATACAAGATGCCAACGGTTCGGTGATCGGTAAACAGCCCATTTCGAAAGAGAATGGTCTTAAGAAGACTCTAAGCAAAAACAAGCCTCGTCCGCGTCCATCTAAAGAGGCAGAAACAGAAATTGATATACTATACGAGAACCAGCGTGGGGGGTTCCTTTGTGGCATTCCTCTATTTTCTTCCGCGGCGTTGGGCAACTTAGATCCCCCACCTTGGACCAACTTTGCACACAAGCCGAGCCCGACAGGCATACATACAGCCCAAGTGCCGGATCCGAGCTGGGAATGGGCATGGCCTGAGTGGCGCATAAATCGGGATGAGACTATACAGACCGACAGTGACGGCTGGGAGTACTCGTTTATGTTTTTTAAGAAATTCTCATGGCATGGCCCTAAGTGGTACAATTCATTCGTACGGAGGAGAGCGTGGATTAGAAGGCGAATAAGAAAGGGCCACGGATATCAGATGAACGACCCGCACATGAACCATGAGTACTTCTCAATAACTCCCGCGAGAATGGAATCAGGACGAACGAGCGTCAATCAGATGGCAATTCGGATTTCCCAAGAAACGTCCCGGAAATCGAGAGATACTAAGCAGGATGAAGATGGAGCAATAGCTATGGTGGACATAACAACAACTGACGAGCTAATGCTGATTTTGAGGAGGTCCCGCATCGACCGAGAGAAGCTCGAGGCGATAGAAAACTACATTGAGCACTGCACAGATGATTTGCAGAAATTGCAAGACTACATGCACGAGATCATGTCTTTGTTTGTGTTCCAGGCAAACCGGAAGCTTCTCTTAGCACATCTCATACAACTTCACGACGACCAAGTGGATACAGAACAAAAAGGGAAATCTTCTCTCGCTACGCAACAAAAGGCCGAAAACTTGGCCGCAGCTATTAAGCACGCCGACGAGGAAGTCCGAAGGCTGGAATATTGGAGCGATATCAAGGGGATGGCAGAGAGTGGGGAGTCTAGAGGTGCTGTGGACTGCGGGAAAGGATGGGATCGCGACTGGACAGGCCTCGACAAGAGTGGCCCAAGAGGCGTTAAAAAGGACGACGAGCTTCCTTAATGGGCTTCATCTGCTTTATCATAAACATAGCACAGCGTTATGCATGGGGTTCGGGAGCAAACGGTTTTTATCTGGGATATTATTCGTAAGGTGTTATCGGTTAGCCAGTTGATAAATATGTTGTACTACATAATATATCGAAATCAGCCCCGACGAACTATCGTCTATTATCTATTATTTGAGGGTTTTGGTGGCTTATTAATTCAAGGGCTAGCTGTTTGCCTCGGGGGGGAGGGGGCCGCACGGGGCTTGGCTTACATGCTTCGAGAAGAATGCCAATGCGGTGATATCCCCGAACCACGAGTCAGTCAGTAAATAATATAAATAATATAAATACATAAATAAGGAGGCGAATATAAATACATAAATACCCGATACCCTACACACAACCACGTCATATATTAAGCTTGTGGCTGCAGTGATTCAATAATGGGACGCAGGGAATTTTCAGATGGTGTTCGAGACCGTCGTATTTCGGGCTAGGCTGACATCGCCTCGTAGCTGATACCGGCTGATACGACCGAAGCTGCGGGAATATGCGTGCTTTATGTTACGATCTAGATTCCTTGCGGAGATAAGCATCCTAGCGAAAGGGGGTGGGGGTAGGGGGGATTTTGAAGGGAAGGAGTTCGTAAGATGACCGGTCTATACGAGATTATATATATATCCCTTCTGTTCGTGGTTGAACTGTTAAAGGTTGGATAAATAAGCTGTTAGTCACTAAAAAAAAGACTTATCTTATTCTTAATACACACACGATGACCCTCTCGCAAATAACAATGGGTATACATCCCCATGGAACCGGGCCTCCTTCTCCTGCTGGGATTACACCCACACTTGATTCTCGGGTTCTAGCGGGAAAGGGCAAGATGGTGGCTAGCAAACAATGGGCAGACGAGCCGTGGCCGCTTATCGAGCCGCCGTCTCGGACTCGACGTGTATGTTTTGCTTTCTCTTTTCTTCCCTCCATTCTCACGTCCATCCTTATACGTCCATGCCCATCTAAGCCTTTTCTATATACTACCTAATCCAGTACCCATGCTGACTATATACACACATACAGACCGGACACCCGGCGCAACACATCGCAAACGAGGTAGCGCACACACACAATGCGATGCTGCGTGGCCTCAACGCACTATATCTACAAGCTCCGTTTATACAGAGCCCCGCGGATGTGGCTTTCTGCTTTCTGGTACACGTGTGGGCTGCTTGGGTCAGGGATTATCATAGCCATAAGGAGGGCGTTATGATACCTAAATTTGAGGACGCGTTGGGGTTGGGGAGGGGAGGGTTGAGGGTAGCTTTGCCTTTTACTCGGGGTGAAGGTGAGGGTGAGGGAGAGGGTGAAGGGAAATGGATAGGGGACGGCAATGGGAAAGGCAAGGGTAAGGAAGAAGAAGGAGAAAGGGGGGGGAATATAAACCAGAGGAAACATACCGGCGCTTCAACAACATCCTCGACTACACCACCACAACACACGCCAACCCATCCTCCTACTCTCCCTCAACCCTCCTATCCCTCCTATCCACACTCGCCAGCCCCCTCGTCCCGCACCTCCACAGCCAAATCCCCCTACTCCAACAAATGCAAGACCTCTGCCTAACCCTCGACTCCCCGCCATCATCCACATCCACCACCACTACGACGACAACGCAGTCATCATCCCAGCGCTCAACCCCCCTATCCTCCTCCTCCTCCTCCCTCCACTCCACCAAACCCCCCACCCCCACCGGCCCCACGAAAACCACCCTCCTAACCAAAACCCACCTCGCCACCACAACATCCTTCAGCGCGTCTCTAGACCCGTTCACTGCTTTGCCTATGATTGTCCGCCTGCGGGATATAACATACGACGGCCGCACCCACGACGGCGGCGTCTGGCCGCGCCTCTCCGTCCCCGCGCTACACGCCATCGCCGACCGCCTGTCTCCGAAACACGCCGGGTCCTGGCGATTCCTGCCGTGCGACGTGTGGGGACGGCCGCGGGCGTTGAGTTTCTGGGTGAGGAGGTTAGGGAAAGGGAGGGGGAGGAGGAGGCTTGAATGCTGCTGGGTGGGAGAGAGGATGACGGTACGTACGTACGTGCGGGGATGTAATGATGGGGTGGGTGCGTTCTATGAATATATCAGGTAGGAAGCATGTGAATAGATATAGATTATATATAGATTTATAGATTTATTATACAAGGATATGTCAGACATGGGTATGTATATTCAGGATGAGTATAGCCATAGTGAGATATTGTTTTTATGTCATTTTAAGGATTTTATACGATATTTCATCACTTACTATAGACAATAAGATAATTCAGGGGAAGGACACTGACCCACGTGTAAAGCCACGATTCACTTAACGCTCTATCCCCTATTTCATTTCATTTCACTTTAGTTGTTTCCATCTCATATTTTCGTATCATGGTATCATATATCATTCATCGCGTCTTATTACGCGTTATGCCGTAGCTACTACTCTACACCTAGGCACCTTACCTGCTTCACAACTCAATGTTCACTGCTGAGGCTCCTCAGCAACGTAGTGTAGGTACGCGCCTAGCAGTTTGATGCCCTCGATGTAATTCTTCTTGTCCAGCTTCTCGTTGATCGAGTGTGCACCGTCCGTAGAGCTACCCATAGGTAATAATAGCACGTTCTTGCCTGTGGATTGCTCGAATGTTAGGGTAATCGGGATACTATGTCGACATGTTAGCTCTTAACCTGGGCTTGGAAGAATATACTTATTTCGCTATTCATATGATATTGGCGGAATGTAAAGAATAAGGGAGGGAAAGAGGCTTGACGGCATACCTTCCACCCTCGCGCGTGAAATCCGGCTCCACACCCCACACCCTCTCGACGGCCTTGCTAGCGGCACGGAAGTTCCAGTGATTAGGGCTAGCCGCCCACCAGTTACCCGTGTGGATGGGGTACACCTTCAGGGTGTTCTTGCTGCCGAGCGTTGCGAACGTGTCCTTGACATGCTTGGCTACCAACTCGTTCACCTTCTCGATCTCCATGTTGGGCACGATACGGATGGAGAACTTGCCGATAACCTTGGCGGGGATCACAGTCTTGGCTCCCGGAGCTGAGAACGCGCCCTCAACACCGTGGATCGACAGCGATGGGTATCGCCACCGCGCCATCAGGGTCGACTTGGTGTCCTCAAAGATAGTCGTCTTGGACCCTAGAGACTCTTGTAGCGTTTCCATTGTGAATGAGATACCATCGTATAACGTTTCCTCTTCCTTCGTGACAGGGGCTACCTGATCCATAATGCCCGGGATTAAGATCTTACCGTGCGTATCGACCAGGCTGGCGAGCACGCGCACCAGGTCTGTCATGGGCTCCTGTGCCGTGCCACCGAACACTCCGCTGTGTAGATCCGCACCGGGACCTGAGATCTCTATACCGTAGTAGTTGCAACCCCGCAGACCGTACGTTAGGCACGGCTTCTCGGTACCCAGCCAGTAGTTGTCGCTGATACAAACAGCATCAGCATCGGCGAAGTAACCCTTGCCTTCCTTCTGGATAAGCTCCTCTAGGCCTTCAGATCCGTACTCCTCCATACCCTCGAAGCACATAAGTAGGTTGACGGGGAAGTCGACGCCGGCCTTCTGGTGTGCTTCGATAGCGTTTAGCCAACCTAGGACCGGGCCCTTGTCATCCGTGCTACCACGTCCAAACATGCGGCCGTCCTCGCCGACGCTTAGGGTGAAGGGCTCGGTGGCCCAACCGTCGCTCTTATCAGCGGGCTGCACATCGTAGTGTCCGTATACAAGGATAGTACGCTTGTTCTTGTCGCTCCCGTAACGGGCGAGAATTGCGGGGGGAAGGTCGAGCGCCGGGTTGTCAGGCTGCTTGCCGAGGGGTCGGAGCTCGACACTAGCACCTAGAGTCTTGAGCTCGTCGGCTAGGAAGTGGGCCATGCGGACGACATCAGGTCGGCGGGCAGCCTCCGAAGAGACGGAAGGGATGGCAACGGCTTTTCTGAGGCGCTCAATGAAGTGGGATGACAGGGTGTCAACCTGGGAAAAGAAGCCGTCGATTTGGGGCGCCATCTTTCGGGATTGATGAGCTCGAAGGGCGGGGGTCAGGTATGTTCTTCGTATGGGGTATTTGAAAGTAAGTGAGGAGGGAACAGCTGGTCTTATATGTCTTATATGTCTTATATGTCTTATATGTCTTATATGTCTTATATGTCTTATATACGAAGACGATGCTGGGGTTCTCAGATGCGTCAGTGGACTTGATAGTCGCGTGAGAAGAGTGCGGGGCATTTGAGAATTGGAGGGGCAAATGGAAGACGGGATATTGCGAATTTACAGTTGGGTGTAAGTGAAGTAAGTACTGCATACATTACATTAGCAGCTTAGGTAAATTAATGTACACCTGCACATTTCCAATGAGAAAGTTCGAGCTAAGAGCTAAAATAATTTGACTGTACTAGAAGTAGAAGGTACTTATCATAGTACATAAAAGAAAGAACGGTTATCCATGGCTTTGATACCGCTTGCCGTACAGATGTCCACTTATACCCTCCCTATCTATCTATGTACATACCTCGTGCAGATATTGTCATGTTAGATTAGGGCAGGTCAAGCACTAATGCATTATACCAATTTATATACCTAATTGGTATACCAGTTCAAGTTTATATCTTGAGTTGATTCTTCTTATATAGGCTAGATTTGCCTATAATATATATTATACATACATACATACGTACAGATCGTCATCGTTAGTACACCCAACCCCTATCTATCCAGTCCTTTTTTCCCCAGTCTCCTTTTTGTAGTGTTACAGTATCAGGTACAGAAACCAACACCCAGTAACCACGCTATAATGCTCTTGTAAGTATTAGCCTCGTACCTCCCGTACCTCCTCCTTTTGTACCGCGTGAATCGTTCTCCACGAAGAACTATGGACATTACTTCGAGAGTCTGGAGGCCCAAGTCGAGCCTTCAGTTTTGATAATGGCAATGGGACTGAGAGTGACTCTCTCATCGATGTCGACGGAGTTGTGAATAGCCCGTTTTTTCGAAGTTGATGAATTCTCACATCCATCTCAAGTGCTTCTTCGAGCTTATCTAAAAATGAAGCCTCTAATTTCATGCCTCGTGCCTGCTCGACATATTTATATCATGTGCTCGACCTTGAGGCTGTCTGAATGAATCGCCCGCATCTCCCTTAATTCTGTCTGACCGAAGATTACGTCTTCCCAGGTCTTCAAGAAAGCCCACCGGGCGCTCACATGCTGCCTTTGGGTAAGAAGTTTTGTCAGGGTGTACCTCAGTTTAGGTGTTGTACGCCGAGCAAGAGCCGCATATCTTAATATCACTCGAAGCATGTTAGGGTACCGTCTTTTCCAAGCTACTCCAAATAGCAGATTATAAGTATCTGCATGCAGTGCTACTCTTGGCCAGCGTGTTAATATCGACTTGAACATGGTTATTTGTTGTGCGAAGCTCTTCGTATGGGTCAACATTGTGTTTAGTGTGACAGCATCGGGTGATGTGATGCCCGTGGCATATATGAGATCCAACAAGGCATTGCAAGCTTCCCAATTCCTATGAGCCCCGAGCACGTCTATAATCCTATTGACGGTAATAGTGTCTAACCATCTAGAACCGTACTTTTTATCTTGTTCGTGTACGAACGTCCGTACATCAAATTTAGTCGAAATATGACGTTCAAGATCAATAATTGCCATATGTCTACCTATTGCGCGAAGTATCGACGGGTTGCGGTTAAGCCCTTTAGTCCTCAACTTCGCTACAACAAAACGCTTGAGAGCTGGATTTTGTATCATCTCCACGAAGGCGACCCAAGAACGGCCTTGCGGGGCGTAACCTTTCCGGACCATTGCCCTTAGTATACTATTAAACCCATCAAGGTCGCCGGCCTTGGATGCGCTAATGAGAAATATATTGAATATCTCAGCATCCATGGAGAAGTTGAGCATTTCTGCTTGGTTGAAGATAGTCCGGGATGCTTGACGAAAACCGCTGCCTCTAGATTCGATAAAATTGATAGCCATTTTCAAAGCAGACAACGAGGCGGCTGATCTAGTATGTTCCGAGGTGAACAGTTCGGTGAGCAGAGAAACAACAGTTTCCTGATGGTCGGGGAAATTTGGGTATAATGATCGGGCCAGATGCGATGGAACCCGCCCATGGACTAAAGCAGCAACGTATTTCTCAAAAGAATCTTGAGTCCACTCCGTAGGACGGTTGATTTCGTCAGCGCGTCTGGTCAGGCAGTAATCCTTGTACTTCACAAAATTCGAGAAGGAAGTTTGCACAGTTAATGTCTTGTCGTCGACCGCAACCTCCCCATCCCCCAAGAGTCGAATTTCCGGTCGCTTTCCTGTTGCATCCTTCCATGCATCTAACAGTAAGGGTTCTAGAGTTGGATCGGACACCCTGACAGCTGTAATCTTGCCTACTACCCCTAATATATCCAGAAGTGACTTTCGGACCGAGTCTTCAGAACCGGATAGAGTAAGAACAAGTTCGCCATTTTCGGGATTTATTTCTTCGATTCGGACGAGGCTTTCGTTCCTGCGACAGATCTGAGAAATATGTGTATCTGGTTCTGAGAGTACTGCACGAGCTTCGGCTGCTACACCCTTCCCTATAATAAGTTGAAAATATAATATTTCTCTGATGTTGATTGTATGTCGTAGCATAAAATCAAAGGTCCAATGCCAACTGCTCGAAGGTTTTGAAGAGGCTTCGTGCGCACTGTCGTATAGATGTTGTCTCGCAGCACTACGTCGATGCTTGCGCAAGCTGCGGAGCGATTCTTCCTTGATGGGATATCGAATTGGCCTCTTCACAAGTTCGGATGCTTTCGGTTCGAAGCCGGACCTCTTCTTAATGTCCTGTCTACGCAACGCTCTAAGAAAGAACGACTGTGATTTTCCCTTTAAAAGTTTATTCAAGATATCCGTGCTTGTGGGCTCCGTTTTCGTATCATTATGTGTAGTCGAGATCCATCGAGGTAGGCTTGATTCTTGATGGAATGGATTGAGCTGCTCCCTGGGAATCAGGGAGAGCCCACTGACACGAGTTGTGTAACTTCGAGCTCTCCATAGTAATTTGATCCCCAGGGACATGAGCTATAAATGTAGCATTCTCTGCTATGTTGGGCCTGGTCCCTTTGTAAGAGGGATATTGTAGATGTAATGACATGCGCATGCGACGTGCAACAAATTTTGTTAGAGCTTATCTTCAAGTGGGCACGTTGATTGCCCGCGAGGTGGAACCCTGCCGGCGATTCGGCTCTTCTTAATCCGTTTTCAGCCTTTACCTATTCTTAAAAGTTGAGGTCCAATTGCAGTTTCAATTAGGTACTTTTAGGTAAGGTAGGTTTATTATAGAACGTGCCTCACCTCATATATCATATCTCATATCTGCATGGCCCGGATGCGGCTATGCTAAGGAAAAAGTAATTAGTTACATTAAAGAAAAAAAAAAACCAAAAAAGAGAATTTTACATTCGTAACAACAATACAACACTTCAACACTACGACACAGGCAACTCGGTTTCTAGATGGCATTAATGCATTTTTATGAACGTGCTGATTTCGCACTCCTAAGAAAACATATAGAATCGATGATGCATATGAGTGTTCTCGCGGTTCTTATAGCATACGGAGCACACCTCAGCTGTAAAGAGGTTTCTGAATAGCCGCAATGCAGTTCGTCAAGAAAACTCTCAAGCCTTAATTGTGCTTGAAGTTGCCAAGACGTGGTAGCCCCTGTGGTCATATCGCGTGTCGTGTCTCTGGCCATGTTAATACCCTCTTCTAAGGGAGAATATCCGCCCTGGCACTCATCCGCTCTCCCCTTTCCTTCTGGTAATCCATCATGTGCCAAGTAAACAAAACTCTTCATTCATTGCTCTGTCGTAACCATCCCTAATAATTTCACGGGTGTGCGGGGTAAATCCTAACGATTAGCAGGCCGGCGGGATGAAAGGCCCAACGGCACAGTTCTAGTACTATCCTGCCTGACAAACTTATACCTTAATCAGTCTTTAGATGCGGCGGCGGCGGCGGCTTCGGGTTTCGCCTCCTTGGGCTCCTCCTTCACGGCTTCCGCGACTTTTTCAGTTGCAATCGAGGTATTGTTTGGGGTTGAGTCGCTAAGCTTTGCCTGAGGGTTATCCTCTTGCTTCTTCGGCGTACGCGGAGGAGGCGAGGGCGCTCTGGGCGGTAGTCGACTTTCTGACTCGCCGGACGAACTCTTAGACACTTGACTTGCCAGGTCCTTATCTTCTTCTGAGTTGTCAAACATCTCGGTATCGTCCGAGTCGGTGAGAACTTCAGTACCATCGCCTAGAAAAATGATGCGGCCCTTGTACCCACCGATCCCAAATGTTTTGGACTTGTTTTCCATGTCAACATCATAGCCACTGTCACTATCGTCGAAATTGTGATGCACACCAGGTCCCCGGAATTCAGCTGAGTCTCAATGTCAGTTCTATGAATTATGTCGAGACCCCGGGCTCTAAGAAGGCATACCGTATTCGGGAGGGGCACAAGGACCGTCGCCTTTGGCCACACGGCTGGCAACCTCTTCGTACCATTCCTCCTTACTTCTGCCTCTTAAGAAGCCCACAATGATCATTGTCATGTTGTCACACCCAACCCCACCAGTCTCCGAATTAGATGCCAGACAGTTGTCCATCATGTTCTCGCAAATCTTATCCAACTCCTGCTTCGCGGCGATGCCCCTTCGAACAAACTCAACGACCGCTTGTGAAGACTGGCAATCCCAGATACCTAATTCGCTAGTTAGCCATATCCGTTCAGACGTCCTAGCTAGGATAAAAAAAAACATACCATCACATGCAATGACCAAAAACTCATCATCGTCACTAATCTCGTGCGCAACTACGTCTGGGAACGCTGTCACTATCTGCTGCTCAGGCGCAAGTTCGGCACTCTTCTTGAACTCAAAATCTCCGATGGCTCGAGATAGGGCAAGGTTGCCGTTGACACGACCAAAGTCGACAAAGCCACCTGCGGCAGTAATTCGCGCCTTTTCGCCTACGAAACCAAGGCGCATTAGCGAGTTTGTATAAAATGATAATGTTGGATTATTTTACTGACCTTCATTCTGTGGCTTGTGATCGAAGGATAGCGGCTTAGCTCTTCCCTTAACACCCAAGACACTTCTCGAATCACCAGCGTTTGCCTAGTAACACGAATTAGCTATGAGCACCGACCAATAGGGTATCGCAATACGAACAATATATATCTTCTCGCCGGTAATCAAACCACAGCACGCGGTACAACCAGATACCTCCTCCTCATACTGAGGGTCTAAGCATGCGTTAGACTTTAAACATTTCATAATCGATGATAGAACTCATACCGCTCAGTATCGCTCGGTCAGTCGCAAGAAATGTATCCTTTAAAGACTGTTCGTAATTTCCGGTCTTAAATGTGTCTTGCTTCTTAAGGATATCATATATGTTCTTGCCTGCAAATTGGGCAACCTTGTCTCCGCCATGTCCGTCGAAGACGCCAAAGAAAGATAATCGCGAAGGGTGAACCTTCTTTTCCTCGTCGGCTTTGGGTGTCAAGAGGTCAAGGATAGTGCAGTGAGCATCCTCCATGCTAATACGCCATCCCTGCATAGCAGATACGCCGTACAGTAATCGGTCATCTTCTCCTTTGTCAGAGGCCTATTAAGAATTCCCCAAGTTAGCATAAATTTACTCAAGTATTAAGTGCTGAATAACTCTCTATGTGAGAGTATCGAAGCCAGATCGTTGCGATATTGTTTGATAAGGCCGGGGAGGCGCGGAGTCACGGAGGGGTGGGCTGGTCGTGGGAGGGGGATTAAAAGTGAAAGACGGCGCAATTGAAAGCCCCAAGCAGCAAGCAGGAAAATATCATCATCATTCATACCTTGTCGACGACAGGCTCGGAAAGGGTTTGACCCATGGCGAAAAGAATTTATTATACCGCAGCGCGTAGGATTAGTATGGTCGAATGGTCATATAACTGAAGGAGGGGCAATATCGTAGGTTGCTTTGTTGATCGTCAAAATTTTCAATGGCCTCGAGACAGAAAATGTGTATGTAGACGAATACGGTAGGAGCCGCGGGTAGTGTCTTGGGGAGGGATGGTGTAGGTAGGTAGTGTGGAAAAAAAAATGGCACAAAGGCGTCGCGCGAAAGAATTGTGATCAGATGGTGCCGAAGAAGTAGAGACAGTTACGGTAGGCAGAATTAGGTAGGTTAGGTAGAGAAGAGTAGGCAAGGCCAAGGCGGGGTTTTTCGTTTCTCGCAGAAAAAATTCCGACTTTGGACTGTGAGCAGCTGGCAACTTTGATGACTTAATCAAAAAGCCCTCTTGACTATTTTAGGCAGTCCTATTAACAAAAATACCTAAAGATCTGAAAATAATTAAGTTAGGTACTTACATGTAGTATAAGTATAGATACTTATAATCTAAATATGTCGCTCAAACAACTACCTAAGGTTTGTACCTGTGCATTAAAAAGAACTAGAAAGCCATTATGATGTCGTAAGAATACAACATGCGTCACGACATCATTTTCGGCGTTAGTATAGGTAATCTATTAAAGAAGATCACATTTTACAAATCGGGATAAGAACAATCCCCAAGAAACCCGGAGATCTTGAGAGAAGAGACTATGACGCCCGATTCCCTCCATCTGCCCAACATAAATTCCTATGCACATGCAGACATTAAGTTCTTCTTTTACAAACCATAGGTAGCGGGTATTTATCGGATATTTAAACCCAGCCCCGTTAGAACTCCTCTCCCTAAGGTAAGTAAGTTATAGAAGATGCGGAGTTACATACCACCAGAAACGATAGGGTTCTTTAGGTAGGTATTACAGAATTAGATACATGTAGGTGTCGCGTGTGCTCTTACAAGATACAGAACTAAAACAATTGGTCGGTGTTTCACTGCAGAATGGAGGGAAGGAAAGTGCAATAGCTTTTAGTCACTACACCAAACTTGGGGCAGTACATGTAGGGCAAGCAAGTAGAAACGTAAAGTATAAGTATAGGTACAAAGTAAGTGGACATGATGACACAACAATTAACAAATGCGCCCGGAGTGAGCCGTGTGCTTGCATCTTTTACATATCTTTTACATACATACACTACTTCTTTTTACCTAACACACAATAAACGTCTCCTTCATGTATCAAATTCGCTTTACCCAAACCATCACATATTCTCAATCCGAATACTAATATAGGCATCTACTACCCTTCAAAACATCCCCTGCGGTTATTATTGGTTACGTGGAGCGACATGTAATGCATTCCACAAAGAGTTAAAACTACCTTAAACCATGCAGGGGATAACGCTACCACCTCGCTCTCGAGACATGAACAAAGGAGCTAGCTACATGAGTCCTCCATTGTCTTATTTTTTGCCACTTATCAATACTAACTACTAATTCTACAATTAACATACCACCTCAAAAGAAAGCGTTGAATAATTGAGTACCTACTCAGGTAACTACGAAGAAAGAACTAATTATCGAAACCCCTCTCAAGCGCCTTACTCATACATACCTAACATATCTAATGCATGTTATCAATATTTCCAGGAAATAGACATCACAAAAGCTATATATGTAATGTAATGACTCCACTCGGACTCCCCGGACCGGTATTGTGGATTGTAACCCTTGACCGTGACCCCCAACCCAGCCTCGGACTGATCCCGGAATTCCACATTACGCAGGACAAAGGTAGAAGGTGAGATATTGACCAGCTTGCATAAGGTGAATGCCATGGTGCTGTCAGCTTCAGCCGTCAATTCGTTGTCCTAGGTCAAGGACTCTCACCTTGGCCTGTCAAAAGGAATAACTATATCTTATTTGTCCTAGCGGACAAGCTGCCTTCCGCATACTACACAGGGCAGCAATTGCATTAAGCACCTAAACAAGATCATCACTCTGCTTTACATTGGTGATCAGGTATCTTACTTCGTAGCTAAACGTCAACAAGCGCCGCCAAGATGATTGCAAGAGTATTAGAACCACGATGATTGTCCAGGTGGGTTTCTACTAATACGATGATTTCACAATTATAATATCCAGCAAGTACTTATTAAGTAGTGTATTAATATCATTAATATGCTAGGTATCAATCCTCCTCTTCCACATATCACACACATAGATCAAATATAAATCGCAAAGCTCCCGTCACTATCAACGCCATCGTCCCATCCATCGATAGTCGTTGGTGGACGTATATCCTCCCAAGCATCATCATCATCATCGTCCTCGTCGGCCCAGATACTACGCAGACTCTTAGCACTTTTCATGCTCCTCGTCGGCTTCCAGTTTTTGGAAGACTTGTTTTCAATGTCGGGGCCCAGTCCGTCTCCCCCGCTGATGCATAATGCAATTGATTAGGTCGGTCCGCCAGTGGTATTCTACCGGCTCGTATGGGGGGTTGTGGTAAAGGCCGCGTCGGTGGCGGTGCACGCCCGTTTACTAGCAATGGGGTCAAAGCTATGTTATTGCTAGGTGCTTCTTGTCTGCGGGTGTAACTGAATTGTGAATACTCGTCTCGGGATGAGTAGGTTACGTCAGATCTCGTACTCGTAGATGGCGTATGACGAACAGTCGTCTCGGACGCTTGTGATGGCCGCCTCCTTATCGAGACTTTGCGTTTTTCTTCTCCCATAGATTTCCCCAATGCCATCGTAGGCGGCAGTCGAGGTAATTCGCTCGGAATATTAACGGGTGAGGTTCTTGCTATGCCAACCATATTGATAGATACGTTTTGCCGTGGCCATTGTCCGGGGGACAAGAGATTCCGATTTATATCATAGGTCATCCAATTGCCTTCTTGACCTATATCAATCGGTGATTCCTGGCGTGAGACGGCACTTTCTGGCTCGGTGATGAGGTCCTTGTATGCGATACCTAAGGAATTTCTTGCGAGCCGGTCCCACGAACTATCGCTATTACGAGGATTTGTGCCGTCGTCTATATTTGGTGGTAGTTCTGGACTTGGATGTATAACTGTCGCCGGTGATTGGTTCCCTAAACCCAAATTTCCTATCGATTTTGTGATCGACCGGCCGCTGAATAACGACGACGGTCCCTCTACTCTCCTACTCAATCGCCGTACCTCACCCGGTCTACTGGGTATATGTATTATAGTTGGTCTTGCGACCACATTCGTACTCGTCGTGGCTTCTTCCTCTCCTACTCCGGAGATCCCCGATGTCAAAATACTTGTGCGAGTAGTTTGGCCTGTAGAGTCACTCAGGATACTATTTCGTTTCTGGTTATTAGCAAGCTGACCTCCGCTCTCTCTCTTCCATAAATTAGATATCCTTTTCCCGACGCTGCGCAGATCTAAGCTCGAATCCTGCTGTTGTCCTGACCGGGGCCGTACAACGTAGCCCACTGCTGGCGGAACCGCATTGTTTGGACTGGTGTTTTGCCTAGCACCCGCTGCGTAGGCGATCTCTGGCGTGTTCTGTATACTAGAGGGCGCCGCATTCGCTGGGACCGAAAGGCTACGATATACATCATCTCGAGGTCCCCTTGAAATAATATACGACTGTGCTTCCGCAATATACGCATCAGCTTCACCAAGGCTAGTATCCGAAAGCAGGCTAACTTCATCCGTTCCTCCTGCCTGCGGAGATGGTTGGTTATCGTGTCCTGCAGACAAAGAGCTACTCGCTTCCAGAATTACGCTGTGTTCGGGTGACTTTGCCCTGGAATACATCGCCATCATAGCATGAGGGAGCATGTTTCCAGTTAAACTCGGACTTGATGCAGTCTGGGAACGCCGATTTGAGGCGCCGGCAGACACGCGATGTCTCTGTGCAGCCGTGCTCTCAGAATCACGTGGCGGTGCTATATCTACTATTCTGACGACCGGACCCTTGCGGCTGTCGGGACGATGGGTCATGAAGCTTCCCGGTATAGGTCCTGACACCTCCCTGACCCCTATTCTCCTTGGCTGCTGACGCCGCCGTCGAATATAGAAAAGGAGAAGTATAATCCCGGCAAATATAAGGAATATAGGTATTATAAGCAACCAGAGTAAATTTTTATTCGAATTATTCTTATCTGAATCTGTAGGCTCGGTACTTGGTTCCGGTGAAGCGGTAGAAGACAAAGAGCCGAGGTGTATGTTCATGGTCTTAGTCTCTGTTTCGTTCGTGTGTTTTGAAGTTGCACTGAAGGCGACATGTGGCGTTGTTCGAGATTTTACTGACATGTGCTTGGGGACAGACCCCGATAAGAGCATCGAGGAAGAGTTGAACTCTGCCCATGATGCCCCCGACTCATCCTCTACAGTGACCTGTATATCTTCTGGGTTTGATAAATACTTCTTCAAGTCGAATGGAAAAATCATCTCGCCTGCCTTGACATTGAGGTCGGGGAGGTCTGAGATGAACAAGCCAAAATGGATCGAGATAGTTAGGTTCAAAGCGTCAGAGTATTTGTCAGTGACAGCTATAGTTATATTAGATGATTCAGCACTTGAGTCAGGAGTGCCATCTAACTCCCAGGTTTTGTTGTCGAAAGACAACCAAGGGGGTAGGTCGAGCGCAGTGACCATTACTATAGCATCCCGCTTTAAAGGCTTCTTATCAAGCTTCAGCACATCTAGCAGGTCTTTGTATTCGAAGTGCTTTCTGTGCGTCGCATTGAGCTTAACTACCGGTGGTTCGGCTGTTAGCTCGTGGCTCCCTACCGCTATTGAAAGAAGGACCCGAGACTGATGCGAACCCCACGACATCGGAAGCAACTAGTTGGAAGGTAAATATTTGCGGAGGTTGTACAAGCGATTCAAACGGGTGTCTTGCCGGAGAAGGAGAGTTTTCCGGCATCGAAGGTAATCCATGAGGGCAGAGGCGCGTTGTCGCCGGATACTGCATAGTAGTTGAGCTCACCGTTTCCGCTATCAGTGCGGAATGTGTGCTCGTCGAAAAAGGAGAAAGGCTTTGAGGGGTGAAGGTGTAGTGTAGAGGGAGCTGTAATGTATGTCCCAAATTTAGGAAGTTGTTTCGAGATGGGCACGTCGATAATAGGCGGGCGGTTCCTTATCACCAAAGTCGGCTTTGTCGTCGTAGATCCCTCTCATCCTCAGCAATCAGCTCGATTGGGATCCCAACAACCTCTCCTGGCGGAACATCGTCATCGCTCGGTGTCCCAAAAGCCGCCGCGAAGAGCTATCGATTGAGAGCCATTTCGGCGCGTTACCGAGTCGGTACGTAATATCGGATTTAGAGAAGAACGTTAGGGGGGAGAAGGTGAAATCGAAAGCTTCTGATATGCGAGCTACGGGTGGTAGTTGTGAGTTTATTGGGAAATAGTCAACAGGGGCGGCACCAGCTAGTGTCGCCGCCGCTGCTGCGCCGAACGCGAAAATCTCTTTACACTTCACCACCATCGTGATATATAACAGCTGCCAAAGCTGCTCGCATAAGAGTGAACGACCACGTCGAAGAAGCTATATTGAGCTTACGATATGTAGGTTAGATCGGATCAGATACTGTAGTCGTCGTTCGTATGACCGAACATTATGCTATGGTTGAAGCTGTGGTTGAACAGGACAAAGACAGGAGAAGTTGCGAGAGCATCGATGTCGGCCAACAGCCGACACTATACCAGGAGGCCATTCTTCAACGATGACGCCGATGCTCCCTTGCACCTGGCCTCATCCCGCCCTGCCCTGCCCGGCCCGGAAGGCGACTACCATCGCAGAGGCTGTGAAGCGCGCGAGACTCGATAATGACGGAAGGGGGGGTTGGAGGGGTCTCATCACGTAAGTAATCCATTCGATCTATTAGATGTTCTGGCGCGTCTAACCAGGCTATCACGTAAGGCTGGTGGAATTCTAATGTCTCAGCCACGCGCCGGGCTACGATCGCCTAAGGCTGGTGGGCGATCGCATTCTCGCGGGGGTGGGAACCCGGTGGTTGGAAGGGAGCGCCGCTGAAATTTGAAGTTTAATTTTATACATATGTAGAAGCGAGGTCCTCTGAGGAAGAATATGGCATGGCTAGGCAATATTCCTCTTTGTAGGTTACTTCTACTAGAAAGAGAAGAGGGTAGTGGCGCACGATAGAGACTATTTTCCATGATGGACACATGCTTAGCTCTGTGAGGTTGAAGCGTTATCAAGCCACCGACTTCGAGTCCCCGTAGCCCTTAGGAATATTGCGATTTAAGAACAAAGCGGGCGAGGAAGAAAGAATGGTGGCTGGCTTGACACTACAGCCTCATCACTTTAGCCCTGACCAATTGTACAATTCAAGTATAGCCTTCCGATCTCTAGTTTTTTGACGAGAGGGATGAGAAACTTTCTTCTCATTTAAAAATAGTTGTTCATATATGAAATGAGAAGCGATAATACCTACGTGTGTCTTTTTCGAGGCTATTCTAGTTTAGCAAACGGAACTTTTCGATTGAAATCTCGCTTTGACTCAGGTACTTAATTCAACCAGAGCAGTCCCATCTTCTACTCGTGAATATGGACATGATGTCTTAAGAACATGCAATGACATATTCGGCTCCAAAGCCCTGCGTGGTTAAGGCTTTATATGATATCAGCTATTAGATGGAATTGGACGAATCTATAGGGATCAAATACCTTGGATGAAATTTATTGACCCCCCGAGTCTTCAACTTGGTTCTCTCTAGTAAGCTAGGGGATGACAATGAGCTCCTTACATGAATAGGAAGCATAACAGTGAGACATCTGCCAGCACTGGCCATTCAAAGTCACTTTCAGCCACATGTAAATTATAGAGTGACTCTAATTATGAAATTACCTACCTTCTAAGTCTTAAGTGATACATGTGCCTTAGGTACACTAACTCGATTTATTCAAGTGGCTCGGATCTTAAACCTTATATACCTTTAATACCTAAAGTAGTACAAAGCGTAAATACCTCTCAAATGCATGAATTGCTAAGATATAGAAACTGCTTTACACCTTAATCCGGCTTATTGTGATGCGATATATCAGCCCGATTCATTTACAGGGGTACTAGAAGGCTGAATTCGTGATAGTGGCATAAGCAAGCGGTGCCTGACGTTCTAGATTCCGATAGATTCACCGGAAGGCAGCATACAAACCGGGGCATCCCCTATCCGTTTTTTTTGTTGGGCCCAAACCCATAATTCGTTATCTAGACCACACTTCTTTCAGCTTAAACTTTAGTAATAATCATAATGACTTCTCAGATAGAGAAACGGTGACAACGACAGCTCCTCAAAATGTCGCCGCCTCAGCGCTCGCCTTCTCCTGAGTTCTCGCCTTTGGCTATTGGCGAGGACCTCTCGCCGCTCCCGGCGTACAAGGCCGCCGGCACCACCGCGACCGACTTTGCGGGTCTCCTCGCCGAGCCCCTGCGGCTGCACGAAGACCTGGCCTCCGGCTGCGGCGGACAAACTTGGCCGGCGGGAATGGTACTCGCCAAGCATATGCTCCGGTACCACCGGGACGACATGAAGGACTCGCGGATGTGAGTGAGGGATTTAATTCAACGTCTCTTTATATTCATCATTGCTTTTAGTAATGCGGACTTGGAGGCCGGTTCCTAACAGACGCTCTCGGCATCTAGATTAGAACTCGGAGCTGGAGGTGGATTGGTAGGCTTGGCGGTTGCTAAGGGGTGCACGATTGGGAACCCGCTCTACATTACAGATCAGTTGGAGATGCACTCCTTAATGGAGCATAACATCAGTTTGAACGAGCTCGAGGGCCAAGCTAAGGCTGCCATTCTAAACTGGTCAGTCTGTCCCCGATATCTCCTCCTTCAGTTCTGCTCCGTGTTTCCCCACGGGGCTTATGCACCATAAAGGCGCATACGTGCATCTATACTAACATACACGTCATTTCGATATTGCAGGGGTGAGCCTCTTCCACAGGATATCGCCGTCTTTAAGCCAGACGTGATCCTCGCGGCTGACTGCGTCTACTTCGAACCTGCCTTCCCGCTGCTCCTAGCCACGTTGTCAGATCTTCTGAAACTGTGTCCCTCAGCCACTATTTATTTCTGTTTTAAGAAGAGGAGACGCGCCGACATGCAGTTCCTCAAGAAAGCACAGAAGCTATTCAGAGTAACCGAGGTCCCGGATGAGGACCGCCCCGTCTTTAGTAGAGAGGGGCTATTCCTCTACACTTTCCAGGCTGCGTAAGGGAGATGTGCTCTCGGGTCCGATTGCCCTTCTCATCACCAATGAGTTCGGGTATTTTCGGTATATCCAAGTTTCACATCTAGATGTTTCTGCATGTGGCTGACTGTCAGCATAAATCAGGTCTTGTTTGCTGTTGTGGAAGATAGTGTTACGTCTATCACGCCAGTTCCTAGGCTGAGTCAAGACGGGAACTTGCAGACGTGCAACCCTTCTAACAGAGACGTCAATATTGGAGTGAAAAGCGTATTAACCAATTACCATCACCCGGGTTCGGACTTACTCCAAATTCATAGATTATCATTAGAACTACTTAGACAACTTTGGCATTATGTAATTCCTATGCACAAGCCTTTGGTTTTATAGTCTAGTGACTCAAGTTAATGGTCTGCATTACTCATGACTAGTATTGCGTAGCCCAACGGAGAAAAGAGAAAGGCTCCCCACAGCTCCCATTTTACGTAAGGTATAACTTATCGTAAATCTTGCTATGTTCTACGTCTAAACTAAAAAACATTTTTCTATAGGCTCGGGATTTACCGACGGAGAAGTTCGGCGACAGTGCAAGTTGATAACTACCACTATTATTCTATAGATGTTTAGAAAATTTCGAGTTTTTAGTGTCTAAATATTAGGCCGATTCTTATTGGGTCGGTTGAAGTTGCTAACGCAGGGGAATCAGAAGGACTTGCGACTACTAGCTTTCTTGCTTCGATAGTGCGCTTATACTGATGGTGGCGAGTGCATTAGCGGCACAACTTGGTGGCCACAATATCTAGTTTTAATACTCTTAAGTTAGTCACAATATTGTTTGCAGCAGATATGCAATTCGGGTCGATCTTGGTATTCCCGGGATGCTATGCAAAGGTCGTGATCCTCGATCGATTATTTACTCTCCAATAAGTATCAAAGGTGACGTGTAAAGAAGTAAGCCACGCCACATCTAGATAGCCGAGATGGCACAGAAAAACAAGACTATCGACTTATACTGCAGTGTCTAAACAATTCTTTACCTTGCCAAGTTTATGTAGGAATGGAAAAGGATGAGCGGACAGAGAACGCGTAACGAAAAAGAAAGACTGGTTGATGAGCCAATAGTAAGCAGCGATGGCACCGAGAAGGTAGTAGAGACGGTAGAGACGGCAGTCTAGACGCTTTACCCCAACTCCATCTGTAAAATTTGTAAGATACACTCAAGGTTGGTACCGAAACTCAAACACCGTATCATCTTGACGTTCTCGTTAATAACAAGCGAGCATAGGGAAACCCAGCCCATCCATTCTATATTGTAAACAATGAAGCCAATGACAATTCGTCTGTGACAACGCGAATAGATCTCGAGTCGCAAACAAGTAGTTCCCTCGGCTCCGAGAGGAATTGGTTGTTCTGTATCACAAAGGCTGCCCACGTGAAAGAAGCCTGGATCCCTTACCCTTTACAGGCTTGCCGTAACGTGGTCTCGAGTATAGACTCGATAATTCTTGATTCTATACTCACAAAGCCGCAGGATAGATAGCTTGCATGGTGGATGCAAGCGGCCGAAAACCACGACCAGCAGCGGCAGAAAGGGGGGTCAATGCCGACATTCGGGCGTCCGCAGCGTGGAGAAATTCAACGATTAAAAGCGGTGAAACCGACACACATATCCATGCGGAGACCCGAGTAATAGGGAACTTCTACAAAGACTGAACATGTGGGATGAACAAAGGCCGGATGCCGTGGCATTGTCCACTAGCATCCACACCTCCATCAAGTAAAAGTGAACTAGAACCGCATCTCGATTCTCCACGTGCTAATTAGCATCGGACCGAGCTTCACGGCGGGAACGGGTGTACTTATGTACCTAGGTACCTAACTTATGTACTAGTCGGTACGAAAACGTCTTCTACAATAGAAGCATCGGCCCACTTGTCCGACGAATAACTTGTGACGGGAAAAGTTGTTAGCTAACAGATACCTCAGGAGGCGAAGGCCAGAGGGGAAGGAGGGGAAGAGGCTGTCTAGAAGCCTATCGTGTGGAGCATGGAGAGACGCCCGGCGTGAGGAGTTTTTCAGCCCTCTTAAGCACGCCAACGTGGACGTGGTCCGACGTGGAGACATATAATGGCACTTGCAGGTTTTGAAGGATCAATAAATTCAATTGGCAAAAGCTGGCTACACTGCTGCAGTAGAAAGGCGATCGTCCCTAAGGCCCCTAGTCTACTAGTGGGACTAAAATGAGTGATTAACACACTAAAACTGTCTTTTTCAGGGGTACACATCATCCCATTGGTTAGTTCCTCGATGGCATCTAACTCAGCGGTACCCTTAATGATGGTTAGGTATCAGTCAGGTACGTCCCGGTAAACAGCCCTAGCTACCCGTGCTGATACCCTCCATTAGCCACGCAGCCACGTTGAACCCGTCTAGATCCGGAGTTGTTGATTGGATAGATTGTTCCAAAGGAAGAGAAAGAGGCATCTGGGAAACCCCCAGTTGCGGGTTGTTTCAACGTGGTCTGGCCAATCATAATCAATTAACTTTAGTTGATGAATTCGTTAGGTACTACTAGTGTACATCAGGCAGGAACCCTGTTCGGATTTTGCTTTTGTTCCTTGTTGTTTCCTGCTCCCCCCCTTGTCTTTCGCCGTGGCCTCCACGAGAGGTTTTTTTTCTTCTCCCCTGCTAGATAAATAACTCCCCTTACATTCCTTCAACTTGATAACTTCTGATCTCTTCTCTCTTCAGCTTCTCTACGAAATTATATATCGTTCATTATTTTCAAGGAGCAGTGCTCACTGTATACATTCCTTCCCGGTATAGCTGCTTCGTAACACTCATTCTTGAAGGAAGAGATTCAGAGCCAGCCAATACTACCCAATCATTACCTACGAAATTCACAACAATACAAGGATAATAAGTTCTTGTCGAGCAAACTTGACAAATCTTTTAAAGATATATCCTTCCGGCTGGATCCCCTCGATTTACAACTCACAACTTCGGCTCTATATTTCTGAGCATATATCACAGTAGCCAATACCGTCCAATATGAAGTCTACAACCATCGCCGCTGCCATTCTGGCCTCAGTTGCTGTTGCACAGCCTCATGGCCACAACCGTCACCACCATGACAAGCGAGAACTAGTTACCGAGTGGGAGACCGTTTGGGAAACGGCCACCGTCATAATTGATGACGACTCAACTCAGACAATTCCTCCCTCGCCTCAGGAGACAAGTTCGGACACTCCCATCCAGTTCTTTGAGACGCCTTCCACTACCTCTAGCAGTGCTGTCGAGACCCCTAAGGTTGAGACTCCCAAGGTTGAACCTTCGACACCAACTACTATTATCAGCATTGCCCAGTCTACCTACCAGGCACCGTCTCCTCCAGCCCCTACAAGCACGTATGAGGCGGCTCCTTCTCAGCAGACTACGGAAACTCCCGCAGCACCCTCGACTAGTACGTACGTCGCTGCGCCTCCGGCAACTTCAAGCAGCTCCGGTGGTAGCTCCGGTGGCAGCACAGGCAGTGACGGAATTCCGTACGGCGAGAAGTTCGACGGCGAAATTACGTATTACAATGCTGCTTTAGGCGCCTGTGGTTACGAAGACGTAGGAAAGGACGATTCTGAAAACATTGTCGCTATTCCCAAACAGTTCTGGGACAACATCAGCACGGCAACCAGCTATGGTATCAACCAGCCGGCACACCCGCTCTGTGACAAGACCATCACAATCACTACCTCCGACGGCAAGACAACCAAGGCTAAGATTCGTGACCGCTGCGACGGCTGTGTTAACCTGGCCATCGATGTCACCCCCCACACCTTCCTCGACCTGTTCGACTCCCTGGACGGTGGTCGTCTTGAGTGCAGCTGGACTATTGACGAGTAAATATGGAACACTCGTTTACACATTTCCTGGCCCTTATTTGCCACGCCCCGGGAGATACCAGGTATCAGCCAAATCTGCTTTTTTCTGTTTGGGTTCCTCGCGCGGCGATGAGCACAGTGATAGGTTTCTTCACGATGAACGGGCACTAAAAGGCCTTGATGATATTCTTTTCTAAAAATTATGGCGTCTTTTTTGACGCCGTTGACAATTATACCAAGGGGGAAAGGCTTTGGGCGCTTGTTACGGCACAACCAGGATCGGTTGGCAGGTGTCAGCAACCCTCGAGGAGTTATACCCATTTTGGTACCTTCTTTTTAAGTTCCGATCCATCTTAAGGACGGAAGCTTGTGATCGGATATAGATTTTGGTTCTTCTGTACATATTTACAGATTTGGGTAGAAATGATCTGATACGATCAGGAATGGAAAAGAATTTACCAATCTAAATTTTAGTTCTACGTCCCTTTCCAGTGTGAAGCATCTTGAAATTTATGATATGACAAGTACCCGTATACGTAGATGTCCCCATTTGCGATTAAAGCTTGGGCTTGTGATCGGTAAGGCCTCCACGATGATGCGTACAATAGTACCAAGTCGCTGGGTCATGCCAAGTATTTGGCCAGTGGGGAGACTTGGTGTCTCGTATATAGGTAATTATAGCTGTACCCACTCATATGTATCTACCTATCCACCTGAGATATATCTCATACCCACCTTATATACAAATTTAGGCCTTTTGACATTTGTTCGTCCAGTATTATTCATCGTGGTATGATATACCTCCATTACCAAGTATTCACCCCGGTAGGAGTTCAGATTTACACCACACCCTTGCTTAGCCTGAGCACTGCCATACTCAGGTCCCTTCATTATCAAATTTCGTGTTCGTGGCGCAGCACTCGGAGATTGTCTATCTACATTATGCATACGAACTGGTGCTTTGACCCTTATTAAATAAATGGCTTTGATCATCCGCTTGAAATAGCCTATGTATTTAGATGCTTGCTAATTTGTAGTATTATTCGTCCGCTAACCAATCTAAATAAAGTCTTATGATACTTTAAATTATATTAACTTAGTAGTTACTGTGGTTTGTAGGTTAATTAATTGGTATTAACAAACATTTATATCCGAACTTTAAAAACAGGTAGTTAAGGCAAGTTCCCTTTCGATTAAATAACCCTTGATAGATCAAAATAGGATGTATTTAAGTATACAGGGTATGGGTAGGGTACCAATGTAATGGGAATAACTACGACCCCTGAATATATTATAGAACACACCTCAAGTTGTTCTCTAGGCTAGAGAGAAGCACCATATTGGTGAAAATGTTATCTATTAAAGACTAGACACTGCTCCCAAAAAAAGAGGGAGGGGGAGGGGGAGTTAAAAGAAAATTAAATAAAAATAAAAATAAAGGGGGTGTCGGAAACAGTATCATTACATCGATATTTTACGTCTTTCCGTTAAACTATCACTTGGTTCCGACATCGTAACATAATTTGTAAATCTAGAGGTCGGTGATGATAAACGGTATTAAAATGGAACTGTAGCAGAACGGTCTAGCTGCCTTTTCAAGACGAAGATTTTAATAGTGAGTAGGGGCGTGTATTGATTGTGTTGTAATAAGGGAGTCTACCCTTTTGTGCACAATTAAGGGAGGTTGAGGGAGTGGCCTGGAAAGTCTCATATCTATCGTAGTAAATAGCAATTCTTGAGGTCACAACTAAGCTACTTAAATGAGGACGTAGCGGATATTATCTACAAATTATTTTTCAAGACACGTTTAGGTACCTGTGAAAACTGTTGATAAAATATATTTTGGTTTCCAGAAGCAACGCAGCATAAAACTACACGTTACAAGATGGAAAGGTATTACTTGGTAGTTGAAAAAATAAATAAACTAGAAAACTTAGGAAGTTGAACTGCGCAAAATCACATGGCTGGGGATGGACGGGCCACCATGATAAACTCGAGACAAAACCACAGCTTTCTAATGAGGAAAATAATCAAATATTAAAAACTACCTATGGTAAAAATAAATTAGGTACAAAAGCAAACCTGTAGATGCATCATCCGGAAGAAAAAAAAAAAAAAAAAAAAGAAAAAAAAAATAAGGAGCCAGCTAGGAATTTCAGTGACATCTCGAACCATGCCGTCTGCATCAACTTTAGAAGTTGAGTATTAGATGTCATATTTGTGGTTTTGGATCTGTCAGCTGTAACCCGTAAGCATTACCACTACACCAAATGGTCTCGTGGCAGGCTCCCCGGAAAGGTTGAAAGTGACCTCGCTACCGCCCCTTATGTATCACAGCAACGTACCTCAGGTTAGGGGCGGCCGGCATGCACAGGTAAATAATTAGGTGCCCTCACAGCACTACTGCCCTACGCCTGCATATGTTCAGGCCACTTGGACCTGTGATGCTCGCTACGTGCCTAAAACTAACCACCAAAGTAATAGGTAGGTACCTGTCTAATTTGATTTAAGCTGTTATCCTGCAACTTAGCAGACGAGTACCTACCTAAGGTAATGGACTTCTATGGAAGCAAGCCTGGTACAAGAAATCAGTACATAACATGGTACTTAGCAACACCTTAACCATCATGAGATCAGTGGCAAACAATGGTAATTAGGTAAATATCTTTTCAGTTATGGTCCTATCATCTATCTATCTACAACCAAAGCTGATCTTACTCTTATCAGTACCTACGTATATTCGTATCTCCAACAATTCTACCTCCACCGTCAATTTCTATACGCCGGGCAGATGAACATGGTATCCGAAGGAGACGCCCCTGAAAATGCTCTGTAGCGACTCGCTGGGTATCCTCGGGGACTCTAGTGCTTCTGTCCCATCTATAGCTATAGCCGTTCCGCCAGTACCTAATCCAAAATCAAACGCCATAAAACTAAAAGATTTCATCGACTTAGGCTTAGTAGCCCCTCAATATATCTCTTCGTGTCGACACCAATGCCTTGGGCGAGTCGACTAGCTCCATCCGCCCAACCACCCCCTTCTGCGTACGAGCTGCTTAGCCCCCTAAGCCTCGTATGTTCGCCTGCTCGACGGATGAGAAAGATCTCTTTGCTGACCTTGCCTCTAGATCGGGTGCTTTTAGGCTGACCCTGAGAGTCAACACTCTCCGTTGACTCGCTATGCTGTAGGCTGGTGATCTGGCTCGCATCTGAAGAGTCTGGCGGTTGTACCGGAGTCTGGGTACCGTCTTTTTCAATTATGCGCGTCCAGACAATCCACCAACCGCGGCTTGTCTTACAAGTGCGTTCTGATTCGGACGGATCTGTTGACGTTGCGATATACGTGTTGAGTATTTGATTATGAGTGTTTACCGCTTCTACCCGAGACCAAACTGGTTGCGTATTTTGCATCATCTGAAATGGTGAGGGTATGTTAGGGATAGTGGAATGGATCGTCATGGCTTCTGGATCCCATATCAGGTCAAAGATATGAGAGCCTACTGGTCCAATGTCCGGTCTACCGGGGCGATAGGCTGTAGACGTTGATAGAGGTTTTCGAAGCGGCGCAAGCTGATAGTGTAATGACCTATACAGCTCGCCCCAGGCTAGTGAGTCCGTCCTATTCCGAAATAGGAATGTATAAATGAATGGTTTATTTACGTACACCACTATGCGAACCTTTTCTGATTTGTTAAGATCTTGATTATCAAAAAGGGAAGTCGCTTCTTGAGATCCTCGGTCGAGTTCTGCTGTTGTCGATCGCTCACGGTCTTGGTTTCCAAAATCTCGCGTTATCTCAGCTTCGGGGCGTTTTGCATTTTCCAACTCCACGGTAAGGGTTCGAAGCAAGATCCTAGAGTTATACTCAACGTCTTCGGACGGACTATCAGATTGCTCTATATTCTCGTCATGCTCGATATTACCTGCTTCCTCGATATTGCCGAGAAGTCCTATGAGGTAATGGCCCGAATTCACATTGAGAACTTTTGGTGGACGATTGGGATCACTAAGCTTTTTATCCCTAGACATTTCTTCGGGTGTCACTCTATCATGTTCTGTGTTCTCTCCTCCACTAGAGCCGCCTAGTGTCCAGTGAGTACCATAACCCATCTTAAGGTAATTCATAAATCGGTTAACCCCACCCCCATCGCCTATTTCTTCGGTGGTTTGGGGCGCTGTTGTTTCTGGTTCTTTTGCATCCGTAGTTTTCTTTTGCGCGCTTTGGGGGTTTAAACTGGTTGTGTTATTCGGCTCTGAAGCAGTTGTAGATTTTCCAGTGGCATTTTTAGTACTTGCCGGAGTTGATTTCTTAGATTTCTTGGCTTGGCGTGTTGAGGACGGGCTGTCTCTAACTCCATACGCGTCTTCACCCCACATGTAGAGGTCCTCCATCCAGTAGGCGACATCACGCACTGATTTCCTTGATAGAGCTCCTATGCCTAGGAAAATAGCACCATCCTCCGCGCCTGGCTCTTCTCCGGTACCGAGCCATTTCGAAGCCGCTCGTTCATCCCCCTTAGAATCCTCGTCTATACCAGACTCAGAAGGGCCGAATTTGGATACGACTAGATCAATCAGGCCTTCGGTTCTATCGACAAAACCCTCAAGGACCTCTCTTTCACCGCTTCCACGTTCCTCCTCTCCAACGCCGACGCCAAGCTCGCCACAAGCAGCGATCTTAATCCCACCAAACACGCTGGCAGTGGGATTACCATGTAACATAACATCCCAAGTAGACAGAAACAGATCCCAGTATCGACCTAATATGCTAACAAATTTAGACCGTCTCAACCGAACGAATAAGGCGCTCAGAGATGCAGCATGGTGAAGCAAGAAGACGGAATGAGCGCGGAGGAGATCTTGCATTAGTAGAATAGCTGGCTTGACTTCCCGAGACGAATATTCAACATTTTCGGGAGGATCGCCTGTCTGGTTTGAAGAGGGGGCTCCGAGCCTCGGTGGTAGTGGTAATTTAGTCAAATCAATAGACTGGAATGTATTAGCTTCGAACCCCAAGTAAGAGCGTGTCTTCCCCTACAGCTAATATCCACCAGCCTGGCTCTAGCTCATGCAACACGACACGACTCTTCTCCGTTTCTATCGTATCGACTGGTTGACCATCGGCAAACCCGCGACTGAATTCGACCATACCCTGTGCCAATCCAATCTGCCTCAACCGCTCGTTTCGCTCATCTTGGGAGATACTGTCGGTAGGTTTACCACGCGAGCGGTGCCGTCGTTTCTTAAACTGGGTATTCATGGATGCGTAGTAGACTATCTGGTCATCCATAGTCTCATCGGTAGTGCCTAGGGAGGGATTGAAGATCGCCAGGAAGCCCAACTGGGCTGGTACGACGGTCGCAAGAAGGGGAGAAGTAGGGGTCGCCATTGCGAAGTGTGGTAGCGTTATGTCATAACATTAGAAGATGAATGATGTCTGTCGAGGTGCAGTACCACGAAGACGGCCATATCAGATTAACATTACACGACAGCACGGATAGAAAATAGAGAGCGGGTCAGAAAATCCAATTAAAAGTTGGATGTGTTAAAGTTGAGGTTAGATCTCGGAACATTGAACCAACCATGTGGATACACTTTAGCTTAGCGTTCCATTAGGTTCCGCTGTACATGTGGGGTTATACCCGAAAAATATATTTGTCTTTATCCCCTTTAATTCACACCTTTTAATGCATATCTTATATGGTCTTTTAGCATTCGGTACCTGGGTAAGTGGCTACTACCTCATTGACGTAATGGCATCAGGTCCAAACAACGACTTACAAACATCATCACACTTTCGCATTTTTACCCCCTAACAAAATATCACCCTCATACCTTTAATTCCAATTAGGAATCACTCAGCCGCGCAATATCCGTCCACTCTCTAACCTCATCAACGGTACCCAGCGCGCTCTTAACAATCGCCTCATTAGCATCGCTTCCCAGTGGGACAAACGGTGGCAACGGTCGACCAGCCGCAACACCACTTGACGTGACGAGATCATATATAATACTAGCCCCTTTAACAGCATCGCCAAGCTGATTGCCGTGAAAACCCGCGAAATCGGCGTTAGCCTTAGCTACGAGATCCGCGTAGTCGGCAATGCGCGCGGTGCTGTCGTTGGTCCCCGCGAGATTGCTTGATGGGTCTAGTAGCGCTGTCCGAAAGAACCCTGGTTCGATTAGACAGTGCTGAATCCCGAACGGTCGGATCTCATCGCCGAGGCCGAGGGATAGGCGTCGGAGAGCGGCTTTAGATGCGTTGTAGAGGTTGCAGCTTGCCATTGAGAACCTGTGATGATGGAAGTTAGGTACCTAACTATTGTATTTTGGTGTCCGGTTTAAAGGTATGTGTGTCTGGATAGAGACACATAATAAACTCGATTAGGGGATACTAACTATTAAGACGGAAAAGGGGGACAAGAGAGGAGTATAACGTACCAGGCGGCCATGGAACCGATAGTAATAAGAGTGCCGGAACGTTTCTCTCGTAAGTGTGGAAGAACGGCGCGGTAGACATTGATGGGGCCGAACACGTTGGCTTGGAATTGTCGGCTTGTCTCTTCAGGCGTTGCCTCCTCAACCGTGCCAGCTTGTACGTAGGCGGCATTATTAACAACAACATCGATAGTACCGTAAATCTTCAAGATCTCCTTGATGTCGGCTTGGATTTGTGGTAGCGGCTCGTTATGATCTAAGCGAACGACGGTGATGCCTGGCAGAGCAGCTACTTTGCTAGGGTTACGGGTAGCAGCGAGGACGCGGTCACCGCGAGCTGCAGCGATCTTTGCCAACTCTAAGCCGAAGCCAGATGAGGCGCCAGTGATGAGCCAGACACGAGACATTTTATTTGTTTGATTCGGCGGGATTTTTTTCTTTTAAAGAATATTGATCGGCTTTGTGGATAGAGGAATAGGTTAGACGAGTGAGGCGATGCAGAGCAGTACAGACTCGATATCCCGAGAAATGCTGGCTCTTCTTATATTCTCGCCCTCTCATATCTGCTCTTAGTATCGCCCCTGATCTAATCACCGATGCCATAGTTGATGTTGATCTTGTTAGTATGTTGCCACAAAAGTTCGTAGTTATCTAGCCTTTAGCTAGGCTAATCACCTATCGCCGACAAGGATACAATACGTCCGTACTCAGATATGAGGTAGTCATGGCTAGATCTTACGGAATTTATAAAAAATTTCCATTCTTAGTAACCTAGAATATTACGCGTTGTGTTATATAACTACCTTCATTAAGGGATATGCATGTTGGGGGTGTTGATATATGGTATCTATCTGAGGAGGAAGCCAGATCGTCTGAATATGACAATATCCTTCCACCTATACTCTTGATACTAAATCTTGATATTGAGTATTATTAAACATTTGTTTTATTTCTGGTCACTTTTAGGAGCGTAAAACAATTGAAATCCATACAATGTTACTATTCAATGGTTTTACACGGTTGATATGTCTCATCTAGGTACCTAGTCATGTAGACGTGGCAGGTTAAGATGACTTAAGTATCTTATAAAGCTACAATCGTATAACACCAATACCTCTATCCTATCATCTCCTTGTCCTAGTACGTTTGTAGTGGCAAATTTGATTTCCCCACCACTACCACTCGGGGATATGCTTCAACTGGAAGAGCTCACCCTCTTCCCCTACCAGAATATTACGGCGATAAGCCTCGCTATTTAAGCTAGACAGTGTCCCTAGAATAGCGGCGATAACATGGAACTAGTTGATATGCCTAGGCGGAGGTCGTAATCCCGACAGACGATTATATAAACCAGACAGCTATATAGTATATTAGTATGAAGTCCTGAGATGATACTCCTAAGTCCGAAACCTTCACTACTCTCAACGCAATAGAATCGTACCAAGGTAAATTTGATGGGATTCAATAATCATATGTTTATCAGTTCCAAATTCATTCCATAGTAACTTGTATGCATCCAGGCAGGCGACTTGGAGCGATCCATGGTACTAACCAACGCAGGAGAGGTTAAGACTACCTCTTCAAGACATTACATGGACTAAAAGGGCTCCAGATATCAACCATTCATAGGCGTAGAATTGTATGCTAACTTCACCATTGTAGTCCAGAGGAATATCAGAACAGGGACTAGACTATAAGGACTAAAAAACTGCTCAGCAAGAACAAGGCCACTCAGGCACCCAATTCCGGTTTTCTAGCCTCGTACTTGATTTCTTTTTCGATGACGGAAGGAATCTCTGCACCTTCAAGGTGGGATGTTTTCAGGATAAAAATTTAATACAGTAGCCTTCATAAAACTCAAGCGCTGGGAGCACTAACATTCTCAAGACCCTCTTCGCGTGTCTATTTATCCTATGCTATCTACAATCGTTGCTCAAATTACCATAAGAAATCGTCACGGGCGTCGTTGGTACAACTGGATTCGTTTCCGGGGCGATCTTCAGTATGGATGGATATAAGAAGACCTGTGGTCATTCATCAAGAGTGACAGCTGGTTATCTAGTGCTATGCTGCAGGACTTCGATGAATGTGATAAGGAGAGTCGTAGTAGTTTTCTGGACTTCTTTAAATCAAGACAAGACGGGTGCGAAGAAAGGTCGAAACTCCTGATAACGTCGAAAAAAACCAGTAGCCCTCCTCGATGAGTTACGAGGCTGGCTAGAAATAAATGTTGACGACATCTTACCGAAGAGGATCTTACAGGAACGGAGAGTTTCACCGGCCAGCTCTTGCTCTGCCCGAATGGCGTCTACGAAGAGACCCTCCGTAAAAGTTTGACCATACTGAGTGCTATGGACCCTAAGAAGCCTGAAGCAATACTTGAACTTGTGAGGGTTGACGAGCCGGTAGAACATATAATCAAAGTCCTTAACCTCGTAGATAATGATATTTCTATCAACGCCAATAGTGTTGACGAGTCAAACAATATGACGGCCTTATGTACGCATCTTGTAGTGGCAAGCTAGAACTCGTTAAGTGGCTTCTAGAGCATGGTGCCGACATCAAAGCGGTTAGTGGCCACGAAAAGAATGCCTTATCCTAGGCAAGAGAAAACGCAAGAACCGCCGCCCACCTTGGTGTCATATAAGAACTAGTTCAGGCAGAAGCCAAAGTCAACGTGACCATCAGGACCCCTAAGGTCAAGTTTCAAAATGCGATGTCCGTGGCCGCGTTCTATACCCATCCGATCACAGTCAAGAGCCTTCGAAAAAACGACGCGTCTGTCGAAGAAAGAGACTCTCTAGGGAGTAAAGCGGTTCACTTTGGCGCGGCGTATGGGTTCTCAAACCTAAATGCCTTTCTAAACTGACTCGAGTTGACGGCCAGGCTCATTGGATATCAAAACCGGTCTTCAGCCCCCCTTAGTTATAGCCCCCCCCCTTTTTTTTTTCTTTCGGATGTCTTTCCTGGCTGATACATAAACACTTATTTACCAAATCTATGGAAATGTATACGCATGCAATATCTGCAAAGATTTCTACGCCTGTAAGAAGTGCTATTGTCGGATCGACGAGTACCATGCGAAGCCCATCATTGACGATACGAAAACACGTCTTCAGCATCCACCCCGATTACAAAGAATTTTACGAACCATCGCCACCACCAGCGGTCTCAGCGGACAACGAAGCTAAACAAGTCCACTAGACAGGAACCATGGATATTAGCTATAGGATAGCTGGATAGTAACAGAAATAAGTCTGCAGTCGAAGTGGAGGACGATTCTCATGCTATTAATAAAGAGGCAGAGATGGGTGATGGATAGGACTCTGGATAAGACGTCTAGAACAGAGGAGACTATCAGATTGAACTGTTGATTAGTGTCACACATAAAGTAAATGTCGGGATATATAAATTGAACTATTATCATCTACATTTCTATCCTCTTTCAAAGGCATACAGCGCCTATCTAATCCTAATAGATCTACCTTTAAATATACCCCTAGCCTACTTATTTACTAATAGTTTTTCATTTCTTTTTTTGCTAAATAACTAAACTTTTTATAAAATAAAACTAAATACTCAAAATATTTATTTTGAAGCAAAGTTAGTTTAAAGCTACCTACTTAGAACTTAAAATTGACTACATATCGAAACTAACCTTTCAGATTATCGCACCTATAACAGTCCTCAGAGGACTAATTGCAGAGCCCGTTTTCTATTACGAGCCTAGCGTCGCTTTTTTCCGGTGGCAACCTTTCCAATAGCAATAGTGTTAAATGATATATCAGTCTGCATTGAACGAATGGCCAAGTTTGAGCTGACAATCGGCGGTTTGTCCTGGGATGGTAAGAAGTGCAAGATGGCCATAGGGTATCAGGGTAGGGGTAGATGACAGGGGTCTATCTACTTGGTCTATCTATCTTAGACACTCACTCCGTGTATGAAATTAATCAATGGGGATAAACCCTGAGATAGGAGAAGGCCAGGAAATGGGCCAGGAGTTAGTCGGGAAACACGACAATTCGGTATTGGTATTAGAACTCCAAATATGAGGGGGTTACAAGGAAGAAGGATAAGGCGGAGCGAAAAGGAGGCTCCCGATGCTCATTTTACGAGGATTGTTGCATAAAATTCTTATTATAATGTGACCTTGTTTCGTATGGCGTATTTCGTCAAGATAAAGCGTCAATCACAGAAGCGTGTGAGTGGCCAAAGCACGAAGAGATAGAAGATGATCGCCAATAAGAGGTGCCTACCTATCTAGTTCTTGCCTGATCCAACACAGCCTGCTGCGCTTAATGTTACTCAATGTAGATTCCACCTGTATCTTTAACCAAATTGGCAATCCTTCTCCAAGCCTGATAAGTTCTATATGCACAGAATCGATAAATAAACGCCACGTCCTCAGCTGAAATCACTACCATGGCAACATGACCCTGTTCTCCCGATGTAGGCTTAGCTGATTTGCTTCCCTCTGTCTGATTATCTCTCCTTCTTTTTTGTTCATCAGCATTCCATTTAATATAAATTAGATAGTGACGTGAAGATAACTCTTCTTGATTTTAAACGACTAACCCCCATTCCGGACTATAGTTGGCACGTGAAACTAGGTATCTTATATCACAAGTCAAACGCTTCTTCACTTCTTCACTTCCTTTTCAAATAGTTTTCCCACCGTCGTTCCAAAAGGACTACACATCCTAAGGAACTCAGAAGCTTGTGTAACATCTAACTCTTTCCCTTATACGCTACCCCATACCTACTCAGGTATATACGTACACCAGCAACTATTTGACATCAAAGCCAATTATATACTAAGTTTAGGTATTTATACTATTGCATACTTAGGGTATAGATTATTATGTCAGAATTGAGAAGTCCAAGGTACGCTCTTATATCGCTATCATATTACTTTAAAGCTAAGGTCTATTAGCCTCGTGTCTCTGCAGGAATACATCCACTCTACTCATCTCGAAGCGGATAACGAGGGCGTAGAAGTAGAACAGGTATGTGAGGAGTGTAACACCAATAGCAGGCAATCCAAAATCTACAAGTGTGTACCATGCGAAACACCCCTCTGCTCAGACTGTTGGTTCAAATATAGTCCACACAAAAAAGGGAAAAACCCGAACCATGAGAAATCAGTTCCGCTAGATGCCACAATTGTCCACGAAATCCTCCGGGTTGGTGTGCCACTAGCATCAAGTAGGCAACCAGAAGCAGTAACTATCCGGGGTAATGATGCGGATAATATGTGGTTTGGGGTTACCCAAGATGACGCAAAAGATTATATACTAGGCGAGGGTGCGGCATACAATGAACTAGTCCTTGTAGACTCTAATACTAGCCCTTTCAATACCTATCCTGGCTTGGTATCATTTGTGGGCAATACGGGTATAATCTACTT